ACACTGCAATCGGCATTGTCCACTTTGTTATCGCTCTCATCACCTTTCTCTTCTTTTCCATCATGCCCCTCGGTGGCCTCTTCGGCAGCTACCTAGCTACCAACAACAGGAAATATGTCGCGAGTCAAACCTTTACCGCCAGCTGGCCTCAGCTTCGCGGCAACGATATGGCTATGTCGTATGGACTCTGGGCGGTTGTTTTCGGTGTCAAGATGGGTGTCTCTTACATCTACCTAATTCTGTCATTCCGAGATCCTGTTCGATATCTCAGCATCATGAATGTCGACTCTTGTCTCGGAGACAAGCTCTTGTTCGGTAATCAGCTTTGTAGATGGCATCCGACTATTGTTCTTGCCCTGATGGCTTTTACCGACGTCATTTTCTTCTTCCTCGATACCTACCTCTGGTACGTTCTTCTGAACACCGTGTTCTCGGTTGCCAGATCGTTCTACATCGGATCTTCCATCATGACCCCTTGGCGAAACGTCTTTTCCCGCCTGCCCAAGCGTGTGTACTCCAAGATTCTTGCCACCACGGACATGGAAATCAAGTACAAGCCTAAGGTTCTCATTTCTCAAGTATGGAACGCTATCATCATTTCCATGTACCGCGAGCATCTCTTGTCCATCGAGCATGTTCAGAAGCTTCTTTACCACCAGGTTCCCTCTGAACAAGAGGGCAAGCGAACTCTGCGAGCTCCCACGTTCTTCATCTCCCAGGAAGATCATTCCTTCAAGACCGAGTACTTCCCTGCCTACAGTGAAGCTGAACGCCGAATCTCGTTCTTTGCTCAGTCTCTGTCTACCCCGATCCCCGAGCCTTTGCCCGTGGACAACATGCCTACTTTCACTGTTATGATTCCCCACTACAGCGAGAAGATTCTTCTCTCTCTCCGTGAGATCATTCGTGAAGACGAGCCTTACTCTCGTGTCACGCTTTTGGAATATCTCAAGCAACTCCACCCCCATGAGTGGGATTGTTTCGTCAAAGATACCAAGATCCTGGCTGATGAGACCTCTCAATTCAATGGCGAAACCGACAAGGACGAGAAGAACACGGCCAAGAGCAAGATCGACGATCTGCCCTTCTACTGCATTGGTTTCAAGTCTTCAGCTCCCGAGTACACCCTGCGCACTCGTATCTGGGCATCTCTTCGTTTCCAGACTCTCTACCGTACCATCTCTGGATTCATGAACTACAGCCGTGCCATCAAGCTTCTTTACCGTGTCGAGAACCCCGAGGTCGTCCAGATGTTCGGTGGCAACACGGATAAGCTTGAGCGCGAGCTCGAGCGCATGGCCCGACGCAAGTTCAAGATTGTTGTTTCTATGCAGAGATTCTCCAAGTTCAAGAAGGAAGAGATGGAAAACGCCGAATTCTTGCTCCGCGCGTATCCCGACCTCCAGATCGCTTATCTTGATGAAGAGCCGCCAGTCGCCGAGGGCGAAGAGCCCCGCTTGTACTCTGTTCTCATTGATGGTCACTCCGAGGTCATGGAGAACGGCATGCGACGTCCTAAGTTCCGTGTTCAGCTCTCTGGTAACCCTATTCTCGGTGACGGAAAGTCCGACAACCAGAACCACTCTATTATCTTCTATCGTGGGGAGTACATCCAACTCATTGACGCCAACCAGGACAACTATCTCGAGGAATGTCTCAAGATTCGCAGCGTTCTCGCCGAATTTGAGGAGATGAAGACTGACAATGTTTCCCCCTACACTCCTGGTGTCAAAAATGATGTTGCCTCTCCCGTCGCTATTCTGGGTGCCCGAGAGTACATTTTCTCTGAGAACATTGGTATTCTTGGTGACATTGCTGCCGGAAAGGAACAAACATTCGGTACCCTTTTCGCCCGAACTATGGCACAAATCGGTGGCAAGCTTCACTATGGACATCCTGATTTTTTGAACGGCATCTTTATGACGACGCGTGGTGGTGTCTCCAAGGCCCAGAAAGGTCTTCACCTCAACGAAGATATTTACGCCGGTATGACTGCCCTCCTCCGCGGAGGACGTATCAAGCAGTGTGAGTACTTCCAGTGCGGTAAGGGTCGTGATTTGGGTTTTGGTTCGGTCCTGAACTTCACAACCAAAATTGGTACTGGTATGGGTGAACAGTTCTTGTCTCGCGAATACTACTACCTCGGCACTCAACTCCCTCTGGATCGATTCTTGTCCTTCTACTACGCTCATCCTGGTTTCCATTTGAACAACATGTTTATCATGTTCTCGGTTCAAATGTTCATGATCACCATGGTCAACCTCGGAGCTCTCCGTAAGGAGACAATTCCCTGCGAATACAATCGCAACGTCCCCATCACTGATCCTCTTTACCCTACCGGCTGTGCAAACACTGATGCACTTACTGACTGGATTTACCGATGCATTGTCTCCATTCTCTTCGTTCTGTTCCTCTCGTTCATTCCTCTTATTGTCCAGGAGCTGTCGGAACGTGGTATTTGGCGTGCTTTCGTCCGATTGATGAAGCAATTCCTCTCTCTCTCGCTCATGTTCGAAGTCTTCGTCTGTCAGATCTACGCGAACTCTGTGCAGCAGAACATTTCGTTCGGTGGTGCGCGATATATTGGTACAGGTCGTGGTTTTGCCACTGCCCGCATCCCGTTCGGCGTCTTGTATTCTCGGTTCGCTGGACCAGCTATTTACTTTGGTGCCCGTCTACTGCTAATGCTTCTCTTCGCCACGCTCACGGTCTGGAAGGGTGTCTTGATCTACTTCTGGATCACGCTTCTTGCCCTGACCATCTCGCCATTCCTGTACAACCCTCATCAGTTCGCCTGGACCGATTTCTTCATCGATTACCGAGACTATCTTCGTTGGTTGTCGCGTGGTAATTCCCGCAGTCACGCATCATCTTGGATCTCGTACTGTCGACTCTCCCGAACTCGTCTCACTGGTTACAAGCGCAAGACCCTCGGTGACCCATCTGCTAAGGCCTCCGCTGATGTTCCTCGAGCCCCCTTTGCCAACATTTTCTTCAGCGAGATTTTCTCACCGTTGATGCTTGCTGTTGTGACGACCCTTCCCTATCTCTTCGTCAATGCTCAAACCGGTGTTGTGGCTCGTATTCAGAAAGATGGTAACGCGAGGAACATTCATCCTACTCAGTCGCTGATGCGACTGCTCGTCATCGCCTTTGCGCCCGTTGCCGTCAATGCAGGCGTCCTCGCTGCCATGTTCGGCATGGCCTGCTGTATGGGACCTCTCCTCAGCATGTGCTGTAAGAAGTTCGGTAGCGTTCTTGCCGCTATTGCACATGCTACAGCTGTCATCTTCCTTCTGATCTCCTTCTTGGGCATGTTTATCCTTGAGAGCTTTGACTTCGCTCGTACTGTGGGAGGCATGATTGCTGTCATTTCAATCCAACGCTTCTTTGTCAAGTTGATCGTTTCGACCTGTTTGACTCGCGAGTTCAAGGGTGACGCCTCGAACATCGCCTTCTGGAGCGGAAAGTGGTACTCCATGGGATGGCACACTATCACTCAACCTGCTCGCGAATTCCTCTGCAAAATCACTGAACTTTCCATGTTCTCTGCCGATTTTGTTCTGGGTCATTGGCTGCTCTTCTTCATGGCACCTGTCATCTTGGTCCCCAAGATTGATATGCTTCACTCTATGATGCTGTTCTGGCTTCGTCCTAGGTAAGTCTTTTCTATTGCTCCTCTAACACTTATACTAACCATTCTCAGCCGACAAATTCGGCCTCCCATCTACTCGATGAAACAGTCCAAGCTTAGACGCAGACGCGTGATTCGCTATGCCATTCTCTACTTTACTCTCCTCGTAGTGTTCATTGCTCTTGTTGCTGGACCTGCCGTGGTGGGCAAGATCATGGGCGAAAGTCTCAGCAAGACGCTCGAGAAGATGATCCCTCTTGAGGGACTTGTCCAACCTAACTATCTCGAGCACGACAACACCAACAGCTCGTCAGTCACTGGTATCAAGAACCCAAGCTACACTGGTCCTGGTCTTACAAGTGGCAAGAGTGCTGCTGAGGCCTCGGCAACTGCCAAGATCAAGCTATTCTAAGAAGCCAACACTGGAAAGGAGAGTGTTCTTTTTTGGAAATACTTCTGACGAAGTGAAGCAATTTCGCTTTGTTCTCACGTATAGAAAAAAAATTGTCAAAATGCCTAGCTTTTGCTTTTTTGTTTTTTGTTTGTTTTGCTTTTCAGTTCAGTACCTGGCACAGGTGGATGCATTTGTAAACACTCGGAATTTTTATAGAAGGGGAGGGGGTGAGAGATGGAGAGAAGAGGTCGGCAACACGAGTCAGACCTGACATTCACTGGCTGAACTGGACTGGACTGATCATTTCTGGCACAAGGCGCACTTTTTTAAACTTATTCTAATGTGTACAATGAAAGGAAATAACACATGGCAGTAACCTTGGACTCAATGCAAATAATGCAATGCCTTTTTCATTCTTTTCAATCTTTGGCCTGTTCGATTGCAAGTGATTGATGAATCGGGTGACTGCTGTCGATACCTACCTATTCTTGTTCATCCATGAACATGTTTGATGTCAGCTTACCTAGGTATTTTGCGTATTCAACGTTGGAAGTCTCCGGACTATCCGATGGTGGATGGATGGACCATCTTACTTACAGTGCTGTTATCGGTGGAGTGGATGCTCAGGTACCCGTTGTGCCCCTGGAAGACGTGAGAGTTAACGTCCTCCAATCAGTGTAACCGATCACCCTCGCTAGCTTGACTCGCTTTAACTTGGGAGGCACCCAGCGGCCCCTATGTCAGTCAACCCATGCAGGCAGGGCAATTAATTACGTTAATTGATGGTCCGTTACTTCCATTCGAAATCCCCATTAATGTTTATTCGAACTCCTGACATCAACACACAAGGTCCAAAACAGAAGGCTGCCCACTTACGAACGAGCAGTCCGACACGATCCAATAAATTACGATACGAACGAGTTTAGAAGGGTCGGAATATCCATTGACGATTGGCACAGCATTGTAAAGGCAATGGAACTCGATAACCTCCAAGCCCGGATGGGCGACATCCTTGAGCAAGCCTCAGTGTACTTCCATAAAGTCCCTGGTTCTGCTGTGTTTCTTCGCTATATCAAGTCGAGTTACCAGAACGATCCCGTGCGATCCGCCATTGAGGCCATACTGTTACTCTTCTTCGTCCGCTATCTTCTGTCGCCCTCCTATTCGACACATAAGCAGAACTACGTCAAGCTGAGGGAGGACGTAAGAACATTATCCAATCATCAAGACCTGCAGAGATCAAATGCTAACAATGGACGTGCTGCAGGAGATCGAGGAATTGATCGATGAATGGCAGCCCGAGCCTCTTGTTGAGGAGCAGGACGCTTTTGAAGCTACTGAAACCGAACGCCTTCCCGTCCTTGTTGGGTGAGCATTGCCGTACATATTCGTGTCACAGCCAGACATCTAATGTCGTCTAATAGTCCCACCGGTCCCAAATCGAAGTTAGCCAACGGCCGAACCGTCACCAATCTCGCATCCTACAACTTCTACAACTTTAACGGAAATGATCAGATCAAGGAAAAGGCGATTCAGGTTCTGCGCACCTACGGTGTCGGTCCCTGTGGCCCTCCCCAGTTCTACGGCACTCAGGACGTTCATATGAAGACCGAAGCTGATATCGCCGCGTATCTGGGTACTGAGGGTTGTATCGTCTATGCACAGTCTTTCAGCACCATCTCTAGTGTCATTCCTTCTTTCTGCAAGCGTGGCGACGTCATCATTGCTGACCGAAATGTCAACTTTTCTATTCGCAAGGGTCTCGAGCAGTCGCGAAGCACTATCCGCTGGTTTGAGCACAATGACATGGATGATCTGGAAAATGCCATGAAAGGTGTTGCCAAGGAGCAGGCCAACGCCAAAAAGCTTACTCGTCGTTTCGTCGTGACCGAGGGTTTGTTTGAACTCTCAGGAGATTCCATCGATTTACCCCGTCTGGTTGAGCTCAAGGAGAAGTACAAGTTCCGTGTTATTCTGGATGAGACTTGGTCTTTTGGTGTTCTTGGCCGCACTGGTCGTGGTATCACAGAGGCGCAGAACGTGGACCCCCAGCAAGTTGACATGATCATTGGTTCTCTCGCTGGCCCTCTCTGCGCTGGTGGTGGTTTCTGCGCCGGTCCTAAAGACGTTGTCGAGCACCAGCGTATCACCTCGTCTGCTTACACCTTCTCCGCTGCTCTTCCTGCTATGTTGGCTGTCATTGCCAGCGAAACCCTCAACTTGCTTCAGTCCAACCCCGAAATCCTGTCCCAGTCACGCGAAAACATCAAGGCCATGAAAGCACAACTGGATCCCCGCAGTGACTGGGTCTACTCTCCCAGCGACCCTGAGAACCCTATCATGCTACTTGTCCTGAAGCCGGAAGTTGTCGCCGCACGAAAGCTGGAGCTTGAAGATCAAGAGCGCATTCTATGCGACTGTGTTGAAGAGGTAAGTCTTTCTCATGATACTTTGAAAACAGGAATAAGAACTGACTTGCAAAGACTCTCGCCAATGGCGTTTTGATTACAAGGACCAAGACTCGACCTTATGCCCACGCCGTTAAGCCTAAGGACGGCGCTTGGTTTGCCCAGCCTGCTCTGCGAGTTTGCGTCACATCCGCGCTGTCTAAGAAGGATGTCGAGAAGGCCGGTGTCACTATTCGCCATGCCATCACCAAGGTCATGACCCGCAAGACGAGTACCAAGGCTATTTGAATCAGGGGGCTCCGAATACTATTAATTTTGATGACAAGAAGGGTAGTCGAGCGGGTGTCACACTCATGAACATGGTCGATAGGCTGCTGGGCTACGCTAAGACCTTTCGATTATGGACAAAATCCCAGATGGGAGCAATAGATATTAGGGGATGCATGCAATGACCGACCTTCTATTGGCAAACAGCCACTTAGGAAGCTAATGATTAATAGATGTAGCCTCGTAGGCCAGCATTGAATAGAACTTGTCAAGACAGTGATTTCAATTACTGTGCATCGTGAGCAACTATTATTGACCGAGTCGTTTCCAACGTACGTGCCATTGCTGGAGAAACATGATCTTGGAAAGTTGTACGCCCATAGTCAGCCACTGAGGATCTCTCACTGTCGACGTCGTCGACGATAACCCGCCATTTCCCTAGAGGTTGTTGGATAAAGTAAGAAACCTTGCGTCAGTTGTTTCGCGTGTCTTATGGACATATCCCTTGCCAAGTCACGCTGATGCTGTCATGCAAAGCTGACAGAATGGAGTTAATCTGGCGAAAGAATTGCCAAGGCTACACATGCAGGAGATATTCACAGAGGAATAATAATGTTGTTTCATAATTAATTGGGCGTATGAAGACCTCTATGGCCCTTTCAGCTCCTATCTCGACCGTGATGGTGTCTCAGGTTTTGCATTCCTGGGGAAATTACCGTGTTCGTAGTTACGTGGCATCGTCATTCCAGAGATTCGAGAGCGTCAAGACCGGGCTCTTACCGTGATTCATTTTAAGGTTATGATTCCGGGAATTTCTTCGAACAGATAATGAGGATTTTAGTGATTGTTTGCGTGCATATGTCTCAGCAGGCTAATGAAGAGCGACAAGATTAAGGGACGAAAGGGCCTATAAGAAGGTAGTGCTTGCAGGTTTCAAGATGGATACGGCAAGTAGGCAGGAATTCCCAAGGTGAAGAGTGTCTCTCTCTTGTCTCTCACAGGTTCGGGGCTTGGTTTCCAAGTGGTTCAGGTACAGAGCATCTACCCAGGCGTACCTTCCCTCAGACGCCCTACACGTATCCCCTTATGTTGTTCTTTCCTTCCTGTCCTGACCCAACCTAACCAGTCTCTACCTGCCGTTCTTTTATCTTGTGTCGAGTAGCCACTTCCCCCCTTGTTTGGGCTTTCCCTCTTCTTCCTCACCTTCATATCTGTCGCTTCTTCCACTCTTCTTTTCTCCTTCATTCACTCTTCAACCTTTTTTTGTTCCTAGTAACTTTCCTAAGATTATTCACTCTTTATTCTTCTTTTTCACTTCCAGACACTCTTTTATCTGATTCTTCTTCGTTCTTGACTACGGGGTATTCAGCCTCGTCTTATACACTCACTTTCTCTTGAATCACTCACGTTTGATCAACTATAAATTTGAGCTCTTTGAAGTAGCTCGTCCACTCTCTCGGATCCCATTGAAATCATCCAACGTACGGATCTAAATACTTAGAAATTTTAAAATGAAACGCTTCTTTAGTTCGGCAGTGGCCATGGCAGCGGTTGTTGCTGCTTTCCCCATGGGTGAGTACCTTGGATGGTGAGCCGTATCTTAAAGCTGACGGTAACTATAGGCCGACCATTTGAAAAAAGAGAGCCGTATGTCGTTTCCATATATTTACTCTAACACTGGCTAACACTATGGCAGAGTTACCACTATCACACTTACTTCGGCCTCTACTTATACTCAGGTTGTTGCCCCTGCGACCCCAACGCCCATGAGGCCGTCTGGAACTGCAAGCTACCCAGAGAAAACCGCTATACCCCTCCCCGATAACCCGAAACCACCCAAGGGCAGTGGATCTGAACTCCCTTGCATCGACTGTAGTTCCGAAGGCTCGGGCAGCTCCGGTGGTTCTGGAGGTTCAAGCGGTTCTAAACTCCCCGGCGTTTCTTACGCCCCATACCGTGGTGACCACCAGTGCAAGGAAGAAGATGAGATCAAGCAGGATCTCGCTAAGCTCGCGGGCTCTTACTCTCTCGTCCGTATCTACGGTACAGAATGCGACCAAGTTTCAAAGATCTACCCTTGCGCCAAGGCCAACAACATGAAGCTTTTCCTCGGTATTTGGGATATCAACGACGTGAAGAATGAAGCCAAGTTGATCATTGATGCCATCAATGGCGACTGGGACATCGTTGACACCATCAGTGTCGGAAACGAACTTGTCAACAACGGTGCTGCTACACCTGCGCAGGTTCTTGCCGCTGTTGAGGAAGCTAGCCAGATTCTAAAGGCTGCCGGTTACAATGGTCCTGTCTTGACGGTCGATACATTTATGGCTGTTCAGAAGCACCCAGAGCTTTGCGAAAAGAGCGAGTACTGTGCCATCAACGCCCATGCCTTCTTTGATCCCCATACCTCTGCTGACGGTGCTGGCAAGTGGCTTTCTGACACCGTTCAAGCTGTCAAGTCGAAGCTATCTAGCGACAAGCGCATCGTCATCTGTGAGACTGGCTGGCCCACGAAGGGTGACAGCAATGGTGAGGCTGTTCCTGGATTGACCCAACAGGGGTCGGCTCTCAAAGCGATCAGGGAGGCGTTCTCTGAGCACCCCGATGACCTGATCCTCTTCTCTGCTTTCAACGACCACTGGAAGAAGGCAGAAGCCGCAACTTTCCACGCTGAGCAGTACTGGGGTATCGACGGCAAGAACTTAGACTCTGAATAAAGTAGGGCTCGAGAATTCGTTATGTCAGTTAATCCTTCACATCTTTGAACGGTTTGCGGTCAGGTTTGGAATAACGTTCGACTTAATGTCTTTTTCATGTCCTTGAGAGTTCATTGCTATTGTTTCGGGGCTAAAATGCCGAGTACCTGGTGTTATCGCGGGACTATACACGCCTGGTAGCAAGGGCATGTTGGAGGATTGTTTGCTTCTTCCTATCGGGATTTAGCTGCTCGGTCATATGTCATTGCCTATGACTGTTTTGTTTGGTGTCGTTTGAAGGGTATGGAAAGGTTTATTCTGTGTATTTTATATGAGTTGGAACGTTCTTGTGATCCATTATATCAATCATGTCCTTATGTCTGGTGATGAAGCATCGCTTTCATAGACGATCATAACATGGCTCCAGTGTAGTTGAAGAATCATTATCGATAGAAGTCTGTTGAATAAGGGAAGATAACCTACGTAAGCTCAAATAGTTGCCCACTCGATCACTATCCCTACACTCTCTGTTCTCTTCCTTTATCACAACACCTAATATTTGAAAACGTGACTAAACTATTTATATCCATCTAAACAACTATGATGGGTATTAAAGACACGACTCGTCAAAAACGTCATTCCCTTCCTTCTTTCCCAAACGAGACCATCAATCTGGCCGTCAATGACATGACTGCGGCCGAAATGTTCGTTAAAGAAACTTCCCATATTTTGTATAAGGGCTGACTAAACACGTAGGGACGTCCTGAAGAGAAATGTAGAGTAGACGCTCACAAAACGTTGACGAAGCATATATAAACAGATACCGTAGGGTCCTCGACTACCCTGATGTGAAAACGCACACCTAGTGCTTGAGTTGTAAACAGAAAAGAAAGCGAGCATATAATATCACGGGGATCAGAGGCTAAGAAGCTCTTGATCTGCTGGTGCCTCACTAATGGTAAGATCTGCAAGGACCATCCTCATACGGACGTGATCGAACAGATGTCTCAACCAAAGTCCCGTCGAGCTACTCAACATATTTCAGAAGAGGCTGTGGGGGTAACGAGTTTAGCAGATCCAAAGCTCATCAACGAACTGATCGAGTTCAATAATACGGAATCGAGAACCAATGCTCTTGTCCTTCAATAGTGCGTTCCAGGCAGACGAAAGACTGGCTTTCCAGGACACAACCTCAACGCTCCAGCCCATTTTCAGGGCGCGTTGAGCATATGCGAGGAAGCCATCCGAGTACTTGGCCGGTCGAGCATCACCCGTGGCAATGACGAGCGTGCCAGGCATCTCGAAATATTGCATGACAGATTCACCAATTCGGATTTGAAGTGTTTCGTCAACCATATCCTCGACATAGCGGAAGCCGCCAGCCTCGAAAGTGGTGTTGTCCCCGGAACCGGACTGCTCAGCACGACGGCTGCGAAGGTCGACTCGGTAGCCAAGATCTTTAAGTTCTTGGATGAAAGGGGGTTCCCCTCGATCGGGACGCATTGAACAGCCAACGTTGAGCCATTCTGCGTAGCGGTCGCGGGTGAGGAGTTCGTGAAAGAAAGCAAGGTTCATTTGGGGAAGCGGAACAAAGCGCGAAGACTCCGAGATGCCAAATTTGGCTCTCAAGGCTTTCTGGAAGCCGATGATAATGTTGGACATGTCAACGAAGACATGAATTCCGTTATCTGCAATGGTGGAAAAGTCCTTGCAGATCATAGAGTCAACGACGCGCTCCTGAACCAACTTGCCCATGAGGTTTTCGTGCTTGGCTGAGGTAGTGGATACATTGCTGTGAATCTCAGTGATAGGGCCATATTTGAATGGCTGGTACGAGAGGACGTGTTTGACAGATTCAGACCGAACATTATCCCACACCACAACCTTATGATCTGAATTGTCTCGAGAGTGAGACTTCACCTTGGCCTTAGAAGACTTGGCCTTGCTCTTCTTACTCTCCTCAAAATGGTTCAGGGGAAACTCATTGGAGCTCGGTGGTGTTGAGGCAGCAGTGGAATAAGAAGCAGCCAATAGCACATCAGTGTCAGAGCCGCCTCCAGCCTCCGAGTCGGTGATTGAGTCGAAAATGGGTTCAGTCAAGATCTTGGGAACATTGACTGCTTTGGTGACTGATACTGATTCGATAGATGATTTCACTATCGTGATCGGCTGCGCCTTGGGGGAAGTAGAAGGTTGCTGCTGCTGCTGCTGCTGCTGGGTTGCTCCATCGTCCTTGAAACGAAGCTGCTCAAAGAGCCGCTTGAAGTTACCAAGCGTGGGGGTTGAGTCCAAGACCTGCGAAGTCTTTGAGGCTTTCGGGGACGCCCAATTTGCAAGGTTTTGTGAGTTCAATCGTGTGAAATCGCCTAGTTTGAATAGACCATCGTGACCGGCCTTAGTGCTACCTGGAGGCTCGTGGAGGGGGTCGTCTGTTGAATTTATCGTTGTAGATACCATGGTGACCATCGAAAGCAGTCATGCACATAGAGGCGTGTTTGTGGGTGAAGCTGATATCGGTGGTGTACTCAACGTCTATCCGAGACGTGAGATGATTGGTGAAATATGTTCAATGTCTTGAATTGGTGTCGTCCGTAGAATAAAGCGTAGAAAAGTTGAAATACTAAGATAGCGCAGATACAAGCTGAAAGGCGAGAAAGATATTGATAGACCAATTTGCCACAGCTGAACTGAGAGTGCAGTGCAGGAAGATGAGACGAACGAGAAAATCAAAACGGGGCAGAAACAAAGGGCTAGAGCCGCGAAGATACGGTACAGTGAAACCAATAGACACGGGAGAGGCCGATTGAGCCTGGAGTGACACTAAACAAAAATCCAATGCGTCAGATTTCGCCGCTTGAGTGAAGCCAAAATGGATGATGGAGTCGATCAGATGCGGAGCGAGAGATCGAGCTACAGTGCCACGAGGGCTAAGAAAAGAACAAGTGCAAGCAATGACTATAGAAGACGGAAAGAAGAGAGATGAACAGAAAGTGCAAAGATTGAGATGAGAAAGAATCGGGAGACCGATGAGAAGAGGATATGAAAAACTACATAAGACGTTGGACGTTGAGCGTTGAAGGAAGTCAAAGTGGAGGTGATGATGAGTCAATTGGGCATTGGGCGATGCGCTGGACTGAGCCCGGGATCAGATCCGATGTGGCGAGCTGCCAGCCAATCAAACTGCGTCAAACGTGGCAGTGAAGGGTCCTTGGCTTCACGTGCTCTAAATTGGAGATTGCCACCCCTAACGTCGATCGAAGAGCAACAACAATTGACACTTATAATATTGGTGAAGCGTCGATTTCATCAAATTTCTATCTTGGCTTGTTATACAACACCTAAGTACTCAAGTTCCTATGTAGCCCATTCTCCAAATGCCCTTCAGGCACTACAATAAAAAGAACCAGTCTTTGGGAGAACCCTCAGCTATACTCCAAATTGGGCGTACCACATCCTCAAGAATAAGTTATCTACTGCCCATCTTTAGACTGGAATTGACTCTGCAACGATTTGTTCGCGAATGAGACGACCTCCAATCTAATAGCTTCGTTGATCCTCCCTTCATTGCGACGGATAGCTCGACGTAAACTACTACCATGCAGATAATCCAATCGAGATCAGTCAACAAATCACATCCATGGCATATTGCGTCCTTATCATCGTCGGAAATCAATGCTTGGTCGGTGTGAGTCCATGCTGGGCCGCACTGAGCTGCTTGAGCTTCGCCTTCGTCGTGCTCGCTCTTCATTGGGATCGGAAGGGTTCAAGCCCGTCGATTTTGCAAACATATTCAGAACGTCAGTCAAAGAAATGACACCAGTAAGCCTGCCCGACAAACGAGCACCAGCCATTGCAGATGCTGGCACGGCGGCTGTGGGAACCGGCGACGCAGGTACAGCAGCCGTGGGCACAGGTGATGGAGGTGCAGCGTGTGCAGATGTTGATGCAGGCATAGCTGGAGGTGGGTGCGCTGGGGTTGTGAAAGATTGAGGTCCCATCAAAGGCGTAGCAGGAGCCGAAGGTGAGGGTGATGCCGACTCGACAACCCACATTCTGTGCGACCGAGTAGCAACAAGTTTAGCGACAGTATGGGCCAGGGTTGAGTAGGGGTTAACATAGAATACGGGGAAGGCGTCGCGCCCATGTTCGACTCCTCGCTCGTTAAGAATCACCGAAATAAAATTCATGCATGATGAGTTGAGTAGGTGAGCATTGGAGCTCTTCGTCAAGTGACGAACATCCTTGGTGGAAATATTGCCCACGACGTTCAGGCCGTTGTCAACGACAGCTACACTTGTAAGGCCTTCGTCGTGCATAAGCGTAAGGGCCTCGGATAAAGCTGCATCAGAGCTATTGCTCGTCAGTATATAATCTACTCCCGGGCAAAACCACAACTCACTTGACAGAGACAATGTCCTTGGTACCAACACCTAAGTCGCGGAGCAAGGCAGGGTACAGTCGATCGATCGAGGGGAAATTGACGCCCTCATTCCAAAAGAATTCGACAATTCGAAGTTGACTTGCAATACCAACAACTTCGCCACTAATGGCAGTCACCAGGAGACGATGGATACCACTACCGAGAATCTGAATAGCTTGAGAGAGTTTCTCTTCGCCAGGCAACGTAATAAGTGATTCCTTATGGAATAATGGAAAGACGTCTCGTAGAGGGATCTGGCCGCCTTCCTGTGCTTTACCCATGATCGTATTGAACAGAGTAATTTGGTCCTCCTCAGGCTTGACCAGACCAACAACAACAAGCAGATATACGTTCAAGTCGGTGTAATCGAACGTGGAGACGGCAGTATGAGTGGAAGCATCCTCGCGGACCAGAACAACGTTGGTAGGGCTTTTCAAAAGAGTCTAAGAGGTTCGTGTCAGTATAACTACGAGCGGCAAATACGAACTTGCGTTCGACGACTGCTCTTGTTGCGACTTTCACGAAGCTATAAACTTACCTTGGTAGCTTCCTCGACGCTAGTGTCAAACTCCACCCACTTTATATCGTCGGGAGATACCAGCTCTCCGATAGCTACGTCGCGCCAATCGCGGCCAGCAAATTTGGGATTGGCGTGCTTGTTTCCGGCTGGAGGATGACTCAAAAGCTCCTGGAGAGCGGCTTGCGTGAACGAAGGATGTCGCTGCGAGCGTGGTGAGGACGGTGCATTTCGCAGGTTCTCGGCGAAACTAGAGCGATGGGCGGAAATAGAGCTTGGCCCAGAGCCGGCGGATATGGAAACTGAGGGCGATCGTTGAGAAAGAGTAGGCGGTTTATGATTTGACGAAGAGCCCGAGGCAGCGCTGTTCAGGCTGGTCGAGCTGGTCGCGCGGGTGTCCTTGAGCTCGCGGGAGGAGCTTGGTGAGGGGTCCATGATTGGAGATTCGTTCACGAGCAGTTGGTGAGATGGGGTTCGGTAACAGTTACCAGCAGACCGGGCTAATAAGAGTCGAGGATATGGCACGGCCTAAGCTAGGTTGTAAGAGAGCGATGTACGTATCGCAATCTCCAGGTTGATGGTGAGATAACGATGAAATGCTCCGTTGCAGCAATTGGCAAATATGAGATGGCGATTGTGGCACGGAAACAAACGAGACGCAAGAGTAAGGGCGAGAGCGAGAGCGGGAGTGAGAGAGCGGAGGGGTAGTCTGGATCAGAGAACGGTTGGATGATCTTTGAATACCCGGGTACTAAGGTAAGAGTCACAAACAGTACCAAAGAGTCAGGATACAAATAGTCAGACGAACATTCGCCAAGGGATAAGCGATGGCTGAGAAATGGACAGATGAAGTGGAATGGTTTTTTTGTCTAAGGCGGAGGTTGGTCTGGAGACGAGACGAGAAGAGTCGATCGAGTCGAATCGATTCGAGGGACAGTCGCGAGGGGCACGAGGTTACCATCCAAGGTGGTGAATGGGCGGGGGAGACTTCTATTTGCATGATGACATAGCCTGGGCTGTCCATACAGTACCTACAGTGGAGTGCCTGCCCCGCGATATTGATACCGGGGGATCTAGAACTCAAATTCAATAAGACAATAAGTGCCTAGGTGAAACTCCTTCCTGTTCCTGATATTGAAGATAAATATGCTGGACAGTCAAATGCAGCCTGTTACTATTTCCATATTCTTCCGTTCTTGTTTAAATACTTTTTCGAGTATTGATTGGCACCAATATGAAGCATCTGATGATCCATTCCAAGGAGTACAGACAGTATCTGCCCAATGACTCGGCAGAGCGGACTGATCATCGAAGCTTCGTCTGCCGGAACTGATCAACACATTGCATTGTTGGACTAAACCACAGACACTGTAACGGTTATAGCAAGGAGATCCCTGGTTCTAAGCTTGTGATACGTACTATGCAACCAAACTTGTGCCCAAGAAAGACATGGTCAAATTGCAATAAACAAGTTTGACAGAGCAGTCCTGACCAATCGTGGATTCACCACTCTGTATTTCTAAACACTGTTCGCAGATGAACTCGACATACTCGGTAGAGCACAAGACTCAAGCCTGCTTATGGCTGACTTACATCTTACATCCATAGGCATACCTAGCTAGATTATTTCGAACATGAGAGATTGCGCATAACTTTCTCTGCTTCTGGAACTTGATTGCAATAATCCCATTTTTGTCGATTTTCTAGACTACGATGTTACGAAACACTGAAAACCTTTTCCATCTCAAGAAGTTATTAAAGTGTCTCTAGCTGGTGCATAAAGTAGTGTAGCCTGCCCATTAACGATTTAGTATGATTGGCTACCGGGACAATGCATCATCATAACTTAGATTTCAGCGTGCATGCATGGACACAGCCATAAATCCAAAGAACATTCTGGCGGTGTGGTGGGGGTAGGTATGAGCTTTAGACCGTACATACTGAAGCAAACAAAATAATGAGCTGCCATGCCTGACCATTTTTTAACTGGCCAGCCGAAGAAAGCTCTTTGTCTATCATGCATCTTTGTCATTGGACGGTTAAAACGATGCCTGGCCTGGCTGGCTTTCAATTTCTTCTTGCAGTGAATGGACATAATGATGGATGCAAAATTATATGCCAATTACTAGTACCAATGTAGTCACGAAAGCCTTTGCTTCAGATAGGATTCTTAACGGAATCATGTTCTTTGAAAAGTCGTGTTATCGATAAAAGATAGAGAGAAATAAACACAACGACCCTGAAACGATCACACTAATGACTGGCTGGTCGCTGCGCACCCTTTGTTTTTTTTTTATTACTTTGGGCTCGTTTGATCAAAAGTATATTCTCTGCAAAGTTGGCCGGCAAGGTACCTAAGCATGACCCTCGAATGCTTGGGCTTCCCCTCCCCCACTTTGATTTTGCTCCCACCTCATCCGTCCCTCTCTTCTTTCTTCCCATCTCCCACCATTTGGGATCTTGGAAACCTCGTCCTTCAAAGCCAAGCAACGGCCGATCATAGTCTACAAGGCACCAAGGGCCCGTAGCTTTGTTATAACTCTACCTTATCCCAAGGCCTATTCTGTGGTTGCTACCTTACCCTCCTCGCAACCGCAACTCTCCGACTGAACCTCGACCGTCTTTGTCGTCTGCTGGTGGACAACACCATCGGCATCCTTAAACGACAATGTCTCTGCTCCCGCAAGATGTCCACGCAGAGCTTTCTCAGCTTCTGCAGGCTCTGCAGTCCCCCGACAACAGTATAAGATCTCAGGCCGAAGAGCACTTGCAGAACAACTGGACCTCCTCCCGCCCTGAGGTCCTGTTGATGGGACTGGTGGAACAAATTCAAGGCGCTGGCGACAATGCGACCCGATCTTTCGCCGCTGTTATCTTCAGACGAATTGCTTCAAAGACCCGCAAGAACGATGCCGGAGAAAGCATGGATCTTTTCCTCTCTTTGACCAACGACCAGGCCGCCGTCATTCGTCAGAAGCTGCTTGAAACCCTCGCCGCTGAGTCTGATCGTCTCGTTCGCAACAAAATTAGTGATGCTGTTGCCGAGCTTGCCAGACAATACACAGAGAACGGTTAGCACAATCCCATTTGAAGGTGTACTTCATTTATCTAGATTTCGCTAACATTTCTTTGCACCAGGTGATGCTTGGCCCGACCTGCTTAGTGCTCTTTTCCAACTTAGCCAAGCGCCCGAAGCCGAAAAGCGAGAGAACGCCTTCCGAGTGTTCTCTACGACTCCCGCAATTATTGAGAAGCAACATGAGGAGGCTGTTCTCCAAGCTTTCCAACAAGGTTTCAAGGACGACGCCGTCATGGTACAGAACCCCTCCTCGCGGGGCAGAATTTCTGTCCCACCTTGTATGTCATTGCACTGCTAACGACAGCTAAAGGTCCGTCTTGCCGCGATGGAAGCATTTGCTGCATTTTTCCGAACCATAAGCAAGAAGGGGCAGGCTAAATACTATGCCCTTATTCCTGATGTACTCAACATTCTCCCTCCGATCAAGGACACACAGGACTCCGACGATCTTAGCAAGGCGCTCCTTGCTCTTATCGACCTGGCCGAGGTGGCTCCCAAGATGTTCAAGTCTCTTTTCTCAAATCTCGTTACGTTCAGCATCTCCGTGGTCCAGGACAAAGAACTCGACAACATGTGCCGTCAAAACGCGCTGGAACTTATGGCTACATTCGCCGACTACGCGCCTTCTGTCTGCCGAAAGGATCCCTCATATACAAACGATATGATTACACAGTGCTTGAGTCTCATGACGGATCTTGGCGAGGACGATGATGATGCGTCTGAGTGGATGGCATCGGACGATGTAAGTTTTTGTGGAAAACAACAAGGAATCACAACTTTCGTGAATTCGTGGCTAATCAGTGCGTAGTTCGACCAAGACGAGAGCGACCAAAACCATGTCGCCGGCGAGCAGACCATGGACCGACTTGCGAACAAGCTTGGAGGCCAAACCATTCTGGCCCCTACTTTCAACTGGCTCCCTCGCATGATGACTTCCATGGCCTGGAGGGACAGGCACGCTGCCTTGATGGCTATCTCCGCCATCTCGGAAGGTTGTCGAGATCTCATGATTGGCGAGCTTAGCCAGGTGCTCGACTTGGTGGTGCCCGCACTTCAAGATCCTCACCCTCGAGTTCGATGGGCTGGCTGCAATGCTCTTGGCCAGATGAGTACTGATTTTGCCCCCAAGATGCAAACCGACTACTATGACCGTGTCCTCAAGGCAATCATTCCTGTCTTGAACTCCCCTGAGGGTCGTGTCAAGTCCCACGCAGCTGCTGCCCTTGTTAACTTCTGTGAGGAGGCTGAGAAGGCCACTCTTGAGCCATACCTGGACGAGCTGCTGTCACAGCTGTTCCAGCTTCTTCAGAACGAGAAGCGATACGTCCAGGAGCAGGCTCTTTCAACTATTGCCACTATCGCCGATGCTGCTGAGGCTGCCTTCTCCAAGTACTACGATACCCTTATGCCTCTTCTAGTCAATGTTCTCCAGAACCAAAGCGAGAAGGACTACCGACTTCTGCGAGCCAAGGCCATGGAATGCGCTACACTAATTGCACTAGCCGTTGGAAAGGATCGCCTTGGCGGGGATGCCATGACCCTCGTCAACCTCCTCGCTAACATTCAGGCCAATATCACGGACGCTGACGATCCTCAGGCACAGTACCTCATGCATTGCTGGGGTCGTATGTGCCGTGTTCTTGGCTCCGACTTCCTCCCCTTCCTTCACAATGTCATGCCCCCTCTCCTGGAGCTTGCCGTCGCCAAGGCCGACATTCAGCTGTTGGATGATGATGACCAGGTGGAGCAAATGCAGAACGAGGAAGGATGGGAGTTGGTCCCCCTCAAGGGTAAGATGATTGGTATCAAGACGAGTACCATGGACGATAAGCACATGGCTATTGAGCTCTTGGTTGTTTACGCCCAAGTTCTAGAGGCTTCTTTCGCGCCCTATGTCTCAGAGATCATGGAAAAGATTGCCCTGCCCGGTCTTGCATTTTTCTTCCATGACCCTGTTAGATATATCTCTGCTAAGCTTGTGCCTCAGCTTCTGAGCTCCTACAAGAAGGCTTATGGCCCCCAGTCTGCCGAACTCCGCGGCCTCTGGACCGCTACTGTTGACAAGCTTCTCGAGGTCTTGACTGCAGAGCCGGCTATTGACACTCTCGCCGAGATGTACCAATGCTTCTACGAGTCTGTCGAGGTCGTTGGAAAGGAATGTCTTTCTGCTGATCACCTGAACCGATTTATTGACTCTGTTCATTCCGCCCTTGAGGACTACAAGGACCGAGTTGCGCAACGTGAGCAGGACAAGGAAGGAGCCACCGCCGACGACGTGGAGGATGAGGCCGAGGACACTCTGATTGCCATCGAAGACGATCAGACCCTACTTTCAGATATGAACAAGGCATTCCACGCCATTTTCAAGAACCACGGCGCCGCGTTCTTGCCTGCCTGGGAGCGTTTGATGGCTACATACGAGGGATTCCTTAGCTCTCCCGATCCTACCCAGCGCCAGTGGGGTCTCTGCATTATGGACGACGTCCTCGAATATTGTGGTCCTGAAAGCACACGGTATGCTGGCGTCATCACTCAGCCATTGATTGATGGTTGCCGAGACCCTTCTCCAGCTATCCGTCAGGCGGCGGCCTACGGTATCGGAGTAGCTGCCCACCGAGGTGGAGCGCCATGGGCACAGTTCTTGGGAAACTCGGTCCCTTTCCTTTTCCAGGTGACCCAGGTTCCCGATGCTCGTAATGAAGACAATGTGTATGCGACCGAGAACGCATGCGCAGCTATCGCCAAGATTCTTCACTACAATTCCAGCACTGTGAATGATGTGCAAAATGTCATCACACAATGGGTCGAGACTTTGCCTGTGACAAACGACGAGGAAGCAGCGCCATATGCCTACGCATACCTGGCTGAGTTGATTGAGAAGTAAGTATCACCTCTATTTGTTTCTAAATTTGTATGATGTACGTCAGCTGACATATCGTTCTTTAACTTCAGGCAACACCCTGCTGTTGTGAGCCAGGCCGGCAAGGTCTTCGTTTTCATTGCCCAAGCCCTTGAGGCGGAGACACTCGTAGGACAGACTGCCACCCGTGTGGCCCAGGCGACCAAGGGACTTCTGCAGGCAACATCGGTTGATCCCTCGCCGCTCCTGCAACAATTCTCTCCTCAGGCGCAACAAACCATCATGGGATTCTTCAATTAGATGTGGGACTCGTTTACATTGGTTATTGCAAAGCGCCGCGTCGCTGGGGGTTCAGTATGTGGCAATGAACGTTATTCATATGGAGTCGCGAGGAAAGAGTCTAAGAGAGTAAGGACGGGTTGACAAGCGTGCGAATTTTACTCGGGAACATAAATTTTGTTTCCAGATGATACCAAAAATGATCGCTACAGGGTGGCAGCTTCAGACCAGGAACCCGGTCAGCTGTCAAGTGCTTGTGGTAGGCGAACATCCGCAGGGTGATGCTGGTATCGATGCGACAAGGTGTGGCACTCTAGTTTGACTAGAGCGGGTTCAAAGCCAGCATCAAAGCATTGCCATGCCCCAGGCATGGGCAAGAGAAGAGATAGAGGGGACGTCGGTTCCTGGCGTCGAGGCAAAAGTAAGATGGCATTTTGTTTAGGAAGGTTATATACTTGACATCGCACGGCGCCTTTTAATGCTACATTAGAGTTTATGAATATGTTTGTCATGATTCTCACGATCTTGCACTATTTTTGGTGATATTTTTCAATATAACTCCTCATGAATGCCTCCACATGGTATTCTGTGATGACTCGAAGACTCTTTCAATTACCTGGCTGTATCATAGTAGTGAAACATTGCTGCTGATATGGTTGAGACAGTGTACCAGAAACACAATCGTAAGAGCACTCAGCCCAGGAGGCCGAGGGAGAGATGGAATGGCTGTCTTATCTCGAGCTGCGGGACGGTCGGGCCCAGTCACCATGTCGGTGGTACTCTAAGACGTGATCGCCTAGCTTCTGTTCTACATCGAATGAGGCTACATCTAAAGACAAGGCTGCTTACATTATCTGGAGTGGACGAGTAGAACCCCTGTATTTCGATAAAGACCGTCTCAGCCTGTTTTACTTGAAGACTGGGCCTCAGTCACTAACTCAGTATGTATCGCCAGATCGCGACAGGATGGTTTTCAGACATGAGTTGGGTCTAACAACATGTGCGACTCGTTGAACTAGATATCTAGAATCTTTCAGTCTCTTGCCGTCGGCAGCACCACGACTAACTTTGTGTCGGTATTGATGACACGCACGTTGATAGCAATCTACAGCACGTTATGGAGTACAATGTGTGCGTAGCGGTTAGTTCTAGAGACGATAGGTACTTCTATTAGATATTGGACAAAGTACCTACTTAGCCACCTCAAGGGGCGTGTATTGAACTAGGTAGACTACCTAAACTATTGGAGCTTCAGACTTGATCTTACTTTTTGTATCCTGCAAGGAACGGCGGGATGTGCTAGCAACTGCGAGACATGCTAAACATGGTAATGCAGGGTAGCTTTTGTATGGGTAAGCATGAACCTGTCGTCTTCTGTAAGAATTTGCATTTTTCGCAAAATCAAACTCGATAGGCAGTCAGTTTTGTTGGTGCAAATTTGCATGTTTCCCAAAATGGAGATGATCTTAGCCAGGGCAGGGTAGGTAATATACAGAAGGATCTCAGTGCTGCTGTGTTTCGCTGCCGCAGCGGAGAGAAGCGAAGCACGGGGTCTTCCCGTCGGGTCCCCCTCCCCTCCCCTCCATTCTTTCAAGCCTCTGTCTACCATGCCATGCATTCGTTGCCTTATACTGCATTGCTGTATTACTGAGGTACAACGCTTTTCAGTAGGGGCTGGCCTTGGCTTCAGGTAGATGCTAATTAGATGCTTTCATTTTCCGGAGTTACTCCTGACGCCTCCCAAGTCCCTTTCTCCACATGTATGCGCTACCCTCGGCAGGGTAAAGTGCAGTTTAAACCGGTACTTCTCCATGACACCAAGACTCGAGCGTAGACCAAGGTACCACTCCACGAAGGGAAGATTGAAAAGTCGAGTTAGGTAGGTACGTGGTAGCTTTTTGGGTAGGCTCGGTTCCCACCTCTTTCTCTCCTTCCTAGGTTTCCATGCATTTTACCTTGGCTTGGTCCTGCGCCTGAGCCTGCACAACGGACGGGAAACGGGAAAGGGTCAACTGCAGAAAACGGCAGTCACCACCATTCTCCGGACAGCTTCAGTCTCCAGCCCAGCTGCCCAGTACCAGGCCATCCATTGATTAGGCAGTGGAGGCTTAGGTTAGGCCGGTCTTGCCTTTTCCTTTTCGCACATCCACATCCACTCTGCCACACCCACCATAACCCGAGTCTGGGCTGCCACTCACTTGCCTGGCTTGCTCAGTCACTTGCTGTCCCATACCGGACATAGCACCATCCCATCCCATCCATCCTGCCTGGTCTGACCCTGACAAGGTACTTGCTACTTTCCCCCACCCACACTCCCATCTGCTTCTCACGCATTCCCATTCATCTTCTACCATACTGTACTCTACTTCTCCATCCCTCTCGTCTTTCCCGTTCCAAACAACATAGAAACGATCTTCCCCCCTTTCGACTCGACTCAACCCGACCCGAATTCAAATGCAAATTTGGTCTCCTGCGCACCCGCCTTTTGTCGCCTATTTCCCACCGTTCCGAACTTCCCACCGACAAATTTCGAGTCATAGTCCAACCCTGAGTACAAATTCGAGCGACCACGAATATCCACCCCCGCGCATTTGCCATCTGCGATTATCCATACCCTGTCCCTCTCTTTTTCGCTCGGTCTACCCGGCCTTATCACGTTGAACATTAACTCGAACCTGAATTAACTCGATTCGACTCGACTCATATCGATATTATTCGGCTCTCCAATCTTACAATATTTCCGGCCTCGTTAAATTGCTGGATCTGTCGCTTGCCTTCGCTCTTTGTTTCGCTGCACGTAGGGTCCTTTCCATCGGCCGGCCAGCCGTACCAACCCCTTGGTCGTTGTTTCAGGACACTATCTGTTCGCCTGAGCTGTGTCCATACGGGATAACGCCCACCCAGCATCTTCTTTGAGCGCCTGGCTAGGCTGTCCAGCCAGATGCTGTCGCTATGGATGGCTTCTACTCCCCCCATCAGCAGCAGCAGCAACAACAGCAACAACAACAACAACAATACCAGCAGCAACAACGCATGCAGCAGAACCAACAGAACCGCATGCAACACAATATGAACAATACGAATGATCCTTCCTACTTTCCAGGAGGGGATTCCCTCGATGACATTGTTCGCGATAATCAAGACAAACTATACCGCCGACAGAGTATGCCTCAAGCCTTCGCTAACCCTATGGGCCAGTTTCAGATGCCCCAGCATCAAGAACAGCATCAGCAAGGGCAGCGAAGGATGTCAGTCGTTGGCAACGGTGATATGATGACTTTTGGGAATGACAACGGCGATCTTAACTCCTACCAATTCAATCAGCCTATGGGGGCAGGATTTCCGACCATTAATACCTCTATCGGCATGGACCAAATGGGCAACTATATGACAGCTGATCCTAACGATTACTCGGCCATTTCCCCCGATATGATGGGCTCAATGATGCCCTCTACGTTCGCTAGTATGAGTGTAGGCGCGCAGATGGCAGGCAACGGCTCACCAATGAATCTCTACTCTCCATCTATTGCACAATTCCCGCAGGGACAACTCACTCCTCAAATTCAAGTTGGCAACGACTTCTCCATGGATCTCTCCCCGGATGGCAGTTCGATGAATATGAACCAAAGCAATCCTCCTCCACCAAATTCGATTCCCGCACCCGCCAATACAACCATGGACACGATAGAGGAACCGGGTGACAACATGATGAACAATCGCCAGTCCTACAACAACAACAATAACAATAACGGAGAAAACAACCAGAATGTACCCTCATTGTCTCGCCAAGTTTCTACCGCTTCTGGCTCCGTCGTTTCTCCTCCTCAACAACAGTCTCACGGGACTGTGTCCTCGACAACCGTCACTCAACCCACCAGTACCTCGGTTGCCACGACTCCATCAACCGGCGATGGTCCTAGAGATTCAAAAGAAAAGACGATATACTCCAAGAGCGGATTCGATATGCTCAAGGCTCTGTGGCTAGTTGCTACACGTAAAAATCCACGGATCCAACTCGGTGCTGTTGATATGTCATGCGCCTTCGTCGTCTGCGATGTCTCAATGAACGATTGCCCTATTATATACGTTTCCGACAACTTCCAGAACCTCACTGGTTATAGCCGCCATGAGATCGTTGGTCAAAACTGCCGCTTTCTTCAAGCTCCAGATGGTAAAGTCGAAGCTGGTTCAAAGCGTGAATTCGTCGACGATGGTGCTGTGTACAACCTGAAGAAGATGGTTCATGAAGGCAGGGAAGTTCAACAAAGCCTAATCAACTACAGAAAGGGTGGAAAGCCGTTCTTGAATCTTCTGACCATGATTCCTATTCCTTGGGATACGGATGAAATCAGATATTTCATTGGTTTCCAGATTGATCTTGTGGAATGTCCCGACGCAATCGCATCTAACCAAGATCTAGGTGGTGTCAAGGTAAACTACAAGCACAGCGATATCGGTCAGTACATCTGGACACCGCCGCAATCCAGCCAATGGGAGCCTGAGAATGGCCAGACACTGGGTGTGGACGACGTTTCAACTCTCTTACAGCAGTTCACCCCTAAGGGTCTTACATCCGATTGGCACAAGCAATCTTGGGATAAGATGCTCCTGGAGAATACTGACGATGTTGTCCACGTCCTCTCACTCAAGGGTCTATTCCTGTATCTTTCACCATCATGCAAGAAGGTATTGGAATACGAAGCTGCCGATCTCGTTGGCAACTCACTCTCGACTGTTTGTCATCCATCTGATATTGTCCCTGTTACACGAGAACTAAAAGATACAACAACCGGAAACCCCGTCAACATCGTCTTCCGAATACGCAGAAAACATAGCGGTTATACATGGTTCGAAAGTCACGGGTCATTGTTTGTCGAACAAGGAAAGGGTCGAAAATGCATTATTCTCGTGGGCCGGAAGAGACCAGTATTTGCTTTAAGTCGACGCAACCTTGAAGCAAATGGCGGCATTGGCGACAGCGAACTATGGACAAAACTCTCGACCTCGGGCCTGTTTTTGTACGTTTCCTCAAATATTAGGTCACTGCTCGATCTCCAGCCCGATAGCCTTGTTGGAACCAGTATGCAGGATCTCATGCGGAAAGAATCACGACCCGAGTTCGGACGAACGATGGAAAAGGCGAGACGCGGAAAGATCGTCACTTGTAAGCACGAGGTTCAAAACCGCAGAGGTCAAGTACTACAGGCCCAAACGACTCTCTACCCGGGCGACGCCTCTGAAGGTCAAAAGCCGTCGTTCTTGCTCGCCCAGACAAAACTTCTCAAGGCTTCTTCGCGCAATCTTGCACCTAACAGCGTATCCGGCTCCAGATCCATTGCCGGCACCCCGAGGTCAAACAACGGCACCGAGAACCACGCGACGGGCCATATCTCCCAGCCTGCTGGTGGTGCACTGGCACCAGGCACCCAGGATGCGGCTCTGGCGTCAGAAGACAACATTTTTGACGAATTAAGAACGACCAAGTGCTCCAGTTGGCAATTCGAATTACGACAAATGGAGAAGGTGAACAGGATATTGGCTGAGGAACTCGGGGGTTTGCTCTCTAGCAAGAAGAAGCGTAAGAGAAGAAAGGGAGTGGGCAACGTCGTCCGGGATTGCGCAAACTGCCACACAAGGAACACGCCCGAGTGGCGTCGCGGGCCTAGTGGTCAAAGGGATCTTTGTAACAGCTGCGGTCTTCGCTGGGCTAAACAGGTAAGTTTCCTCGTTTTGGGTGTTCCTCGCGTCACTTACTGACATATTTATCAGACCGGTCGAGTCTCTCCGCGCAACTCATCTCGAGGAGCTAATACTGTAAACGGCGATTCTCGAAGCAAGAAATCCAACTCGCCTTCATCACCACTGCACAAAGAATTATCTGCCGACAGCTCCAACGCACAGACTCCTAATGGCGAGAGTGGCATCAACCCAGCACAGCTCACGAAGCAGAAGATCGAAAATGGCACCGCTGCACCCAGCGGCGCCCCCTCAGCCACGGGTGTCAAAACGTCAGCTGGAATGCCACCCTTGAGTCATTCCTCGATGCTAGGTGTTGGGCAAGCTTCCTCGATGGCTTCGATACGAGAAGAGCGCGAGACGAGCCAGTCTTGAGCATTGAGCGTGGCATGATTTCCTATCTTGATTCTTTTTGTTCCTGGGGCTGCAATCTGGTAAAGGATCTGCGGAGCGAGGTGTCTTGATTGTCCAGCATTTGTGATACCCCACCATCTTTCTTCTCTAGCCTCGCTTCACATTTGAGGCTGACGGACATAACAAGACATGTGTGACAACAATGGCTTGGAGCTCAGAAGACAGCACTGAGTATTCCTAGTCTGCTTTTATTTATTTGGTGTAGGTGATTAACCTCTTGAAATGGTGTACGAAGCACTGGAGCTTTGGTTTGGGAATAGACACGAATATACCTACTTACATATACGAGGCGTTTGTGGAATGGAAAGGAAGACCTGAATACGAATTGAGGAGATCCCGGCTACGGCTACTTATACGAATTCTGTACTTGCTTGAATACTGATGGACTGGATGTTCCCCCCTTCAACTCCGTGCTTCCACTCAACAAAGCGGATGGCCTGGAGTCGAGCAAATATTGGTTGGGTTCCACATCTGGGACATGTTGAGCGTTGGGATGGATGTATTCACAGGTAGCTGGTTGCGGGAGGACTCTTCAGCATGTACGTAAAACAAACGAGCGAGGCGAATTGGTTAAAATTACAAAATTTATATTTACTTCACTACCTGCTTATTCGGCTACCCTGCAACGATTATCGACGGCCAACTGGCGTGACCATGGAGCTGTGTGGACGAGGTTCCTTTTCTCGAGATATTTCTAGAATTAGGCACATTATTAGCTGTTGAACCGCTATCGATCACCTCGAACCATCACTGATCATTGTTATGATTCGTAACGCCTACCCTAGAAACTGAGATGTAACATTTGCTGTCACAAGGTTGATAGATAAGGTTGTACACACGTAAGCGGCTCGAGAGACGAGGTCCTATGTCAACAGCAGCATGTGATGTTCCATCTTCTGATCGAAAGACACAACCACCACAAAAGCAGATGAGTTGATTGACGTCAGCGGCTTCCCTCAGACCGATGAAGCTAGCGGTAGTGGTGTGGCCGTATCGACGGCCCAAGGGGCACTGATAAGATATGCAAATTAGGGGATGTTCATACCCGTGACTATTGTCTCAGACGATAATTAACTCCAATAAGGGACTCTGGGCAAGTTTGGCGTTGTGAAGGCGTAGGACACTGGAAAGAGTGGAACATGATAAATAGCGATATGCAGTTGAACAAGCTTTATATAGAAGGGAGCCGAGCTACCTAGGTACATGCGATATTGGATTTCCAGACTTTTATACAACAGACCATGGTCTAAAGCTCATCCTTTGTATGTGTTCCATCCCCTGCTTTCTGGCCCTTAGTGTTCTCGTTCTTGTCCTCAATGCCCTTGCGTCGTCGATCGAGTGCTGCAATCTCGTTGTCGTAAACAGTCCACTCTGGAACCTGGCGTCTTGCACGGTCGAGTTTGGGCTCCTTAGTTTGTGGGTTATTGCAAAGATCGATGGTGCGCGCGTTGGATAGACTTTCATCGCTGCACCATGTTTCGCACCAGAGCCACTCTTGAGGAAGACTGTGGATTGGAATAGCAAACTGCATGTTATTTGGGAGATCCTGATCCAGGTTGGATAAGCTGTTGGGGTCAGCGGACAGTTGATGGTACTGTTGCCGGAGACGATCTCCTGCCGCCAGCTGGCGGAACCGGTTGAGGTCAACAACGTAGAGCGCCGAGATATGATATGGCAACCCGCGAAGATAATTTGCCCAGTAGCCTTGCTTCCAGAACCTGAAGCCTTCCATTTCAGTGCGGGAGTCGCACATAGGTGTGAAACCATACGGTGCACCCTCAAGGTCGTGATTCACAAGATCCATCATATCGGTGCGAACAACTTGATCTGCGTCAACAAAGATGACCTTGTCAAGAGAAAGAGGAAATAACACATCGAGGAATAGGATCTTGTATCCCCAGATCTCACGCTGCTTCTCCTTTTGTTGACGAAGCCAATGTGGCCACTTGTAGGTGACCATCTCGTATTTAAATCCGTACTCAGCCGCCATATGGGGGATGAATTCTTTGAAGGAGGGTGAGAGGAATTGCTCAATGAACCAAAACTTGACTGTGTGCTTTGTGTTTCGCATAACTGACACCATCATGATGTTGAGCATGCGCTCGTACAAATGGCCGCTAGCAACACTGAAAATATTGATTTCAGCATGTTCTTTAGCGGAAATTTGCTTAGGCGACTTCGTTCCCCCGAGGAAACTTTCGGCAAACTTGAGACCCTTGGCAACAATGCCATCGTTTTCACTGTCGGGAGGTTCCAGAACATCAACTTCTTCCATTCCGGGCTTGCGGTTGAGACGCGGGTACAGAGTCGTACCCTTGAAATCCATGAGCGCAATTTCCGTGCCTTCGTCTCCAGGAACAGCAGCGTAGCCTTGGGCACCAACACTCTCGATGTTAAAGATCTTGGAGCTACGACCTTCCTTAAGTTGGATGTTGTAGAATCCAGGGTTGGCCTTGAACTGGAAGTACCCGAGGTTTGCCATAACAATGGTATCCGTTACGAGAGGGTCCTTCTCAGTCGCTAGTGCCAGTTGTGCACCCCTTGGAGCACCCCGTTTGCCATCTCTAGAGTGACCTTCAATAAGGATGTTCTCTAATTCGTAGGTTACATCAATATCTGTTTTGACAGAGCTAAGCTTGATGTTATCCAAGTCCTGGACCGAATCTTTGGCAGCCACCAACCAAGCAGGAGGGACATCCATTCCTGCTGTTAGTAGAGCCTCTGAAGGAAGGCCCTTGAAATGGGCCTTGGGACTTTGAACGTGACCAGAAGCATCAAAGGATGGCGTGGAATTGAGCACGTATCGGAAGAAGCGTTTGATGGGAAGCTCATCTATTACCTCTTTTGGATTCATGAAGAGCTTCAGGTACACGCCATCGAGCTCCGACAATACCTTGAGGATAGGAGCCCATCGTTGTCCTTGTTCACTGGTGGGGTTGAGGAGACCGGCAATGTGAATGCTTGCAGTTTCTGGGTCGCCAACTTCAATGGCGCTGTGCGTCGAGTTCCAGGTGCTGTAAAGAGTACTTCGAATCGACGGGGCAGACTCGAAAATCCCCTGAGGCAAGTCAGAAATGGTGGAAAGCGCGGTGATAGAGGTGAGCTTCGCGGCAGCAAGAGGGTCTGATAGCTTATCCGCAAATCCAAGCTCCTTAATTGCAGCATAAACAGGAAGGATCCTGTTGCGCTGTTCAAACTCCAAGAGCTGCTTTATGTCATCATCCTTAAACGAAATTTCAGATGGTAGGGGGCCAACTACTCGACCATTGAGAAGTAGGCTCTTGGTTCCTGGCAGAATATTAGAAGTAGACAGGAAGTTAGATAGCTTCGTAGCAAAACCGTCCTCTTCAGCTGTCCATGATGCTTCAAGTACAGCTTTCAGGTCATCCTTGCTCTCCATCTCGGCAAGTTTGACTTCACTAAGCTTGAAGGCCCCATTGATAGCATGGGCATCCGTAGGCGAAGGAGGATTGTGAATAATATCAAGCCGAACTCCGCGATTGTTGCGCTTGAACTCAATCGCAGCAATAAGGAGATCTTGCCCGTCATCTGTGTTGAGGTCGGCGACGGTGGTGAGAACGGCCCAGTCTTCTTTGGCACTCTCGGGATCCGCAGGTAAGACGGCCACTTTTCCGAATAGTCCCGCATGCTCTGTGTAGAGTTTGTTGATATCTAGAATACGGAGTGCCTTGTCGTCATCGGGGAAGATGTACGTGTTTCTCTTCGAAAGTGCGCTATTAAGGAAGAGGTCAGAAACTGACGCCTCTTCATTGACATGTCCAAAGTACACAGCTTTCTGGATTGTTTGTTGGTCCTCAGTCAGTCGCTGGCCCATCACCTGCACCCAGCTCTTTTCACGTGGGATAGCCATGCCATTGACAAAGATAGGGCGCACAGTGGTGTTAGCGTTGAGGCGACTTGCCCAAGCCTGGCTTGCCTTGACTTTCTGCACATAAGACTCAGCCTCAAGAACCTCACTCAGAGTCATCTTGGTCATTTCTGGTAGCGGCTCTCGTCCATCGATAGCTCTGGCGAAAGACTTCTTATTGGCCGCGCCTTCTGGTCCCTCCTCGCTCTCTTGCAGATAGGTTATGAGAGCTTCAAAGCCATAAGTTTCCATCAAATGATACACTACCTTGGCTTGTGCTGTAGATTCAGGCGTAGTGGCCAAAGGAACAATGCCAAAGCGTAGGGTGATCCCGCGTTGCATGAACTGAGCCAACTGACCGAAGGCTCTTCCGTCTTCGAGGTTGGTGAAATCAACAGGGGCAACAACGTGAAACAAGTTAATGGCAACCTGTGGAAGCTGACCTGGATACGTACGTTGAAGGAGCTATATCATGATTAGCGATGGGATTTTAAGATCGGGCTTTTACATACTGCAGTCAGATCGCTAGGAAACTTTTGATACCGGGCGTCCTTCTCAAGGTCATTGAGCCACATGACAGCTTTTCCATTCTCCAGACGATCAGTCCAGTCAAACCTCGGGGGCTCATCATCGGCTTTTGAACTGGCAATCTCCGAATGGCCCAAGAGTGAGACGGCTTGTTGACCGCTGAAGCCAAGTTCGCGAACGCCATCAATGAGCTTGCGTTCACGTCGGATCATTTCGATGAGTGCGAAGGGTTCAACCTGACGCTCAATGAGTTGCACGCCGTTCATCCAAAGGAAGTTGATCCCACTGGGGACGCCGGCAGCGACATTCTTCTCCTGCTCCTCGACAAAGTCCTGAGTGACTTCATGGGAGGCAATTGACGCTGAGAACTTGGGAAAGTCCTGTGTTGACTTTACTAAAGCATCGAGAGGGTTCTCACTCTTCAGGATGAAAGACGCGGCCTTTAGACCCAGAGATGCTAGTTCGGACGATGAAAGAGGTTTCAGATCAGCAACATCCTCAGTGGCATCAAGGTCGACATCGGCGGCAGCAGGCTTTTGATGGGCCTTCTGGCCTCCCTCACGATCATCAATCACGATATAATCAGTTCGCTTCAGATCCAACTTGACACCATAACCGCTCACAGGCAAAGGGGAAGGGGAAGCGTCGGGGCTTCGACGGTACCGCAGTCTGTATGACAGATCACCCTGTCTAGCAGCCTTAGAGAGGGCGTCGTGAAATGGGCCAAAGGAGGTGGATGCAGGATCGGCGTAAAGGATGGCGTCTTTTCCAAATCCCAAAACTCGATCGAATGGCAGCACTTTAATTTGTCTATCTTCTGTTAGGAATGTGATATCGGTGTGCCAAACTCATCAAACTTACTTGGTAGATACTTCGCCCTCTATGGATGTATCGAGCGATGGAGAACAGTATTTTTTGTTGTCAACCAAAGCCCAACTATCGCAGCTGTCGGCACCATTCACTTGAGGTTCGGGGTCGACAGCTGTGCTATAATATTGGTAGTGCGCTTCAATACGAGGCGCAGCAGCTCGTAGTGATAGAGAGAGCTTGAAAGTAGAAAGAGCTTCAGGTGTGGTGATATGATCATCTTTCTGAAGAACCTCGAGAAACTGATCGTAAAGCTCTGCATCTGATTTGGCGGATACAAAATGGCCACTGGCTATCTTGTCGAGAAGCGGGAAGTAGGCTGTTGAGTTTTCCCCAGCAGCTGTCTCACTATGAGGTGTTAGAGCTATCCCTTGAGTGGCTCATGAGAAACGTTATAAGCTTACAGAAGTTCAAGCAGATATGGTCCACGAGGAAAGGCAGCATTCATGCCAACATTGACCGATGGTGATGCAGACGAACCAGCAACAGCCAATAAGGCCATGACCATGCATTGGGATAAACACGGCATCTTTGCGACTTATCAGAAGCAATGCATATAGTCTTTTTTTGGCCGTTGACTATGGCAGTTCCTCGCGATGGAGGGGCAAAGGACAGCTCTCCCAAGCTTCGATGACAATGAACAAAGAATTGTAGCTTATCTGAGGAATTTGAATTTCACGAGCTCTTGTCTACATGCGACAAGCTCTGAATTGCCAACACTGACACCATGTATCAGGAACGAAGAAGGCTGACCGTTTCGAGGTCTTGGGAACGAACAGCGTCACTTAAACCAGGAGCTGTCTACATTAAGTTTAGCGCCGAACGACGTCGTTAGAGGGAGTGCTGGACTTTCCTTTCCTTACGTGGCAGAAACAGCACCCCCTGCATCTCCAGCCACATTCAGGGAGTCGGTCCCCCACTTGCCAGTGTTACCACCTGTCCCCCTCCGCCGGGGGAATAATGTTCCATGGATTACAGTGGCTTTGTACCGAGCTCCACTTGCGCTCCCCCCAGAACGATAGGATAGCCCACATTAAGCATCGTGTTCAATTGCCCAAGGCTAGGAGTTCGCTTCGTTGGCCAGCATTCAACTACATCTCCCTTACAACTCCTATAATCCTCTCTTCACTCTTTCCGTGCTGTGCTGTGCTGGTCAGCTCGCCTCCGACTCTTGCGATCCAGCTAAAAGCAAGCCCAATAGCTGCTTCCATCAACCGCTTTCTGGGCGTCTTGAATTGTTCCACCCCTTAATGCTTGAAGCTGCGGCTTCACCTCCCCGCCAATATGCAGTCCTCCCCCGGAATGTTGACTAAGGTATGGGAGTACGATGACAATGGATCTTGACAGCACTGACAGTCTTCTTTGCGCAGTTCGAGTCCAAGTCCTCGAGAGCTAAAGGCATTGCCTTTCACCCCAAGAGGTTTGTAGTCCGACGTTGCTGAACCGCATCGCAAGCTCCGAAGCTGACAAGTTACCATCAGACCATGGATCCTCGTTTCGCTACACTCTTCCACCATTCAGCTCTGGGATTACCGAATGGGAACTCTAATTGATCGCTTCGAGGAGCACGATGGTCCCGTCCGTGGTGTCGACTTCCACAAGACACAACCGCTTTTCGTCTCTGGCGGTGACGACTACAAGATCAAAGTCTGGTCTTACCAGACCCGACGATGCCTCTTCACCCTCAATGGCCATCTCGATTATGTTCGAACCGTCTTCTTCCATCATGAGCTTCCATGGATTCTGTCAGCCTCCGACGACCAGACCATTCGGATATGGAACTGGCAGAACCGGTCGCTGAGTATGTCGAAATGGTAATCCTGGCCTAGTAGTTTACAATACTGACTTTCTGATAGTTTGTACCATGACTGGTCACAACCACTATGCAATGTGTGCTCAGTTCCACCCCAAGGAAGACCTCGTCGTATCTGCGTCACTCGATCAGTCCGTCCGCGTTTGGGACATCTCCGGCCTCCGAAAGAAGCACTCCGCCCCTACCTCGATGTCCTTCGAAGACCAGATGGCGCGCGCCAACCAGAATCAGACCGACATGTTTGGAAACACCGATGCTGTTGTCAAGTTCGTTCTTGAAGGTCACGACCGTGGCGTCAACTGGGTCGCTTTCCATCCCACCATGCCCCTCATTGTTAGCGCTGGCGACGACCGTTTAGTAAAATTGTGGCGCATGAGCGAAACAAAGGCTTGGGAAGTCGATACTTGCCGAGGGCACTTCCAGAATGCGTCAGGATGTCTTTTCCACCCCCATCAAGATCTAATCCTGTCTGCTGGAGAGGACAAGACCATCCGCGTCTGGGACTTGAACAAACGAACTGCTGTTCAATCTTTTAAACGTGAGAATGACCGTTTCTGGGTTATTGCGGCCCATCCCGAGATCAACCTTTTTGCTGCTGGTCACGATAATGGTGTTATGGTCTTCAAGCTGGAGCGGGAGCGCCCTGCTTCTGCTGTTCACCAGAACCTTCTTTTCTACGTCACCAAGGAGAAGCACGTCAAGTCTTATGATTTCCAGAAGAACATTGAGAGCCCTACACTCCTATCGCTCAAGAAGCTTGGCAGTGCCTGGGTCGCACCCCGAACACTGTCCTTCAACCCTGCCGAGCGATCCATCCTGGTTACCTCGCCAGCTGATGGCGGATCTTACGAATTGGTTAACCTGCCCAAGGATGGTTCTGGTGCTATCGAGCCCGCTGAGTCCAAGCGAGGTGCTGGCAGCTCTGCCATTTTTGTTGCCCGTAACAGATTCGCTGTTCTCAACTCCGCCAACCAGACTATCGACATCAAGGATCTCTCTAACAACACCACTCGATCTTTCAAGCCTCCTACTGGCACTACCGACATCTACTTTGGAGGCACTGGCAACCTCCTAATCATCACACCCACCGCTGTCCACCTTTATGATATCCAGCAGAAGAAGAGCACTGCTGAGCTTGCTGTCAACGGTGTCAAGTATGTTGTCTGGTCTAATGACGGACTTTACGCCGCCCTTCTAAGCAAGCACAACGTCACAATTGTGTCGAAGACTCTTGAGCAGGTCAGCACGTTACATGAGACCATTCGTATCAAGAGCGCCACTTGGGATGATGCTGGTGTTTTGCTCTACTCTACTCTGAACCATGTCAAGTACACTCTCTTGAACGGTGACAACGGCATTGTCAGAACCCTCGACCAGACTGTCTATTTGGTCAAGGTCAAGGGCCGCAATGTGTACTGCCTTGACAGAGCTGCTAAGCCCCGCATTCTCCAAATTGACCCTACGGAATACCGATTTAAGCTGGCGCTCGTCAAGCGCAACTATGAGGAGATGCTCCACATCATTCGAAACTCCAGCCTTGTTGGTCAATCAATTATCTCGTATCTCCAGAAGAAGGGCTACCCCGAAATCGCCCTCCAGTTCGTCCAGGACCCTACCACTCGTTTCGATCTTGCCGTTGAGTGTGGTAACCTTGATGTCGCCGTCGAGATGGCCAAGGAACTTGACAAGCCTAAGTTCTGGACCCGCCTCAGTACCGAAGCGCTGGCTCACGGCAACCACCAGGTTGTCGAGATGTGTTACCAAAAGCTCAAGCAGTTTGATAAGCTGTCTTTCTTGTATTTGGCTACTGGTGACCGTGCAAAGCTTGCCCGTATGGCCAAGATTGCAGAGCACCGTGGTGATTTCACATCGCGATTCCAGAATGCTGTTTACCTTGGAGAGGTTGAGGACCGGATCCAGATGTTTAAGGAGATCGACCTTTGTAAGTGCTATTAACTTCCATTCTAGTAATTGCAACTGACCTTTGCTAGACCCTCTTGCCTATATGACCGCCAAGTCCCATGGTCTTGAGGAGGAGTGTCAGTCTATCCTAGAGGCCACGGGTCTTACCGAGGAGGACCTTACGCTGCCCACTCTAGGAAGCCCCTTGTCTGCCCCTGCGGCAATTGTTCCCACCTTCAAGGCTTCCTGGCCTACTAAGGCTACCTCGCAGTCCTTCTTTGAAAAGGCTCTACTCGGCCAAGTTGAAGGTCTTTCCTTGGAGGATGAACCCGCTTCCGCCAACACAGGCTTCGAGGACGCTATGGAAGTCGATTCAGCTGCCAAGCACAACGGTGCTCTGATTAACGATGATGATGAAGATGCTGCTGGCTGGGATATGGGAGATGATGATGTCCCTGAGGCTGACAGCGATTTTGTCAACGTCGAGAGTGTTGATGCAGGTGGCGCTGCCAGCAGCGAGGCCGATATGTGGGCGCGAAACTCACCCCTGGCTGTTGATCACGTCGCTGGGGGCTCTTTTGAAACTGCTATGCAGCTTCTTAACCGACAGGTTGGTGCTGTCGATTTCGCGCCTTTGAAATCACGATTCCTTGAAGTCTACTCAGCTTCCAAGACTTTCCTCCCTGCTTCTGAAGGCCTCCCTCCTCTGGTAAACTATGTTCGCAGAACTCTGGATGAGACCGACCCCAGGAAGGTCTTGCCCATTATTCCTCGCGATCTTGAGCATCTTGCTTCCAACGACCTTCAAGCAGGTTATGATACCATGAAAGCCAACAAGCTGGAGGCTGGTATTGGTATCTTCAAGGGTATTCTTCACTCCATTCTTGTGAATGCTGTATCAAGTGAGGATGAAGTCGCCGAAGCCAAGAAGCTCATCACCTCCGCCAGTGAATATGCCGTTGCCATGAGCATTGAGCTTTCAAGGAGGCAACTGGGTGCCCCTGATGTCGTGGCAAAGGATCCAGAGAAGCTCCAAAGGAGCTTGGAGCTATCCGCCTACTTCACCATTCCTAAGATTGAGGTGCCCCACCGACAGCTTGCTCTGCTGAGTGCTATGCAACTGGCTATCCGCAACAAGAACTACAACTCCGCTCTGAGCTTTGCAAACCGCATCATTGCCAACGGAGGTGCCACTAAGATTGTAGAAAACGTAAGTCGCATCTGCGCCAGGCAACTTTTATTTACCCACTGACTAATTCCATGCAGGCGAAGAAGACCAAGGCTCAATGCGAGCGCAATCCCAATGATGCTATTGAGATTGAGTTCGACCAGTTCGCCGAATTTGATGTGTGCGCTGCCAGTCATACACCCATCTACAGCGGCACTGCTTACGAGGAGTGTGCCTTTGATGGCTCAAAGTACCACACCAAGTACAAGGGCACTGTCTGCCGCGTGTGTGAAGTGTGTGAGATTGGCAAGCATGGAAGCGGCTTGAAGCTGTTCGCCTAAACTCGCAAAACCTAGTCAAAGATTTAATGATGGAAGCGGACAGTCGGGACAAGGAGTTTCGAGTCAACGATGTATGAAAAGAGCCTGATAGATGAGGTGGAAGGTCTGGGGCTCCAAAAAATGGTTGGACTTGGACGGTTGGTTGATAGAAACATGGCCAAGGAGTCATGTCATTGTAGTTGCAACTTAGCCTGATTATATGCGTGAAGCAAAAGATCATGGAATCACGTTTCAAAAGACGTATGTTTGATGCTTGTTAATTGGCGACTCGTCTGCAAAGCGAGGCCCTCAAGTTGAATTAGTCGTACAACAATCCTTTCTCTCCCCTACGTGTCTATGTTTGTCTTCGCATCCCTTTCTCGGTGCCAGTATAAGAGCACATCCATTAAACAATCGTCTCAAGCTCGCGGGCGTAGCCCAGAGCATTCTCTATCACCATTTGGCTCATCTCCTTGATCTGATCGCCGTCCTCGCCTTCAGCAGCATCAGGGAAGTAAATTTGACCATCACGAACAATCCAGCCACGGTGGTGAGCAAAAGAAATGACGTCGCCCTCGGAGTCCAAGAAGAGGAGCGACTTCGTGGAGCTAATTGGCAGGCTAGGGTATGCGCGTTCGCTGCTGGAAGCAATCTCGGAACGGATCTGGTTCTTAAGAATCTGTGATGGAGTCAGCATTAGTGAGTTAGAGAGGTTTCGGTCAATATAGGCAGCCTACCTCTGAGAATACGCTGTACTCGTCGCAGGGCACCTCGCTGCTCTTCATGGCCTTCCACACCCTGTCGTAAGATCCTTCCATCAACCACCTCTCCAGGCGGATAGGATAGCCCAGGTATCGATCGCTCTCGACGTCACCGCCACCTCCCTCACGGTTCTCCAAGCTCTCAAGCTCAGTGTGGAACTCGGCATATCGACCCTGCGTCAAGAGCAGAAGCAAGCTGAGACCAGTAATCTTGTTGCGCTCGGCGAGGTTAGGTGGGAGAATGGAAGCGGGCAGCTCGTAGAAAGGCTGGAGCTGCTGGACGTAGCGAGTGAAGGCTTCAGGGTTGCGGGCACGGATGGCGAATAGAGCGCCCTGCTCGTAGGTTTCGCGGGCAAGAGGCAGGAGTTGCGTAGGTGTTGATGGGGAGGGCGTCAAAGCGTTGAGCTTGAGAAGTGCGAGCTTGGCCTTTGAGAGGAGGGCGTTGGCATCAGCATAGCTCATGGAGGGGGAGTGCTTGAGCTGAGAGATGATCTGGGAGAGATTGCGTTCGGCCATGGTGGGCGACAGGTTGTTTTTGCGTATTCTACTATGTCAAATATGTGGGCACGCAATAGCGATTTCTCGAGAGAGTCGTGGTGGTAGAGATATGATCAATGGTGTGGTGTTTGTGTTGAGGATAGTGTTGATGATGATATCCATTCAAGCTTCACCAGGCTGCATCCAGTGACGCGAGGCCACGGCACATGCCTGTGGTTGTGTTAGGCGCTTTGTTGCAAGGGATCTCGGGTAAAGGATAATCCGGGCATCCGGGCATCCGGGCTCGTTACTATCGAAATGGCCTTGTGATATTCATTCAACACAACATTCAGGTACGAAGAGATTGGCTGATATTTTGACATGATTCTATTTCTTTTTGTCTAGACCAATTATAACATGGGAGATCTCGCCCTGTCCTGATTAAGCGATAGTTCATTGCGCCTACCTATGAGAATGAACGAAATGAAATCGCCTCTGCCTAGTAGCATTTGCAGTCGCATCGATGTTACGTACAAGAACATTTCCTTCTTATTATTATATCGGCACGGCTGCTGATATTTAATCAATATTTACTGGAAATTAGGCAGTCGATGGTTCGCCAGAGATGAGTTCAACCGACTGGTACACAACATGTTGCTCGTATCACCATCGACTTGTCTCGTGGCTTTGCGGAGTTTTGCGGCTTCTGTAAGGCAGTGTGTTTGTGTGCGTGGAACTCTTCATATAACAACTCCGACGTACAACTAACATACATTCCTGGTCCTCTCATCTCCATTGCAAACATATAACCCACTTTGTTCCATTTTTCTAGCCGCAAGATTAAGTGTTGGCTATCAGATAGACGGATCTGTAAATAGCAACTGGGGCTGTGGCCGAGCAGATGTATCAATTGAACTTGTCTATGACAGCTCAGCAGTGTGCCAAGGGCATGTCTGTGCAAGACAGAAGTCGAGTCGATTAGGAATTGAGAGGCGTTGTGAGAAGCTGAACTATCACAATCACGGTCAGCCTCTCTGAACTATCGATATGGCCTTGCAAGTTCGCTTGTGGCGGGCTCCAACCTCAAATTGGAGAGCGAGACGAAGATTGAAAAGGCTTGGGGGTGGAAACCACCAGCTCGAGATGTAAGGTCCCGTGCCTGTGCTGAGCTTTGTATCTGCCTTGTGGCGCATTAATGTATGCAATTTCCACTCTTAAGATACCTCAACTGTTGTGTTCAACGAGTGATAGCCCTGTCTTTAAATGATAGGGCGGGGTGTTGCCGCTCCGTGGCACCCGCCTCCATTCTATCTAAGCGGGCTCCCTTCTGGACGTTACCAGGCAAGAGGCATCTGACGTCGAAGATCTTTAGGCCTTACCTTAGCTAGTAGTTTAGGTAAATCGGATATTTGTTTCGTTTAATGCCACTTTTCGAAAACCTCCCTTCTTTATTCATATCTTACCGTCTTCCTGATCCTTTTGCTTCTTTCCCTTTTCTTGATTCAACGTCGAAAGATTCACCAATACCCCTCCATATCTACGTCAGTTGTCGATCGATTGATTGATTGATACGATAACACAAGAATCGATCTATTGCGCCGTTGAAGGATCTGGAGTGAGATCCCTGCTGAGAATCATTTACATACGTCCTTCTGCTCGCTCGCAAAACGTTGATAGCACCAGCCTCGCTCCTGCTACTTCCCCCCACGCCTGGTCCGGCCTGGTCTGGTCTGTCGCGCATTTGTTCTCTGCCCCGCCCGCCATTTTCCAACCGCCCACAGTTCCATCCATTCAAGCAGGGTTCCTTATGCTGGCTAGTGAAGGTGGTGTCACAGTTACAGCTACAGCTCCAGCAGGTTCTGATTAAAGTACCTGGGCAGCATTGAACTGACGAATACATAACGAACCTGCTAGACACCTGCAATTGCTATTGACCAGGATAGCTTTCTTTTCCCTCCTCAACTTCGTTTACTCAGCCGCAACGCATTTCGTCACCCGCGCTCTCGCTCTCAGCCGCAATGGCAAGCTATCAGCAATATGCCCAGCTCGGCAAGAAAGCCAACAACAGCTCAGCCGCCGCCGGTAATTCTTCATGTAAGTAGTTCACTTTGCTCTCGTCATCCTCTTGTCCTACATACGCGCCTTGTAAGAACTGATGTACAGAAGCGGCCTTGTAACCCGTTGGCGATACTGCGTTTACCAGGTTGATTTGCTTGCTTGATGACTGATTGATGGTCAACTTCGGATACCTGGACGTGATCCCTTGTCTATAATCCAAACTCAACGTGCAGAACATACATGTGCACAACGTCTGATATGCAACCTCGACTACGGCTCGGAGATGCTCTTTTACGACTGGCCAAAGATACTGTGGTACATTACGCACATGCCGACTGGCCCTGCACGATATGTCACCTACATGACCCCAAGGTTCCTGAGAGCTCCAGCGTTGATCAGTTCATCGATCTGGCTACAAAGCTATTTACGTCTGGCGCCTAGTCTGAACTAATGCACTGCCTTCCTGGATCTCAGTGTTGCCAAGCCACTATGGGTCTAAAACAAGTTATGTCTCAGAACACAATTATGCCTGAATACCAGAAAATCCGGAGAAAGAATATTATTGTGTCCGGGCAATACTGGAGCGTTCGGAGCACTGCCTCCTAGATTATCGAAGGCCTTGGTTGAGGTTCTTCTCTTGCAATCTCAGATCTGACGGCAGTTGTGGTCTCCCTCTTACACGGTAATGGATCGCAATCCATCTTCAGCTCCGACTCGCGGCGTGGGCTTCCAAGCTGGCCCCACGCTCGCTCTATATTCCCTGTAACAGGACCCCTGTGCTTGATCATCAGCCCCTGAAGAGGGTTTTATGGTAGTGGAGGGTCGCTGTTCAGCATCCATATCCCCGCTGCATAATTGCTACAATTCGGATTACCTCTTGGTTGGGCTTCAGCATGTCGCGCCTTGTACGGGGATTCTTGGAATCATTTTCCTGAACCAAGCAAGAGTGCCTGCCACCAATTTAGCCTTTTTCAGACTTTAAATTTGGAACCGCTGCCGTCAATCAGTCAGTCATCAAGCAAGCAACTCAACGTTTTCAACGTGGGAACTTTATCAGTCAAGCACAAGCACAGGCACAGGCACAGGCAAGCCAGCGCCTAACGCACGCGCATATTAAACAGCCTCCAGTGCTCACCTCAATCGAAGAGGGGTTACGCTGCCGCTTCTGCAGTCATCGGCGACCGCGCCCCGTCAGCTCTTACATTTGTTCCTAAGGAACGAAAAACAAGGGCCCCCTTCTTTATTCGTCATATCCCCCGTCCCTCTTGCTGACATCTTACGTCCTTTTCGCGATAGACGGCCAACGAACCGAGATGGCTCCCCCACAGTTAGGCGCGACCTTCGTACCCGGTGGTTTCGATGACTATTATATGCCAGAAGTCGTTGCTCCCTCCCCTCAAAGGTATGTTATCTTGGCTTTTCCCCCTTAATCCCATTTCCGGCCCGTTCCCCAGTTTCTATTTCCCATCCTCCTATTCTCAGCCCGATCCTTTGTAAAGCAAAGCTTGCCAGGTCCGGATGCGGTTGCAACGGTGAAAAGGTGGGGCATGCTGACGATTCTTTGTTGTTATTGTATCTAGGGTAACCCCTCAGGTCCCTCAAAATATGCAAGAGGACCTTCAGCGCATGGAGCTCGAAGCTACTTCTGTTGAACCTCGATCCCAAACCGGTCCTCGTCACTCTCGTGAACCATCGCTGTCGACTTACACCAATCTTCGGGGAACCGACCCGTCTCGGCCCCAGACTGCAACACAGGTCTCAAACGACGACATTCGCGCATACCAGTCCACCGATAAGATCACCGAGAGCCTCAACACTATGAGCTTCGACGCCCCCTCATTTTCACCTTTCCCCAAGGTCAAGGGCGATAACATCCCCCCGACCGATGAGGAAAAGGAAGAGATTCTTTGGAACGCGCGCAAGCATGTTCTTCACTCACAAAATGTTTCCATGCAAATTACATGGGCGCGCGACGTCCTCACTTGGGCCGATATTTCCTCAGAGTCTATGATCCGGGAATATGGCGAGAAGGCCCGTCCCGCCACACCCCGAATAGAACATGAGCTTCGAGTCGACGCTATCAATATTATCACCTATCTGTCGCAACAAGAGCACCCCGAAGCCTTATACATGCGCTCAAAATGGCTCGAGTTTGGCAAATTTGGCAACCGTGTCGACAAGCGTGAGGCTTATATCGGCTACAAGCGTGCTGCAGAGCTCGGCCACGGACGATCCGAGTATCGCATGGGCATGTTGTACGAACAGTCTAATGACATGTCTAAGGCGAAGGAACATTACTACCGCGGCCTTTCTCTCAAGGACTCAGCTTCCTTGTACCGAATGGGCATGATGAGTCTTTTAGGCCAACACGGCGAGACCAAGGATTACCAGACTGGTCTGGAGCGGATACAAGCTGCGGCTGATAGCTCGGACGAAGATGCTCCCCAGGGCGCGTATGTTTACGGTATGCTCATAGGACGCGACCTGCCGGACATCACCATCCCTGAGGGTTTGCTGCCTAACACCCCCGTAACAACGAAGATGTACATTGAAAAGTCCGCTTATCTAGGCTTCGCCAAGGCCCAACTCAAGATGGGTCAAGCATATGAACTCTGCCAGTTCAGTTGCGAATTCAACCCATCCTTCTCCCTCCATTATTATGGACTCGCAGCCAAGCAAGGCCTTCCTGAGGCAGCCCTCGGCGTGAGTCGATGGTTCCTCTTTGGTTATGAGGGTGTTTTCAAGAAGAATGAGTCTTTGGCATACAAATATGCCCAAGAAGCTGCAGCTGCCAAGCTACCTACGGGAGAATTTGCCTTGGGCTACTACAACGAAATAGGAATTCATGTTGAAAAGAGCTTGGCAGAGGCCCGAAAGTGGTACCAGCTTGCTGCTGATCACGGTAACCAGGACGCTCTTGGTCGACTTGAGTCCCTCGACGATAACAACACTCTATCCAAATCTGACCATGAGACTACCACACTAACCCGCATCAAATCGCAACATGGATCTCAACGAGGCAAGCGCCCTGATCGGTTCAAACAAACATCACAACAGATGCCCACACTCAGTGAGGGAAGCGCCCCTGCCTCGCCTGGGCTAGATGGGCCAGCCAACTCTTCCGTGGGTATGCGGCCTACCATTGTCTCGGAGCACGTCAACTTCCCTGATCCTTCACGAGCTTCTTTTGTACTGCCAGCCTCGAACGATAGACCTCCTGCCTTCAATGTGCGACTGGACTCCAACCAACAGCCAGCCCGGCCACAGTCGGCAGCTCCCTACCCTGAAGACGACCGTCCGCCACCTCTGACTGTCCGTTCTAAGTCAACGGCGCCATACCCGGAGGACGATACTCAGACTTCTCCTCGATTCAATCAAGGGGGACCCCACGCAGATCAACCCTCGAGCGCTTTTGGTATCAATCCTCAGATGGGTGCCGGTCGAGGTATGCCCCAGTCCCAATCTATGGGTAACCTTCATCCTGGCGGTCCTGGAGGACCAGGCCGGCCCGATCCTCGCAACAGAGCTGCATCTGCAGGGTGGGAAGGCCAACAAGGTCCCGGAGGACGTCCTTCTCCGTATCCTGAAGACAACGGGGCACAGTACCCTGGTGGTCTGCAGAAGGCCCCAACTGGAGGGCAATACTCACCAGGTTTGCAAAACCCACAATCTCAAAATTATGAACGCTTCTCTCGTGTACCCGGGGCGAGCGGTCGCCCTGAGCGTGGAAGCTCCTTGCCCCAGAATCAGCAGCAGCAACAGCCCCCGCCAAATGCACGTCCTCCACGCACTTCAAGTGCGCAGCCGCCTATGGGTGGACCCGGCGGTAGACCATCCCCAGGGCCTTTTGGTGGACCCCAGGGAGGACCTCAAGGGGGTCCTTCTGGCCCCCCAAGGACTGGCAGTGCTCCTCCTTCACAGTTCCAGAGACCTGATAACAAACCGAGCCCGGCGCCCAGCGCTCAGACTATGCCCCCGAAGCCTGCCAAGCAGGGAGCACCGGGCAAGCAAGGACCAGCGACGTTTGAAGATATGGGTATCCCACAAGGAAAGCAGGACAACGACTGTGTAAGTTCCCTCTCATACAACTGTATGAGCCTTTGATCAGATGACTAACAAAGTTTGTAGGTTGTCATGTAGATATGGAAAGTGGACGAGCAAGACTATAGTAGTCGGGAAATACATGGATCAGTTGATACAGGACACGAACACATAAAGTTGGGAGAAGGGGCATCTTTTTGGAGTCGAGCTCACGAGCGGAATGCATTTGTACCAGGCTCAGAAGTAAATATCCGTGAAAACGGGACAGGCTGGCGGGTCATGGCGCCTACGCGCTATTTGTTTGGATATCGAATATTGTAAGTATTATCGGTTTCTCAATGTACTGAATGGAAGAAAGCCACGGAATGCTTTGTGTAGATGGCAATACATTATGACAATACCTTTTCTAGCCGTCATGGCCTGAAGCGTTTGTTACCGAGTGTTCTAGTGATCATAGCATAGTTGTATTCGGTAACTGAATTGATGTTCACTTAAGAAGTGATGGTTGACATGAACACATAGGTAGCCAGGACGACAAGATGGGAACACAGATTGGGCCTGCGAACAATATATAAAACAACGAGGAGGAAATGTCTATATAAACCTGCTTCGAGACGTTTTAGCGACGACTTTTGCATCAGCAAACAACCGGAGTTAACATACCAACATCGATATCAGCATAACGGGGGAATCTACCTTGCAAAACTCGCAATCTGTTACTTTTCTCCTGTATATTCTCTTATTACCACTTCCTTTACTACCAATTCCATCTTTTAGCCTCTAAAATGAGTCCTTTAGATCGCTTCAGAAGAAGCCATTTTATTGAACGGCCTGACCTTGGCAATCTTTCTTCGTCGACAGAAACCCTACCGGAGAACCTCCCCGTACCTGAGACATCAGATCTTACTAGAGCCCAGGAGGAAGAGGATCCTACTCCTGCCGGTAGCATCGACGGATCAGCTCGGGAAGTGTCACCAGATGATGAAGATGAAACCTTGGAAGAGTTCGGGCTGAGCCTCTTGGAGCGAGCCGTGGATTTTCTCTCAGGCGTCTTTTCTTCGGGCGACCGATCTGAGCAGGGTCCTTATCCTGACCGTGGATGGAGACCTTGGCTTCTCATCTTGGCTTGTTACTTGGTCTTCATGAACACCTGCGGCTGGACCAATTCTTTTGGTTTCTTCCAAGCATATGACGCCGAAAATACTTCACTTAAAGTAGAACAGATCTCACAGATCGGCTCTTTGAGTGCTTTCCTGCTCTTCTTCGTCGGTGCTTTGGTAAGTCATTCTGTTCACGCTGATAATATCCATTGGATCTTCAGCGTCGGCATAGTGTTCCAATTGTTTGGTACCATTCTAACTTCAACCTGCGATGAGTATTGGGAGCACTTAGGGGCGCAAGGCGTCTTGGTCGGGTTGGGTCACGGCCTCGTCTTTTCCCCTGTCTTGGCTGTTCTATCGACTCGTTTTGCGCAAAGAAGGCTTTTGGCCATGGGAATCGCTGCTAGTGGAAGCTTCGCAGGAGGCGCTTTGTTTACGTCCCTCTTCCAGGATCTCTTACCGAAGGTGGGATATCATTGGACGTCGGTCATCGTGAGCTGGGTGAAGCTGGTGTCTTTGGTCATTGCAATGATACTGATGAAGCCTCGAGCCAACTCTCCAGCCCTTGAACTCTGGTGGATTCAGCTTGTTACTCCCTTCAAGGATATCGAGTATGTCTTGTACATCATTGCTTCTCTCTGTACTACTTTCGGTGTTTACCTTACTTACTTCTTCCTAGTAGCCTATTCCCAAACCGCCCTTGACAGAACCTACCCTTTTGGGGACTCGCTCACTATGTTTGCTGTCTCCAATGCCACCGGCGTTGTATCCATCCTCTTCTTCGTCGCAGCTTATTACTTTGGTGTCATCAACGTATCAGCCCTAACCACGCTGGGCGCTGCCATCATGCTGTACTCTTGGATGGCTGTGAGTAGCCAGACAGGCTTGTATGTCTGGTCCTCGATATATGGTATCTTCGCTGCAACAGTACAGACTCTGCTCCCCACGGGTGTGCTCATATTGACAAACAGTCGGGACAATAGCGGTTTCAAGATCAGCGTGGCATTCATGGTCGTGAGCTTTGCAGCGCTGGGTGGACCGCTTATCGCAGCCAGGCTCATCGAGCACAAGGGAGGCTACAAGGGCGCGCAGATATTTGCTGGCTCGGTGATGCTTTTGGGGTCTGCAATTTTGATGGCGGCGAAGGGTTTGAGCCTGAAAAAACCTGGGGTTGACTTGAAGTTTAAGGTCTAAAGGTATTTGGATGGTGGGCATCGGAAACAGGATGAATCCGTGCGGTGCGAACGATGGTGTCGATCATCGTTGTACATATCTCCGACAGCTTGAGTAGTAGAACAAGCAGGCTTGTTTGACTGACTGTATAAACAAATTACAAATATCGCAAAATGCTATTTCCGTCTATTTGAAGTGTGATCGTGCCGTGACTCCTTTGGAACATTCGATTTGTTCTGGAACAGAACGTACAACATGCGACCGTGAACAACTTTTCGTCTAGTCATCAAGCTTTATAACGACCTTTCCGACCTGCTTACCCTGCCAAACATACTCAATCGCCTCCCCAGCCTTGTCAAAAGTCCAAGTTGAGTCAAGGATATCCTCAAAGGTCATCTGCGTCGCTGAGATCGCGGCCATGAGTTCATCTTGGTCGTCCTTGGAGCCAGCGTTGATACCACGGACGTTGAGCCGTCGATCGATAATAGTAGATACAAACTCCTTAAGATGCTCAGGCTTGGGACCACCAAGGTAACCGACTTGACTGACGATTCCACCTCGCCGTGTACACTCCATCGATTGGACGAGTGAGCTGCTGCCACCATTCTCGACGACAAGGTCGACGCCGATGCCATTCGTTAGACGAAGAACCTCTTTTTGCCATTCAGGGTGAGTTTTGTAGTTGACAGTTTGGATCTCCGGCTTTCCAAACTGCTGCTTGATTTGATCTAACTTCTCGTTGCTTGACGAGGTCAAGATGATTCTGAGACCAGAAGCGCGGGCGAGCTTGAGAGCAAAGTTGGAAACACCACCAGTACCTGTAATGCTGTTAGCAGTGTCAACCACCAAATCTGTAGGTCTCTGTACCTTGGATGAGGACGGTTTGGCCGATCGTAGCTCCCTTGAGAGCAGACCACGCCGTAGTTCCAGCGCAAGGAATAATGGAGGCTTGTATCCAGTCAAGATGCTCAGGCAACTTCGTAACCAACTTCTCATCAAAGACGATGTACGTCGCCAGAATACCATCCTCATTCGCAGCAAGCCAAGACCTGCCAGTTGAGCGCGCGGTCACAAACTCTGTATCAGTGACAGGTGCAACACGATCGCCCACTGAGACGAGAGAGACTCTGTTGCCGACTGAAACAACCTCGCCAGCTGCATCATTGCCAGGGACACCATTGGGAGTCACGGGCCAGGGGTTGCCTCCATTGGCAATGTTGGCGTCGCGGTAGTTGAGGGCTACTGCGTGGACTTTGACGAGAACTGCTGTGGGGTGAAGAGGAAGAGGGAGATCTTCTGTGACGAGCTTGACTTTGGGTGTGCCTTTGGTGTAGTCGTCTGTTCGACGCCAGGCTTGCCGCTGAGTAGGTTGAGACATTGTTGCTGTGGTTTACAGACGATACACTGAGTTTGTTGGAAGAGATGTCTGCCTGGATTGGTTATGAACGACCTTGAGGTATGATGCCTTCAGTCTGATGCGGGAAACCCTCTCCTCTTATACAGATGGCATCATGATACCGACGCCCTGCTGCTGACAAAAAGCACGCGGGGTAACACGCATTTCTAATCAAACTATATCTTCGTGAATAGTTCTGAGGTCATTGTTATATGCTAAGATAGTGAATTTGAACGCCTATCCCTTGCGTTTCCTTGTTTCAATGCCCGCTTATGGGAGAATCTTCTTGTTTATCGGTTTTGGGAGCCGTAGGGTATCCACATCTACGGATAATGCAACCATCGCGAATGCACACCGAAGCGAACAAGACTTGTCTATTTTTACTGAATCTTTGCTGGAGTTTGCACTGGAATTTAGAAAACTGCGGGGTGGCGTGGGAGATAGGTTATGACTTTCGGTTTGGCGATGCATGATGTTCTGGGGTGGTTGTTCTCGGCTTCTATTTCCGATAAACTAATGATAAAATATCTTTGTCATGGACCGTAAACACTCACATACACGAACAAACATGTGAATCACAGTTGGAGTTATTCAAAAAGACAGAAAGAATCAGAAAGATACGATACCAAAACTATAACCAGTCCAACAGGTATATCACGTAGTACAATATCATGAAACAAACAACCAATGACTTACACCATCTTTTCCACTCACACCAACTCGGGAATGGAACCCGCTATGCTACCCTCCAACGAACCAAACGATGCATCACACGGTCCTTTTGCCCCTTCTAGATTTATGCAAAGATCTTCTTCTGGAACTATGGAAACTCGTCAATCCAGATCTGGTAAGTATGATAGACTTTGGAAGTGAGATGAGGGGAAACCGTCGGCAGAGCTAGCTGTTATTCTAGATCCATGGAACAGAAGCTCGGGATGATAAGGGTATGGCAGAGAGAGACGAAGAGATATTGTAGTCAGCATTAACCTAGTCTAGATAGACTTTTGTTAAGAAAGATTGCGCTTCCCTCCAGACATGTGCCCTCCACGGCCGTATCAATAATTCCATCCACCTTGTTACCTCCATCCCCCTCTTCGGGCCATCCTCCTCACCATGTCTGAACTCAAGATAGCAAAGATAGATGTTTTCAAGGCCGACCTCCCATACTCGGGAGGAGTATACTATCTATCCGGAGGCCGCGAGTACAGGAGTTTCGATGCTACCTTTGTTCGCATCACCACCAATACAGGCATCGAAGGTTGGGGCGAAAGCACTCCTTTTGGATCAACATACATCGCTGCCCATGCCCTCGGTGTACGAGCTGGCATTACAGAAATCGCGCCGTCGCTGATTGGCCTGGATCCGCGAAGAGTTGATCGCATCAACGAGGCAATGGATGCTGCCCTTGTCGGCCATGAGCACGCCAAAACTCCTATCGACATTGCTTGTTGGGATATCTTCGGCAAGGCAGTCGGAATGCCTGTATGCGAGTTGCTTGGTGGAAGGACTGACATCGGTCTACCTATCATCTCGTCAATCTATATGGATAAGCCAGAGGATATGCGAAGGCGTGTTGCAGAGCATAGAGCACGAGGATATGTTGGCCACTCTGTAAAGATAGGCGGGGATCCTGGTGAAGATGCACAACGCATCACTGCTTCGCTTGCGGACAAGCAGCCTGGAGAGTTCTTCATTGTGGATGCCAACGGTGGAATGACAGTTGAGAATGCCTTGCGCATGCTGCGGCTACTGCCTGACGGCCTAGACTTCGTCCTCGAAGCGCCCTGTCCCACCTGGCGCGAAATCGTATCTTTGCGCCGAAGGACAAACGTTCCCATTCACTTTGACGAGCTCGCAACAACGGATTCTTCCATAATTCAGATGATCGCGGATGACGCAGCTGAAGGCTTTGGCATCAAAATCTCCAAGAACGGTGGCCTGACCAAGAGTCGGCGGCACAGAGACATTGCTCTTGCTGCGGGTTACACGATGAGTTGCCAGGAGACGACTGGTTCGGATATCGCGTTCGCATCGATTGTTCATCTTGGACAGACTATCCCTGAGAGGCACTTGCGCTGCATTCTTGAGTGTCGGGATATGGTTCAGGGGAAGACGGCGGATGGCGACTTCGAGGTGAGGAATGGTCATGTTTATGCGCCGAAAGAACCTGGGTTGGGTATCACACCGCGGATGGATGTTCTGGGCGAGCCTGTTGCTAGTTATCATCGAACTATAGACTAAATTGGGGATATGTTCTCGTTGATTGTTGGTGTTGGTTAAGGGCAAGTCTGTTAGCAGATGAGTACCTATAGTGCCAAGACTATGTCATGATTAATAGTAGCTCAACCACTTCATATTCTGTGGGAACGTTGTACAACTTGATTAATCTCCTCGGTGCCTACTGATGTAGGTATCTGCACGAGGCCGTCTATCAGGCTGGGCAAGGCAGAGAACAGACATGGGCGGCCAACAACAGCCGGCCCCCTGCGACTGGCCACGCGTCAACCAACGATACGTACACATTATACAGATTTGGTCACTTGGGATTCTCTGCATTCGTATGCAGGTGAGTATGAAATATAGACGCTTTTGCCCAAGGGCTTTTCTCGAAGGCGTTCTTCCACTTAGCTGTGAACCTGCCTGTCTATATACACCGACCCACATAACTTTCAACTCCCTTTGTACTTGCAACTCCTGAGTTATCCTCTTCATGTTTCTGAGTAGACCATGTAACATATGGAAGATTCAAAAAGAGGTAACTGTGACAAACTTCTAACCAATTTCATTATCCCATCTTTTGCTCTATTCTTTGATATTTCGAAGCCAACTCCTGATTCGTTAGGCTGTGCTCGCCCCAGATGGCTGGCTGCCGGGCAGTGACAGTGCAAGTGCAGGTGTCAGTCAATGTTAGCCAGCTGTCAACAGCTGGCAGCCGCAGAAAAAGCATTCAAACTGACAGCCTTGGGTCTGGTATTGATCATCGCGTTTGTTTTTATTTCTTCTCCTCTTCTGGTTTTCTTACCTCTTCCTTCCTTTCTTCATCCTGTCACCATTATTTTCGCAACGCTGTGCTGGTAAGACTGGTTCTATCCTACGATCTATGTCTTCGACTAATGAATAAGATAGATCACACAAAACATTCTACCTTGACACCAAAAATAACCTCTATCTCTCTTTCAGTAACCATTCGACATGGCCGCGAGGTTCGGCGGTCGACCTTTGCCGACCCAAAACCGAGCACCGCCCGGACGACCCCAAGTTGCTCAAGGCCACGGCCAGCATAAGCAACTGTCACTTGATGAGGCCCTTTATAACCATCTTGCTTTACCACCGTGGCTTCCTCACAGACAGGACCCCAACATCAACGACATCGAGTATGCCCTCACAGATCGCCTCTTGGCCTCCGTGAAGCATCTCCAAACGCTCCCAAACAACGAACATAGCGCTTCTGTATGGGATGCTATCCGACGTGGTGTTACCGCCACTAAGGGAATTCATCTCGGAGGGCATATCGATCGCACTGCGCTTGCGAGAGAGTTGAATAACCTCGGAGAGTCAGATTTCCTGATTGTGCATGCTCGAAGCCAGAACTGTGCACTGTACATCAGCCGGTCTCAAGAGTAAGTGGTAGTGCACGAAGCTCCATTGCAATGACACTGTCTTACTAACACTTCCAACAGTCTGGCACTTGGCCCTTCCGTCGTCTTCGAGGCCTTTGAGACCTCGGCCCGCAACGAAAATATTCTCGCGACCGATAACGCTCTTCAATGGGACTTTCCCGGCTGTGCAGTGGCTGTACCTCTCGATACCTTCCGAGAAACTGGCTTCGTCTCTAATCTCGCTAACTTTCTTGACAATGTATCTCGTGAGTCGCTGTCAGAATTCTCCGCACATGCCCTCAAAGCTGGTACTTCTATGCCCGAGTATCGCAATGCTTCTGAGCCTGCTGTTATCTCCTCTCTTCTCATGGGCATCCTCCAGCAAAACGGCCGTCGACTTGCACCAACCATCTTACAAAAGATGGTGCGAGATGATGTTCTATGGAAGAATGCCGAGAAGCCCTGGAAGCGACTTCCGTACTGGCTTGTGCTGCGTGTCGCCATCTCTCGATATCTTGCTCAACGCCTGGGAGGTGAGATTGGTCGCATAGAGTACAAGTTCTTGCTGGTACATCTCCTCAGTGAGTTCCTAAGCCATGCACAGCGAGTGGACATCGGTATCGATCGACTAGACTTTCTGAAGAAGAAGATATGCAGGCGTCTAGTGAAGCTGGATCTCGACAACGAGAGAGCTCAAGACCCTCGTACACCTGACAGGATCGAGTACCTCTTTTCTCGTCTGAGCCCTGGCATTCAGAACGCTATCTCAAAGGCATCCCAGTTTATCGAGGTGTCCTGGAAACAGCAAAAGTTCATCATGACCAAAACTATACCCCCTCTGCCAAGACAGGCAACTTTCGAAGATATGACGTTGGATCTCAAGGTCAGCGGAGAGGGTCTACACAAGATCTGGCGCGGCTTCTCTCGACCTGTAAAATACGACCTGAGTCAACAGAATAACGTGAGCGTTGCTGAGGCTGCCAAGCAACATCTCAGCTCGTTCGCTCACGCGCATTCCAAGTTGATGGAGAAAGAGACAGCCCATAACCAGTTTTGCGACGATAGCGGCTATTTCCCCCGTCCAATAATCGAGAATGCGAGCTATTTTATCAAGGATTATCTCCCTCACTCTGCTGCTTATGAGAATATTCCAGAACTCAAGAGTACCATGATACTAAGTGTCATGGACCTTTGGGTCACTATGGACAAGGCGGCCTGTTCTCTTTATCCTATCTTGAAAGAATTCCATCCCATCTTTCGTCCCGAGATGATCGACATTTTACTCCTTCCGACGGTCGATGAGATGAAAAGACTCCAGAGCATTCAAGTCTATTTGAAAGATCGTATTGCCTCATGCGATGGGTCACACGTAAGCATCTTCGACGACCCTGTCCGTGGCTCTTTTGCAAATCGTTTCTATGACTCCTCGGACTTTTCCGACAAGATGAAGGAGTTACACGAATCCATCGAGGATTGGGCAACCAACGTACGCAACGCCAAGGAAGCCGAATGGATGAAGAAAACGGAAGAATATTCTCGATTATCAAAGAGCGTTGATGAGAGCACTTGCGTATACCTGGTCGATGACAATGACCCCTTCCTCCCTCCTGTTCATGACCGCGACTGCCGCCGCTGCTTCTTGAAGCGCAAGATGAATAGAATGACAATAGATGCATACGAACACCCCCTGCCTTCCGATCAGTTCGTGGCAAAGGCCGTCATCTTTGAGCTTCTATGCCCCCAAAATTTGGCGACCTATCGAGATATTACGTGGACCATTATATCTCACTTAGCACTACCTGCAGAGGAAGGTGTTGAACCAAAATGTTGGGCCCGTATGTACAAGCAGTTGCAGGCATTCTCCAACGGCTCATCGATGAGTTGCTCTCTAGCATCCGTCACCAAGCCATGTAAGTTCGGAGTGCAGTTCCCTTTCTTACCCTCTGCATCTGTTCTATTTGCAGTACACACAATAGTCAAAGTTGAACTAACAAAGCTTCTAGTCCTTGAAACGCATTACTCCACCCTGAGGTTCCCTGTAGAATGGGATGGCGGCCGATCTGGGGTTTGCCGGCCCAACGGGTTGAAGCTTACGTACTGTGATGCTCGCTCGACAATGTGGCCCAGCCGTCGAGGACATCTCAGCTTCTTCCAGCATGTGAAGCTCAAGGTACCTCGATCCATTCAATCTACATTCTCTCAAATTATACAAGACACCTACACCAAGAGTGCGTATGGGGCCTCATCCTACGAAATCATGGCAACAGCGTCCAAGTGTCCCCAAGGACTTAATGTGCACGAATATCTTGCCTTCCAGACAGTTGCTTCTGGGAAGTCCAGGCGGTGGCTATCGATTCTCACAGAACTAGCATCTGCTAACTTGAATTTTTCCAATGAGTCAACTGTCACTCTCCTGTGTTATTTGGCTGTACAGTGCGGTCCTCTTGGCGACACGGGAAGCACTTTCAGACTTACTCACGACATATTTCGGGACCCAAATTTCTGCAAGAGCTTCCTTGAGCAGCTCTCAAATCGTCTTGATAGTCTCTCAGCCAATTGGAGAGAAACCCACCTCATGGAGTTGATCATCACCTTCACGCTACGCACACTTGACTTCGCGTCAGAGGCTAACATCCCGAGTATTGTCGAACAGGCGGGTTCAATCCTCCTGAGGGCAAGGAAGACTTGTGTCCGTTGGTTCAAAATCCTTCGCGTCGAGTCGTACAAGTTTGCAGATGCTGAAACTGCTCAGCGATTTCAACAGTATGCCTTATGGGCCGCTATTTTGTGCAAGCGAACGTTTACACCTTTAGCGCATGGGCTCATGAGCCTGGATAGAACAGCTCTTGAAATCTACATTCAAAGCAGCATTATGCTAAATGACAATCTCGTAGTCAAACTTGAGGCACTACCACAAGTTCTTCAACATGCTGTCATCAGGGATATTCGACTTTCCCATCGTCTTTCCAAGCTGGTGTCGGAATCTATTCTTGAGGATCCCGAGGCGTTCCGCCTTTCTCTTCGAGAAATGTGGCCAGAAGAGGAGGGGCAAACCAGGACCTTCAATCAACTGAGGCTGGAGCCCCAAGCACCCTCCTGGATTTCTTGCCATACCCAAGCCGGTGATGCACATGATGCGATGGAGCAGGTGGTCCTTTACAATTATGTACAAGGGACTTTGCTTGTGAATGGCCGTCCGATGGGGGTAAGTTATTCTTTCCTATGTCCAGGTGAAAACAGCGAGGGGAGAGTCGAGGAAAACGGCGAGAAGTGCTAACATCAGCCTTCGTCATTCTTCGGATCTCCCCACTCTCCTCTGCTTCCTCGAAGTTCAAACATGATGCGCTCACTTTAGGAAATGCTAACAAGACTGCAGAAACTTCCACAGGACCAAAAGTCATTCGTATTGGAGGAGTTGTTCGGCAACCAGTCCCTTCTGACTTGGCCATCAGACCGCAATGGAATGCATTACTGTCTATGCGTGACACCTTACAAATACAAAGTGCATATCGGCTACAGCCGAACGGGAGAGCCTATCATAAGAGCTTTCCGTAACAAATATTCGTTGCAGCTCATACCACGAGAGAAGTTTCGCAATGACGTCCATTCTGACCTACCAGGTCCGTTGGTGGACGGTTGCTTCCACTGGTTGTAAGTGTTCTCAAAATGATCTTGGTGTTACTGCCAATCTAGCCTTACAATTCATATGCTAACAGAATCAGGAACCTAAGAGATGGCAAAGTATTAATCACCAAGAACACCCGACCTTGGCCAGAGGACAGCTTCCGCGGCTACATTCTTGACCTCAATGACCAAACCTGTACGAAGACACGAATGATCAATGATGTCCCGACCAAGGATCATATAGTCAACACTTACAGTCCTCTTTTCAACCGAGTGACCAGAATTCTTGATTCTTTTGAGGACCGTGATCAGATCCTTGTCTATCAGCCGGAACGTCGAAATCTTGCTGTAGAGCTTCGGCGGCTCAATCTGACTTTCCATGTCAACAGAAACAATCGTCTTCAGTCACCTCAGCTGCAATGCGAAATTGACCAAAACCAGGATGCGGGAACCTGGTACGGCCTGCGCAGCAAGCTAGTATGTACTAGCCTTACCAACCCTATGCACAGGTCTATCTTGGTGCCTTTGGGGGGTAAATTGCAAGCGCATTCAGATGGGTGCCATGTCGCCGTAAGGCTTAGCCCGACGGCAAAGTATGGAAGGTTCATCATAAATACGACATTGGGAAGAATTGACTGCGCACCGGAGCCTACACTGGTGTTTACCAAAGCTCTTCTGCATGCTTGCACTTCATTCCTTCTGCCTGATCCTTTGACAGGTCGTACTGGAACAGAAGAAGCTATTCAATGGCTCCAAGCCGGTATTTCACAACCATGGACACCACTCACACCTCCTTCTATGGCTGTATTGCAGAGAATTGCTCAGTTGACTCCACGGAGAGAATACTATCCCCAGGAATTGAGGGTAATGCGAACCGATCACTGGATTGAGAATTTACCTCTACGGCTGCAAAGTTCTGCATTCCGACCCATAGTGAACCAGATCTTAGAATGTTCTGCAACCTTGGGAATATTTGCAACAAAGGACCAGGCTCCCGTTGAACCGCCAGAGTTGCCCCTTCTCGGGGAACTACACTTGCACACACGAGTGGTGTTCAGACAAGAAGCCGTCGAAAGATGCCTGGATAGCGCATCCGGCCGTACAGCACCCACGAATCATCAATATGCGTCTCGAGACCGTCCTACTGTCAACAACATCATGCACCGCAACGTACTGGAGGTCACTCACCTGATTCGTCATTGGTCACAAAACTTCAAGACCACCGATGATCTAGCTCAAGTGCTGTCTCAGGGAGGCAATGTTGGTGGATTTGTGGTTCCCTTAGAAGCAACGTCACTGAATGAGAAACTGAAGGTTGACATTGTTCAGTCTTGGGGATCTCTGGTTTTATTTGCTCAACAGTCGACAACTGATCGTTTCAAGTTGATGTACCTGCTTGGACCAATGTCATTTCACTTGGATGCCAACATGCCACTTCTGAGAACTTTGGTAGCAGCTGCCGTCTTTACAGATCTTAAAGACCTTGAAACACCCAAATGGGAAGAGTTCGAGCATTTCCAGCCGAATCAGACACCGCAGCTCGACTATCTTCTTCAACTTCTTGAGCCATACAAAGCCGCCCCACCAGAAAACGTCGCAGCGGGATTAGAACAGTACTCAAGCGGCAAGGTTCTGCGGAAGGTGCAAATTGAGCGGGCTAAACACGAGTCCAAAGTCGAAAAAGACTGCAAGTACTTTGCCAACCACCTCCTTAGCCAATGGCCATGTCTAGAGCCTAATGTTGGCGGCTTGGAGCAATCACTTCTGATAGATATTGGGCCTGCTTTGGAGGCTATTCGTCCAGAATGGAGGCGATTGTTCATGAACAGAGACTTGGCCGAACACCTCAAGAGCTTTCAGGCGATTCTCGACAAACGCACACTGGATGATAGGTACGAGCCACCCCCGGTACCTTCATCCGAAGATGTTTATACTGTGAGGATACGAGGATGTGAGCTTGTCGACTTACGTCAACTACTCGCGAAACCTTACAGCATTCTCAAGGTGACTACTAAGGCCAGGCCAGCACAAACGGAAGTCCGCGGCTCAACTGACCGTCCATTCTTGAGCGAAAAGGACTTTGGCCAGAATTTTGGTAACTTTGCATGGAAAGGCAATAGAGGTACAGGTACAGGATATGCGGCTAATGTGCGAGGTACTGGCACCCGGAGTAATGGTACGGAACTATTCCCTACAAGTCGGGATGTTGCTGAGTCCACTATGAGATTGAGAACCATTTCCCAGAGTTTGGGATCCTCCAAATCAGAAGTCCGGCGTCGCTATGCCAACGATTTTCAACAGAGTTTGAATGCATTTGAGCGACTCGATCTCTCTGACAAATTCAAGCGCGCTATGCAAACCCGGAATGCCGAAATTGCAATCAGCTCGAAGAAAGTTGAGGAGGGGTTCAATGCCATCGCCTCAGCCTTGAATGTACCGAGTTCAGCCTGCTCTCAAAGGCGCATTTTCTGGCTTAAGGCCGGAAACTTGTGGCCTATTGTAACGAAGTCTACCTTACTTGCTTGCCTTGGGTCTGTTGCATCCCAGGGCTCTCATTTTGGCAGCGGAATGAAGAAGGCCATTCTGAACATGGGAATCAATATCACGAACTATCAGAGAGAGGTTCGACTTCATGACATGGCATTGAAGAAGGCATCAGGAAGATATCACGAAGAAGACTCTAACGTGGGGCATTCCAATTGGAGCCCAGAGGAATATCCAGACTGGCTCCTTCTTGAGATCGAGTCAGATATGATGATTCGCCCTGTCCAAATCGACGTCGCCTTGGCGACAATATCACCGGAGTCCGGTTCTAACTCAGTTTTGCAAATGAACATGGGTCAAGGTAAGTAATACATGGAACATCCATATCTTGTTCTGGAAAACTAAACTAATTTCCAGGCAAAACTTCTTGTATCATACCCATGGCAGCTGCAGCACTAGCAAACAAGAAGCAGCTCGTTCGAATCATCGTGCCCAAGGCTCTGCTTCAACAAACGGCTCAGTTGCTGCAGGCTAGACTTGGAGGTGTCCTAAATCGTGGTATCCGACACGTGCCTTTCTCTCGAAGGACCCCAACAACTGAGAAGAACATCCGAGCCTATCACTCTGTTCATCGGGAGATGCTCAAGTCTGCTGGCGTCATGATCTGTCAACCAGAGCACCACATGTCTTTCATGCTCAGTGGCCGACAACGCCTTTTGGATGAACAACCCCAGCAGGCGGGGCCAATGATAAAAGTACAAGAGTGGCTCACCAGAGTCTCGCGAGACATACTTGACGAGTCCGACTACACCCTGGCAGTTCGGACCCAGCTAATCTACCCATCTGGTTCTCAAACAACTGTTGACGGCCACCCACATCGATGGCTCGTTGCCGAAGCTATTCTTCGACTGGTTGATAACCATTTGTACGACTTGTCAAATGTATTCCCGCATTCCATCAGCGTAATTCGCCGAGATGGGGGAGGTTTTCCTTTAGTCTTCTTCCTTCGACAAGATGTTGAGGACGAATTGGTCCACAGGCTCACGGCAGACATTTGCCGAGGTGCCGGAGGCATACTGCCGTTGGCTGAACAGGCAATGCCAGCTAAAGATCGGGTAGCTGTGAAAGATTTCATCTCGTCAGCTAAACCGCAATCTAAGTATATTAGACTCATACAAAACTTGTCGCCAGACAAACCTAGCCTGAAGCAGACTGTTTACCTCCTTCGTGGTCTTCTTGTCAATCGTATCCTGATGATGACTTTGAAGAAGCGCTGGAACGTCGAATACGGCCTCCATCCCCAACGCGACCCCATCGCTGTTCCATATCATGCCAAAGGAGTTCCTAGCGACCAGTCCGAATGGGGTCATCCTGATGTGGCCATTCTGTTCACCTGCCTAGCATTTTACTATGATGGTGTTAACCTGTCTCAACTCCGGCAATCTCTGGAGCATATCCTGAAATCTGACGATCCCTCAGCCGAGTACGATACATGGACTAGCAGCACGGAGAACTTCCCGCCGTCCCTAAAAGCATGGAACTCCATCAACGTGGACGATGAAATGCAATTGTTGGAGATATGGAAAGTGGTCCGGTACAACGAAGTTGTCGTTGATTACTTTTTGAACAACTTTGTATTCCCACGACATGCAAAGCAATTCGAGGTGAAGTTACAGTCAAATGGCTGGGACATCCCCTTATCGTCGCTTGGTATAAGTGCAGAGAACGCCAAGGCCGTGACAGAAAAGCCCTTGAGTACAGGTTTTAGCGGCACAAACGACAACCGAACAATGCTGCCTCTAAATATTGAACAACAAGACTTGAATAGTCTTCATCACACCAGTGCCGAGGTTCTCACATACCTTCTTCACCCACGAAACCGACGTTGCATTCTGCCACAGGATATTCACAAGTCGCAACTTGGAAGAGCATCTGAGATAGATCTTCTCAGCTGCCTTAGAGGGAAATCAATCCGCATCCTGATTGATGCTGGTGCACAGATTCTGGAGATGGACAACATTACTCTGGTTGAAAAGTGGCTGAAGATCGACCACTCTGCTTTGGCGGGATTGTATTTTGATGAAGAGAACAAGCCTTGGATTTTGACCAGGGAAGGACGGAAAACGCCTCTTATAGCTTCTCCGTTCGCAGACGATCTGAAAAACTGTTTGATTTATCTGGATGAGGTGAGAGGCGCTTTCGAAAGGGTAGATCGATTATGTTAACTTTACTAGGCCCACACTCGTGGTACTGACCTCAGATTACCTCCGGATGCCATGGGCGCCCTTACACTTCGACTTGGTCAGACAAAGGACCATACTGTGCAGGCTGCTATGCGCCTACGACAGCTTGGGACAACACAATCTATTGCCTTTCTTATCCCTCCCGAAGTCCACCAAAGCATTGCTGACCTTCGAGGGAAAACGACACATGAGTCAATTGACTCTGCCGATGTGTAAGTCTGCCCTGAAACAAACCGTGCCTCGACTGACATATTCTGCAGTATCGAGTGGCTGTTAGATAACACATGTGATCAGATTGAGCAACTGCAGCCGCTCTACTTCTCCCAAGGCATGGATTACTGTCGACGAATGCAAGCTGCATTGGACTATCCCAAATTCACGACGGACAAGGCAGAGCGAAAGTCATACGTGCAAGCGATTAAACAGGATGAGAAGCAAAGCTTGCAAAACCTCTATGAGCCCAAGACGAAGAGTCGCATGGCAAGCATGCACACCTCGAGCAACGCAACCCTTAAAGGTTTTATTCGAGAGCTCAATGCTCGACGGAAGACCTTTCAAGATACGGGCAAGGCTGTCCATGCCTCTGCTCTGCAAGAGGTTGAACAGGAAAGAGAAGTTGCTTTTGAAGTTGAGTCTGTTCGGCAGGTAAAAAAGCCCCAGCACTATGCGGCGCTCTCATTTCCCGGTCTGAACGCCAGTCTTGAAACTTTTGTCAGGACTGGTAGACTTCCTGCAGACAACAACTATTTCATTCCTGTATCCCGCGCGCTTGCAAAAACCAGTGTCGGTCGCAAGTTCAAGGTGCAGTCTGGTGTCACAAAATCCAAACTTTTTGAAACTCGCGAATTCGGACGAACTATTCGACCACATGGAGATCTCTCCATGGATAATTTCTTGGTGAGCATTGTGAACAGTAGTTGCTTTTAGTTTTACTGACATATTCTTAGCGTCCTGTTAACTGGATTCTTTGGAGTTCAGTCGCCGAAATCGCCGTCATTATCGTGCCCGAAGAAGCTGAAGCTCTGATTCCTATCATGAGAGACCCCAGTGTGAACGTTCATACACACCTTCTGGTTTACTCGGCACCGATAACCCGCAAGATGCTTCAGTTCAATGACATGAATTTCTATAGCATACCCCCGCTACCTGTGTCTTGGAAGGCACCAAGCTGGTTGCAGGTCGAACTTGGAATCTACAGCGGCCGACTCTACTTCGAATGGGGTGGGTATTATGACACGTGTGTCTTGCTTGGTATTGAAGAGAGTATGGTGGAGAATGTTGACGAGCCTGATATTGAAGGCCTTGTGGATGATGTTGATGTAGAGGATGCCAAAATCAGCACACCTGCTACGAACGGAACCAAGAAGCTTGTCGAGACTCCATTGACCTTCTTGCAAGAGTGGCTCGCAATCCGTCGCCGAGGCCAGGATTTTGCTCACAGCCCTATGGGCTTCGTGAGCCAGGGCAAACGGCTGCACGAAGACCACGTCTTCTTCAAGCAGTCTAAACACGCCTCTATCGAATGTGGCGACGCGGTGACACCACTACCTCTCAGCGCGCCGACTCAGGGGAATGAGCGTCAAGACGATGGGGACTACGGGGTGGATGACATGGGAGCCAATGATTCTTGTAGCGACTCGAGTGATGTTGAGATCGAGTACGACGATTCTGAGTACGGCAGCACGTCCTCGAGTGATTGATAGAGCGCGTTGTGGGTGGATATGAACAGCTCTGTCTTGGAATGAATGAATGTATGATAGTGTAATATATCGGGTTGACCAATCTCCTTTGTCGTGCGGATAATTATTTGCGTTGAATGTCGGGATATGCCATTCGGGTTCCTGAGCCAAGCGCATCTCACTTACCAAATGGGATTCCTTTCATACTTACTGACGACTACCGTTCGAACTCAAAGCAGAATGGATGAATAAAGTAAACTTTGAATCAATTGACGGTATAAAACTCAGAAATGCTTACTGAGACCCCGTCACATGAAAGGCTCATTTCGGCAGTCAAAGGAGGATGACACAGTCATCAAATAAATAGAGACACATCACACATCGCACATAAAGTCACACTGCTTCAAATAGTGAAAGAATTAATACATTCTTATCTCGATTACTTTGGGAGATGAGGGTTATCCGATTAAATCTGACATGATGCATTCCCATCCATCTAACTTCCTCTCAATTTAACTCATGTCCCAGCATCAAGCATTACACCACCCGTCCAAGAAAATTCGTTTCAAATCGTGACAATAATACAGAGCAAATCGCTAGACATGAATGCGCCATTTGCCAATACAAATAAGGCCTGTTGCAACGTCACATACTTTAGTTGGCAGACTCCCACACCAGACTGTCGTCAAGTCGCTTGAGCTCATACGGTGTCCATTGATAGACGCCTTGTCGTAGAGCGGAGATTACAGTCTCTCGCTTGACAAACTGAGACGGGGCATTTTCGCGGCAGGATGCAGCGACGCAGCTGTTGTCGGTCCAGCCCATGCGGAAATCATCTCCCCACCAGACTCGAAGATCGGATGAGACACGTAGTGTAATCAGAACTGAGGAAAGGTCCTTATAGCCATCCAGGTCAACTCGAGTCAGCTGGTAGCCACCCTCAGAGAACTTAGGACAGGCAGGGACTTGCTTGGTTTCTGACCAGGCAATGGATTCTTCGGTAGATGAGGTCTCGTTCCAGCGATAGGCTGAGATATCGAATTCGCACCACTTCTCATCTTCTTGGGCATCGCATCCGAGGTCTGCACCAAAGAAGTCGAAGCGGAAGCAGGGGCTAGCGGCATGGGGTCCGACACCGATCTGAGCCACATCTCCTGATATTGTGGCTGTAGTGTTCGAAAGGGCAGGAGGGACGAACTCCACGAGTCGACCACCAGAGGAAGGGATGTATGGCTGGGACTGCTGTGTGGTTGGAGGGGCGATAAGGAAACCTCCAGAAAACCAAATGTTCTCGACCGGATTGAAAAGGGGTCCAGGCTTGGAAGTATCAAACTAAAGAAAGTTAGCAAAAGGCAATGCCAGAAGGATAAGAAAACTTACATCAATGGTAGTGTTACCGATGTTTCCACCCGCGGGGCAGATAGAAGGGGAGCTAGCCTCAGATGTTGTGGATGTGGTTGCAGATATCGCGCTTGATGCAGAGGTGGTGGAGTTCGACCAAGCAGTCATCTCTTGACGACGAGCAAACCTCTTCTTGGGGACATTGACAGTAGCGAGTGTGGTAACAGGGTAGTTGAATGTGTAGGAAGTAGTCTCTGCCTTGATGACGTTGGTCCAGGTAGAAGTCTTAATAGCGGACAGGGGGAAGAGGGTGCTTTCAGTGGCAACAGACCCATAGGCAGGCTGGGCCATTCCATCAGAAGCACTGTTGTCTGATGAGCCCGACGCGAAGGGAGGCTGGCCAGCGCCCTGTGAAAAGACAGGACCGCCAGCAGGGTTGGTGATTGAGGTAACAGTCCAGGTAAGGGTTCCAGTGGTTGTACCACTCACGGATGTGCCTTGCGCAGCGGCGCTGCCGCCAGTGAGTACAACTGAGATAGATGCACCTGGAATACCATTATCATATCCATTGAGGCTCGGGGTGTCGGTGGGAAGGGAGTTCGAGTCTCCTGTGGTAAAGACAGGGCCAGAGGCATCAGAGGGTGTAACACCAGATGTTGCACCCTGGGGGGTTCCAGCTGAAACTCCAAGTGCGGAAGAGTCACTGAAGACGATGGTTTGCACCGTCGATGTTGGGTTCCCATCTGGTCCTAGAACAACAGCCGTTGTAAATGTGGTAAAAGCTCCAGTGGGGTTGGGTGACGAGCCAGTCTGACCATTCCCGTTGACGTTAACACTTGTCCCAACAGGGGTTGCAGTAGCCACAGGGATAACAAAGGTTGTGTCAACGACTGTTGGAAGTCCATCTGATCCAATAGTAGTGTATGTGATGCATGTAGTAACACCGGGCATGTTTCCCTGATTCTCATCAGATGGAATGCCTGCAGAGGCAGTCATTGGGCCAGGGAATCCAGTAGGTAGGCCGGATGGGATGGAGTCAGAGACAAATGAAGGGTTGCCTGGCAGCTCAGACTGTGTGTTGGCAGGTCCAGGTATCACCCAGGTCGAGTCAACAATTGTTGGAAGTCCATCGGTGCCAATGACAGTGTAGCTTGTGCAGGTCGTAATGTCACCGTTGCCAATACTTCCAGTTCCAGTTCCATCAGTAGGAGCGGGTGGAGTATGGCCTGGGGCGCTCGTAATCTGAATGGTAGCAGGTGATGTAGCGCCATTTGGAAAAGCGTCGGAGGCTCCTGATGGAACTTGGGGATCGCCACCAGCAGTAGCGCCAGTATTGACTGGACCAGGGATGACGAATGTAGAGTCAACAACAGTGGGAATCTCATCAGTGCCAATGACAGTGTAACTTGTGCAGGTTGTGATGGGAGAGGCATTGTCTGAATTGGGTGCAGTAGGGTTGTTGCCACCGGAACCAGAAGAGCCGAATGGGGGCAGTTCAGTGACAGTCATGAAATCGCCAGAGGAAACAAGAGCGGAGTTGTCACCAGGATCTCCAGATCCAGCTCCAGCGGTTGGAATTGTCCAAGTGGTATGCACCACAGTAGGGTTACCATCAGCTCCAATCATGGTGTAGCTTGTGCAGGTGGTCATGGCCGAAGGCCCAGACATATCTCCAGGTGAGCCGGTTATAGTGAAGGGAAAAGTAGGAAGGCCAAGCTCAGATGTGATGGAAGACAGCGGAGCTTGGGGGTCAAACGTTCCGGGGATCACCCAAGTTGTGTCTACAACAGTAGGGAGGCCATCGGTACCAGTGACAGTGAATGTCGCGCATGTTGTGATTCCTGCATCAGGTCCACTGCCAGGAAGAGATCCAGCGGGAGAGTCGAAAGGGTTCTGGGATCCCGGAGTACCAGTGATGGTAGGAGGAGGAAGGGAAAAGCCTGAAGATCCGCCGATGGGTAGGCCGGGGTTGTTTCCATTGGGAGGGAAACCCGAGTTCGCTGAGGGCTGAGATTGTCCCGGGATCATGTTTCCTCCATTGATGACGACGGTAGGGAGTCCATCTTGTCCAGTGATGGTGATGTATGAGGGCGATGGCTGACTGGCACCATTTCCACCTGGGACGTTGGTCAACCATGGGGAATTCTCGCCTTGTCCTTCAGGGCCGGCTTGGGTAGTGACTGGAAGGCTATCGCTGGCTTCTTGGGCAGGTCCTGTGGAGGGGAGTCCAGGCTGGTTGCCAGTAACACCTCCGTTAGGAGAGACGGGAGTCTGAAGGGGAGTAGGTACATATGTGTTGTCTCCAGTAGCTCCGGGGATCTCAGCTGATGAGCCGCCAAAGCCAATGTCAGAGTACTGAGGAGCACCATTGGGGCCAGAGGCAGGGAAGGGAAAGGGGGAGACTGGGTTGTTCTGGGAATCATCACCACCAGAGTCAGATCCGTTGCCAGAGCCCGAGTTGGCACCATCGTTGCCACCAGAGCCATCGCCAGGGCTATCGCTGCCACTGGGGTTGTTGACGTTACCAGGCGTTCCATCATTGTTGCCTGAGCCAGAGTTGGAAGGGCTACCATCGGGGCCCCAAATGTCAAGTGTCAAGGTAGTGAAGATAGGTACACCAGAGGTTGGGATCCAGGGAGTAGCTCCAGGGGGAGTGGTAGGCATAGGTGTCGGGGTAGAGGATCCATCTGAATTTGAATCATCTGGCCAGGGGAAGTCAGACTCATTCTGGCTGTCCGTAGAATAAACAGTAACGACGACGGTCTTGGTAGAGCCGAAGGGGCAGGTGGGAACGTTTGAGGCATCAGAGTCAGGAGAGCCAGGAGAGCCAGGGACATTCTGGGGGATGTTGGTAGGAAAGCTGCCGGGGACAATCACAGACCCAGCACCAGGGACACTTCCAGGAACATTGCCGGGAGCGTTGTTTGGAGAGTTGCCGGGGATAGATCCAGGAATGCTTCCAGGAACACCGCTGGGTCCATTGGGAGGAAGACCATTGGAGCCTCCACCGGGGGAAACAGGACCAGGAAAGTTCCCAGGGCTGCCGTTGGGCCCGTTGGGAGGATAGCCGTTAGACGAATCGCCTGGGGAGGTGGAGCCAGGAAGGTTTCCCGGAATACCACCAGGCACGGTAGGAGGAAGGCCGTTAGAGCCAGGAGAGACGGGACCAACAGGGCCGACACCACTGGGCATTGAGCCAGGGACAGATCCCACGCCATTGCTTGGGATCGGCATGCTGCTAGGAGCTCCCCCATTGTTGCCGGGAATACCATCGCCAGAGGTACCGGGTTGATTGCCGACCGGACTGCCATTGGTGTTTCTGTGACTGAGAGTCAGTACAAGGTCGTGAGCAGCGACGATAGTTGACTTACCCGTAGTCAGTTACCTGGGAGGCAGAGTGACCCAGAAGTCCGGTGGCCACAAGGACCCCGAGAGATGCAGAGATACGCATCTTCAATCAGTGACTTTGACGTGGGAAGAAGGTCGAGCAGTCAGTGTGTGTGTGCGGATGCAGGAAGGCAAGTTGTAAGCGGGGAAGTGTAAGATGATGAACCAGTAGAGACTGGAAGAGTGCTTGATGCTGAACGAAAGTAAACGAAAGGAATGAGAAGATTGTTCTTCTCGAGTTGGGTGTTGAGAATGAAGAGAAAGGAAGATGAGGTGGGATGAGGAAGAAAAGAAAAAGTCTGAGGGGTGGAAACGGGGAGAAGGTAATGGTGCGTGGGCTGCCTGGGCGGAGGGCGACGAGGCAGGAGCTCCTTCCGTTTTGAAGAACTGGTGAGAGACTCCGTTGGGGATGACGTGTTGAGCACGCGATTGGGAGCGCGACTGGAGGAAGGCACGGCGGGAGAGGGAAGGAGCGTGGCCAGGCAGACGAGAGCGGAGGCGGCCGCCAGTGCCCCTTTACTGAAATACCTGGGAGAAGCCATTGTGCGTCGCTGTAAGAAATGCCATTCACCGTGTGTACAGTCTGGCTTTCCATAAATCATGGTTTACTGTCTATCTGATATTAGGTAGTATTGATAAGTTAGATGGCTGCTTAAGCTCTGGCAAGGGATCAATGGGTGAGTGACAGATGGTCGGGTAGGTAGTCCACGGTGCAAAAGGGGGCATGGAGAAGCTACCAATGCTTTGCAGCTACCCGAGTTTCTAATCAGTGCTGGTCTCCCGCTATAGTGTCATTATCCGTGTTCTGCAGCGCCCACAGAGTGGGAAAGGGGTAGTTGGGCCATGCGCTTGCCACAGGTACAGCTGCCCAACCACTGGAGTTGGTGGCCTCGTGGCAGGTGTCCTCCAAGTTGCGAACATCAGCTCCATAACGAGAAAGTGGTGGCTAGCAGGATATAGGACAGAGTGCAAAAGCCAAGAACGCAACTACCTGCAATACAAAATCATCATTAAGTCCCAAGCAGCAAGAAGACGAGGCAAAGGGTATTTGTAGACGCAGCACACTAACACAATTCAAATCAAGTCTTAAACAGGTATTATTGGTGAAGCTCGTATCCATGGTAGTAGCCAATTCTCCATCGCTCATAAACTCATACCAAGTTATCCGTGTAAGGGGGGGGAGGTGCATCAGGGTCCTCGTACTGCTCGTGAATATTGTGCCCGTTCTGATCATGATACCCGTTTTGGCCATTCTGCGCATCTCCAGTGGAGTTCCTGCTCTCCTCTTCCTCAATCTGCGCTGTCCACTGGGCAGCACCCGCCGTGGTAGTCAAAAGGAAAAAGAGTGACAAGACAGGTACGAGCTCCAGGATCATAGCAACTGTGCCAAACCAAACGTACTCCCAAGCGCGATCCCTCAACGCCTTCTTCTGTTCAACTTTAGAGTAGCCCCTGATCTGGAACCAGCGATAATGGGCGAGCTTTCCAAGTCTCGTGCCTGTGATGATGATGAAGGCAGGCGTGCCGACGACAGGGACAAAGTTAAGCGGCAAGAACACGATGAGCTCGACAATTTGGATAATACTCCAGGGTGTGTAGATTGCGGCAGTTGTAGGCTTCCCAAGCATGCGCACCGGGTTCGGCGCATCTAAGAAAAGGATTCGCTGTGGTGCAATAAGATCCTTGTGGCCCAGCTTAATGAGAGTGGCCTACTTGATATCAACGACTTGAACAGCGGATTAGGAATGTTTGAAGTAGAACAACTCACATCAAATACGTCTACTCGACATTCATCAACAAAGAAGCCCTCGAATAAACCCTGAATGATGACCAAGCCTTCTCCGAGGACCAGAACCACAGCGTTAACCCACGCGCCCCAGCCATGGAAGATCGCCAAGAAGGCATACTGGGGTAAGAATGTAAAGGTAAAGAGAACGAAGTAAACAAGAAAAGATATTAAAGACAAAGGCAGAATCCTGCTCACAAAGAGCGGCCAGAACTCGCGGTTGCGCAGAAAGAACCAGATGCCACGCAAAGGATACGCTCCGGCCGTGCCGGCTCTCTTGAGATACATCAACGGCCGGTGAAGTGGCCCTGTCCAAGACCCTACATGAGGGTGGTTTTGGTTCTGATAATGACCATTAAGAGGCATCTTTTCAGTTTAGTTATAGGATTAAATGAACGAATGTACTTGAAGGCATCACCAAAGGAGGCTTGCAGTTAACATATGGCGTCGAAGGCGAACACCAAGCAAGGGAGAGATGACGTCAAGTATGGAAAAGTCTGATTGGCGGCTGAAAGCGGAGCCACGCAATCCCTGTTCCTGGTCGGCAAATGGTTTAGAGATCAACAGCCGGCTATACTACCCCATCCTGGTGGTGTACGAGCAGGCAGAAAGGGAAGAGGACAATTGCCGAAATTGCAAAAAAGAAAGCCTCGCAAACGCTCGCAATCGAATATAGGAACAGCCCGATGCGGGGGTCGAACCCGCAACCTTGAGATCGCGTACTCGTAAGAGTCTCACGCTCTACCGATTGAGCTAACCGGGCGTGGCTCTTATTGGTTGAGGGCCGAGGTTTCAACTTGGGTACTGGAATTTGGTGCAGCTTGAGTTGACGCAAGTTGAGGCTGGCTACCTGACCTTGGATGGTTACCCTATTCGTCATGTTCTAGATGATACATTGAGGCACTATCCATTTCTGACGATGGCCGCACGGTTAGGGCGGGGTGCTGTCCGCACGCCCTTTGTATTGACAACCTAGTGTGACAAAGTAGCTGGAGCTGAAATGCTTTGCCAGCCAGATCTTGGAAGTCATCTTCTATCCAGCCTGCAACTGGTATCGATTCTTGCTGAACATACAAGTTAAAGTGAGAGACAGTCCCGAATAAACAGTTCTTATGCTAACACAAGACCAGGTACAAAATGAACCCGAAAATTGTATGCCAGTGCGGCGCTGTTCAAATCACCGCTTCACGTCCTCAGCCCATCGGAGTTTACTGCTGCCACTGTACAGAATGCCAAAAGCAATCAGCATCAGCCTTTGGAACATCCGCTATCTTCCCAGCCGATGGGATGTGGCCTCTGCCTGAGGAAGTCCAGTCGAAGGTTGGTGTCTGGAAGCGACCTACCGATGAAGGAAATACCCTAGAGTGCTACTTTTGCAAGACGTGCGGCGTGAGATTGTTTCATCGCAGCATCTTGCCGAATGGTCAGCCCAAGCCAACATTATCTGTCAAGGGCGGTGTGGTTGAAGGATTAAGCTGGGAGGGAGTTAAGCATGTCTATACGCGAAGTGCTCGTCTGCCTGTGCCTGAGGGAAGTTACGCTGGAGCGCCTAAGTTTATGAAGTAGGGCACGATTTATGGAGTGACTGCGAGTTATCACTGTGTTATATGAGGGTTTTCATTTTCGACTGACTTCATATCAGCAAAACAAGTAGTACTGGAGATCAGAGTCAGATGGCAACTGCGGTATTCTTCATCTTTTTCACATGGATTGTCTCGCGTATCTGTTTGCCGGATGTGGAGTCATCAGGAACCGCAATTATCGGAGGTGTTGTAACACCAGAAGCCGATTTTGTGGACCCATCACCGACCGAAATCCGGCGTCGTATCGGCCTCGCCCTGTAGACCGATTTAATCGTGCCCAATGTTGGTAGATTATTGATTTCATAGGTACTTTCAACCAAGATACTTTCACTTAACCGAAGTCATGAATTGGACGAAAAGACTCGTGTAATGAAGACTAGCAATGTATGACTACTTGCTAATCGCTCTTGCCCACCAAGATATTAGCCCTATATCATCTTGATAAGGTAGTATATAGCAATGTCCGTCCAAAGTTCAAATACAGCTTTTCCCGTTTTTGTTTACCTTCGCTAAAATATTCCTCTCTGAGCTGTCATCTCGAGCATGCATCATCACCGACACAGCATCAGTCGTTATCGTTCCGACCTCAGAGCATGTTGAGGAGTTACTGTCGTACCATGGGAGACCAGGACAAGTAGCGAAATACGAAGGAGTGTATCTTCAAAGTTGTTTGATTTAAATCTAGATGGTTTCATGAGGGTATCATAATAGTAAACACACGCCAACGCCCGTCATAACATGCAATGCTGTGATCTCCTACTCTTTCTTCCCAGATGCAGCCGCTTCTCTTCGCTGTTTGCGACTAACATGGCTCAGCCTTAAGTCCACCACCACCGGCCGATGGTCGGAAATGAAGACACCATCCTCAAACAGATTGCTGAGAACAGCGAAAGACTTGAACTGGATTCCGCTCGGGTCTCTGACGAAAATATGATCCAGATCCATATCGTCTGATGGATTGACAGTGAATCCTGTGTATGTATATGTAGAATGACCAAAGCGCTTGGCGAGTGGGATAACGCTCTTGACGTCGTTCATGGCTTTGGCGAGATGCTGGTAAGCCGGCTCGTCGGGTGATGAGTTGAGATCACCACCAATAAAAACAGGAAGGATTTCGTTATTGTAGTCAGACCACTCATCAGACATAGAAGAAAGAAGCTTTGCCGAGTTTTCACGAGCTCGTTTTCCTTTGTGGTCGAGGTGTGTGCACATATAGACCAGGCGGTTTCCAGTACTGATATGTTGGAACCGCGCAACTGTAACAATTCTAGGGAATGCAGCATCCCACCCTCTCGAACCGACTTTCTCTGGTGTATTACTGAGCCAGTATGTTTTCGACTCTTCCATGTTCCAGACGGAATGACGATAAAAGATGGGAGAGAACTCTCCGCCGTGGCCGCCTTTGCGTCCTACACCATAGTAGTCCCACTCGTCGCCGAGATCTTGTTGAAGATCTTGAATTTGGGGGTATGTTGCTTCTTGCATACAAACAAGAGATTCTGGTCGTCCGGAAGTTTCGAAGTTTAGTTGCGAAACCAGTCGTGGTCGACGAACGGGCCAAAGTTCCTCGCCGCTTTCGGGGTGGTTTGGGGCCAGACGGATGTTGTAAGTCATGAGTCGCACATCAGCAGTACGCGATAGAGGCGCCGCAGCAACAGCTACAGCGCTAGAAAGAAGAGTAATAAACTTCATTTTCTTTTATATCGACGTTCCAAATTTCATAAATAGTCGTAAAAATATAGAGATTTGTTCGGAGGGTGATCGAATTTTGTACCTAGTCGAGTTTCTTTTTTGTACGTTTGGTGATGCGAGCGAGGGTCAGTCAGGTATGATACGTGTTAAACGCTGCTGCTAAGACTTGGCAGTAACGCACATATTGCCGTGAATTGATTCTGACGCGAGATCCAAGACCTTAGCATACATAAAACTCTGGGGACTCTTGACTTCTTGTACTGTAGCGTTTGAATTCCGGCAGTCTCGGATGGTCGCTAGCCATTAGCCATGGCAGACTCCGACTCCGACTCCATCCATGACGATGACGCTGCTGCTATCCATGGCATGGCATGGCACGTGTAGCAAGCCCATGGTGTCTCTTACTAGCTTCATTTTCTCTCCTCTAGGCTCTCCCTTTAGCTAGCAAATTGGCTACTGACTTACCTTACGCAATGCATCCGTGGCCCCATGTCAGTGGCGTGCAATCCTAGGTCCGTGATAGCGAGAGAAAAAAGTAACGTAAGTACGGAGTAGGAGTAGATGCTTGATTCTTGGCATTTGATCGGTTGCGACTCCCACAAGCCGATGTTCCGCTTACACAAGCGCCTATCTTAGTACTATCTACCCGATGCAGTCCCTTGTCCAGTCCAGTGTTGCAGTGCAGAGCAGCAAGTTTTAAACTTCCAAGTGCACTTTTTTTGCTAGGCGCTTTTCTTCATGTTGCACTGAATCTTTAGCATCTACGCTATCACACCGCATAGTCCCTCGTGTTGTGGTCACGCAGAAATGCCATCATCCAGTCAACGACAACGGATAACACACATGGGTTAGTCTACAGAGTACAGTACAGATTCACTTGAAACTGATACCAAGACTGCCAAGATAAATATCTCCGCAGGGCGCAGGCATCGCAAATCATAGACTGCCATTTAGCAACGGGCATATCCAATGGTCTACGATTCTCAGTCAACCATTTGTTCGTGGTGTGACAACGACACCGTTTCCTTTGGGTACGAATCAACTCAATAGCATGAACATTAAGCAGTTGCGATTCCCAATCACCGAAGCCAATCTGGAAAGAAACTCGACGGTCCAATCGCATCGTAATTTTTACTACTTTATTCAAGTTTTTTCGCTCAGCTCAGAGATAGAGTTCACGCTATAGAGAGGGGAAGTTGAAACCTAGCTGGCATCCATATCGCAGCCATCCATGATTTACAGGGCAAGACAGGGATCTTTTCTTCCACTTGGTACCAGCATCGGTTAATGCTCCCGCATGCACGCCAAGGAACGGGGCCGAAGCAATCGTGGTGGGCGGACGTGGCAGAGCAGGGGTACGAATGAGAAACTCGTCATCGGGAGAGATAACGTCGTCCGATGGCCGTGCGGTAGGACATGACAGGATTCAAGGCAAGAACCTCCTTATCTCAATGAACAGCAAAATCAATTTCGTTAAGGTTGTTTTGGGTAGGATTTGTACTCAGACAATGGATGGCAGTAGCCAAAAATATGCCCCTGGTGCTTGAATACGCGATAGGCAGCTCAACAGGACCCTTATTCTTTCATGCTGCCGATCTTTTATCACAGTCCCAAACTGCGAGCTTACAAATGTGACCAAGGCACCTCACTCCACCAGAGCAGTTTGATCTGTGCCGGCTGTGCGTAAAGGGACTCGTCATCCACCATTTTGCATACCTGTGTCGAGACCACAAAGGATAAACCTTTCCGAGGACTTGCAACTACGCCGTCTCTGTTACGTTGACAGGGCGGAATTAAGATAAGAGGGTACCTACCTACCTAACCAAGATCTACCGTTCTAAGAATTAAATGCCACTCCCACCCAAAGTCGTCAGTGAGCTTCGAGTATGCGAGCTGATAGGTACCCAAGTCCCAATCCGACTTATATGCTTGACAGCCCTGTAGGGCGCCCTTAAATAGAGTTTCTCTATCGTCTTCAAAACGTGGCTCTAAATCCATCTATTGGAGTAGCTTGTTGGTAGGTACAGAAACATCGTCTGTCCTACCAGCAACCGCGACTTGAACAGCACTGCAATAATTCACCACGATATACCAAGCCTAAGTATTCAGTCGCTTTAGATGGGTTTTATTTTTGAGATATCTGCCAATCTAATGTTTCCAGCACATTTAATGACTACCCTGTGGTCGTATCTAACCAGCCTTATCTAAACGCTTATAACGTACATCATCTAAGCCGCAAGAGCACGAGCAAACGCCCGGCTCTCGCCGCCTTCGACGACCTTGGCTACTGGAGTGAGGTACGCATCAGCACCGTTCTGGTTCTGCAAATAACGCACATACGCCTGCGCAACGTTGAGCCAACTCTTCTTCTCCGCAGCACTCGCTCCACTTCCCTGCCATACCCAAATTGCCTTTCCACCATCATCAAGCAAGAAAACATCATTGCTCTCAAGATCATCGTGCAAAATACGTTCGGATTCCTTGACAAGTCCAAATGAGAGTTGTCCTGAGTCGTCGCTGAGTCGGAAGAGCTTTTTGGACGTCTGCTGGACGGAGCGGGGAGTGAAGGGCTTTCGGCAGTGGAAGCCATCGCGTGGTGTCTCGTCATCTCCACCAAGGAGATCAACGATTCTTCGTGAGCGGGATTCGGTCTGAGAGATGACTTCGACTTCCGAGTGCTTTGCGACTGTCATGTCGTGGACGATCTGTGCCGCCTTTGCTTTTTCCATAGGACTGCAGTCCTTTCCTTGCCAGACCCAGATCTTGCCGCCAACATCCAGCACAAACACATCCGTGTCGTCGAGGCTCTTCCATGTAGGCTGGACTTCGTGAACGACAACGCCGCTGGCACCAGCAGCGGGGTTCTTAAACACGCGCAGCAAGGTGAGTCTCTCTTGCGGCTCCTCTTCCTCCTCCACGTGCGTGAACCCAGATTCCACTCCGCCAGATCGGATAGATATGCGTGGGAACAGCGCTAGGAAGTCATCTGATGGAGATTCCTGGATCTCTCGGTGCTGAGTTGCTGCACCCTGGAGGAATTCGTCCAATTCGACAGTCTTGTAGGCTGCGGTCCCCGCCTCGTCCTGCGAGGTATTCTGGCCTAGCCAAAAGAAGATGTCGTGAACAAGCTTGCTTGTCTCTTCGGTGCTTCCAATGATCTCCGAGTATAGAACAATGAAACTGTCTCCGTCATAAAACTGGCCGTACTTTTCCTTTGGCCAGGGAACAACCTCGAATTGCTCAATACGCCAGATAAATAGCCCAGGCTCGACACCAACCTTCCCGTCATTCCACGCAGGCTCGGTAAGCGCAGAGTTGTATTTCACCTGATGGTCGATATCGCTTCCAATCAGCTCGACATTGCTGTCCTTGATGTCGTATTTCTTCGGGTGGACGAGGCCTTGGTTTGGTGCCATTTTTGCTGTAAATGAGAGTGATGAAAGGTATAGTAGTACACCGATGTTGTTCTTGTGTAATGAGGCTTGGAGTTCTGAAACAGGGAAACCTGCAGCTCTTGAATGGGATGTCCTGTTTTATGCAATTACTCAATGCGGGGAGAGGATCTGCCCTGATTGGATTCTGCTCGGCAGGCTGATGACTGATCAATGAGGCGAGCTTCGTTCTACGACGATCATTTATTATTAGAACAAGCATGAATCAGATACGTATTTGACAAGCTCGGGGCACATGTCATGCTCCTTTATGTAACAGCATAATTCACGTATTGTAAGTGGGTGGCTTCAATGCACTGAGAGCGTGCAAATAGTTCAAATAATCGAAGATACCTTGGTATCAGCAGGCCTTCAGTGTTAAATTGGCTTTTATCGGAGATTGTTCACTACACTTCCTACCATGACCGCTACCTCCCGGTCCCAGTTCGCCTCTGCCTTCGTTCTTCCCTTGGATCCCGCCAATGCACTATGTAGCTGGGATCCCTTGATAACAGCCTGACGGATGGCGTCTCCAACCGTATTCTTATTCGTTCGTAGGGTTCTAGCCACGACGCCTCCACGGTTCATGATGTCCTGCACACGTGTCGCAAGGCTGCTGGCCATAGTCCTCCAGAAGAATGAGGCAAGGCTGCCCGTCTCAAGATACGCGAGGAGGAAATGGAGTAGACTCGATTGGCTCGGCTGGTTTGAGGCGGGGAGGAGAGGGTGCGCCGGTGGTTTTGTTGTTTCAAGAACAGCCTCAAGGGAGACTACATTCTGGCACTTGGCCATAACATCTAACAATGCCTTGTCCAGAGTTGGGAGTTGACCCAAAGACCGTGACAAAGACGTAATGCTAGCTTGCATTGCCGCTCGTATGTATGTCTCCAGAGACTGAAGCATTAACCGCGGAACCCACTTATCTGCCTTCAAACCAGCAGTTGGCGATAGCAGGTAAAGCGTAGTCATGGCAGATGCCGTCCGGGCCTTGATCTCCTCGACCTGTGCGAATGTCGAGGTTTGCTGAATCGAGAACTCGCGGATGATACGTTCCGCCCGCTCGCGAACCGATCGGTCAATGGGAGTTATGACCGTATCCTGTAGACTCTTAACGGCGTCGACACGGTTCAGTCCGAAGCCTTCCTCGCCAGGACCTTTGCGATCAAGAACTTCTTTCAAAGACAGGATTGTATAAGCACATCGTACGAGAGCTCGGTGGTCCTCTTTTCCAGAGCCATTGTCCAGCTCCGCATGCTGAACTTCAAGCTGTCGACCGAGTTGCAAGCACCGTCCAACAGAGCGACCAAGCTTCAAGGTCTCCCATAGTCGCAGAGCTACAAGCCGAACCTCATCTGCTTCGGCATGTTTGTCGATCACCTCCTTCTCCAGCTGGCGGTAGCTGTCATTCAGACTCTGAATCTGGCCATCTAATTCGCCGACAATGTTCTTGGAGGCTTGGGTCTGTTGTTGGGTGTAGTCGAGAAGCGGGACAGCGGAGCGAGTCGTTAGGACGTCGATGTGCGAATCAATCTCTTGAGCATCGAACAGAACACGAGATAGGGGCGTGGAAAGGTCGAGAGGTGTATCGTTGGCGTTATTGGTCGAGACGACGAGTGTATTCGCAAAAGAAGCGGGGGAGAAATCAGGGTCGAGAAAGGTTTCGTAGTCAATGTACGATGGCTCTTCGTCGGCTGTCGTGTCGTCTGCCATGGTCAAATACGGTATCTTCAGTTCAATCGCTCTGTATTTCGAGATTGAAACGGTTGGAGGCTACGTGGTATTGGCGCAGCTAAGCTTAAACTTGTCAATTGGTCCCTGGTGGATATTCGTTCTGGAAGCTTGCTGGCCTTTTCGGGCATCGCTCTCCCGCAGGTACGTATTTGTCTTGTCTTATCTTATCTTGCACCTGACCATGACTAGGTAGGTACGGTAGAGCCTCAGGCAATTGAGCGCAATGCAACACATTGATGGAACAAAAGCACAAGCTCTTTTGACTTGGCGGCTGGATCGCGGGGCGAGAACTAGCGGGAGGGCGACATGGGCTTGGCACAGCAACCAATCAAGGGGGGTAAAAGAGCTTGTTACAGTGAGGTCATCACTGGTGCATGGATGCTAAGAGTGGATTCTAATGCACCGAAGACCGGGCGAACAATAGCATGATGAAGCTGCAGATGTTTCTACAACGATGATAACCTTGAACCTTGGCAGGTATCAATATTTTCTGGTCCGAGATAACATCAAGGCCTCGAGAATAGCAAAATCTATGTCTTTTGCACCATCTCATTTTGTAAGTATTACTATATGAGAGAATTTCAACATGCAAAAACGGACCGCTCGGTGTCTCCACCTCCACACCCTCGGAAATACGTACCCAGAAAAAAGATGACTGCCGTCCACTCAACCACGAGCCTTTTCTCCATCGCGACGGCATGCCCGGCACCCGTCGATCCAGCCAGCCATCGCCATCCAACGACAGACCTTTGTTTTTCTCTGGCTCTTCCCTCCTACTCTACTGTTTTTCTTCCTTTCCTTCTTCATCTCGACGTTGTCGTATCTCTTTTCAGCTGAGATCTTCGTCGATTTGAGCCATGTTGATCAGTTGTTAAATCGCCTCCTACATTTCGACTGACGAATACCGACGACTCCTCAAGGGCGTTCCAGGCGCAATTGCCTTACGACATCTGGAATAAACAGCATCTACTGAAGATTCTTCCGAGTCTTCCGTCTGTAGTGTTCACTACAAACATCCGATCCGACCGAAATAACAGTCGGCGCGAATATAAACAACGATCGATTCGCATCCACATTGATCACAACAACGCCAACGATGGATGCTTTACGAGACGCCTTCGCCCATATCTCGGCCCGCGCCGTGAAGGACTGGCCAGCAGGTAACAATGGGAATACCAGCGAAACCATTATCGACAAGGTTCCCTTCAACGTCACCACCCTTAAATACTTCAACTACACACTCTACAGTAACAACACCATCTCCAATGGCTCCAAATGTTACCTAGCTTTCGACCCTTACACTCCAGCTTATGTCTTTCCGAACGGCTCGTGGACCAATGCTACTAAGTGCTACACTGCGATCGAAAACATCAAGACGCGTGGCTTTGTAGGCATTGGCTTTGCAGTCGCTTTTGGAATCGCTCTGGTTCTCAACCTGACTGTTCTGGCCAAGCACGGAAAGATATACACTCCTCGCGACTCTCGATTCTATCCTGTTGGTCGCCGATGGCAATGGTATTGGGCTCTGTTCAGTTCCGCTGCTGCTCTCATCAGTCTTTTCGTCGGCGTCGATATCGATCGTTATTATCTTCAGGAATTGCCCATCACCGTCAACGTCTTCTTCTGGTATCTCTTGTGCATGGGTACTGTCGCCTTGACATGGGAAGCTGTTCGCCATTGGGGCTCATGGCAGGAAAGGAAATTCGTCGACCCCAATCCATTCATTGTGAAAGACGATGACCGCCGTGCCAAGGTCGAATTTTGGCTACCGCTGTGGTTCTACCTCTGGCTGTGGCTGAACTTCTTCATGGTTGTGCCGCGCAGTTGGAAGTTTACTCAACTACAGCATTCGGAAGAGCAGACATTGGCAAAGGCGGTCCCAGGTGCAACAAGCACTCGATTCAAGGCTGGTGCTTTCTGCCTTGTTGTCGCATGGCTCACCATCGTCTTCTCTCTTCATCACTCGATCAAGCATTACAAGCCTCGACACCGTGGTGTCTTCAACCGCGCCGTCGGCTTCCTTCGATATGTGCCTTTCCGTTTCTGGCTCATCTTGCCATTGTCAGCGGCTACCATCGCATACCAGGGCTTTATCTCGTGGGAATTTGACTACTCCATCGTGAAGTACAATGGCAATATCCCCGTCATCTACTGTTGGGGTTTCCTGCCATCCCTTTTGATCCTCTTCATCCAGTACTTCTACGGCCTCTTCACGCCAAACGAGGACAAGGAACTCGTCCGACTGAGACGTGAGCGTGGTGAGATGCTTGACCGTGAACTCGGACTTGTTAACAAACCTGCCTGGTGGAAACGCGTTAGAGGCGACCACCTGCTCACTTTCAAAGACAAGCTCGTCCGCAACGTTAACGAGGTTGGCGGTGGACGCGGCACTGGTCGACGTGTCGAGGGTGATGCGGAACGTGACCTACGTGAAGAGGCGTTGGCTGCGGCCAGAGACGACGATGGATTCGAGATGGGCCACATGCATCGTCCCCTCGACGCTGCCAACAATCCTCGTGTGGATCGTGCTGGTGCTGCTTCCATCTCGTCTAATGCTTCGCGCCTGTCATATGTCCAACCCTACACTGGTAAGAACGACCGTCGTCGGCATGAGCGTAACATGCAAGCTGCCGCCAGCGTCCTCTTCCCCAACAACCTCGCCGAAGAGCGTGCGCGCCGTGAAGCACAACTCGGCCTCGACGGCCCGGCTCCTCCTCCTTATACGGATGGCCAGGGCCGTGGCCGAGCAACCGGACGACCCAGATCTACCGGTCGTAGCAATAGCACAGAGACGACCAACTCTATCACGGCTCCTCCACAGCAGATTAAGAGCATGCTGGATATTTAGAGGGAAGTGTCTTACAAGTCTAATAGTTCGAATCATCAAACATGTTTAAAGTTACAATCGTTCCTGCATCCTCATACTGGGTTACCGGGACGCAAAAGGCGTTACCGTTGTTTGTATGACCGTTGGATATAACATGATGTTATTTTATGGGATGGATATCTTACTATGGGCGCTCGCATTATTTACCTGCCATGGTAGACTTAAACTTGTACGAAAGTCGATACGTTTTTAATGAATAACATTTGCATCGCTTGGCTCTATGTGTTGCCTATGATTTTATAATAAAGTTCCAGCATGACACTATCTACTGAAGAGTTCATGAGTATGGAACATGGCAGGGCAGGATGGATGGATCAAGGTTTAGGCGCGTAATGTTGAAATAAGGGAAGTTAGGAATAGCCATCATATCCGCACTGTTATCTGAGACTGATTAACTTTGACAGTCGAGGCTAACATCCACAAGACAGTATCTTTATTGTTGAAGTTTACATCAAGAAGAAACCCATATCACCATCGTGATAATAGCAAAATGTGTTGGCTACCCTATAGAGGAGCTATCGCCGTGTCGCGAGATCCAACACCTCACATCGCCAAAGATTGATCTTTCAATTGTTTTGGTACTTACTGGTCCATCTCCTAAAACCGCTAAGCAGTATATCGACATTACTCTTCATGATAAATGGTGGGATTGTGTACAGCGTATTGGTTGCAGACTCACAGACAAATAGCCCATGCAACGAAGCATTGTCGAGGACCCTTGAGATCGACACTAGGACCGTCATGATGTCAGTTCTTACTACATCTGGAGTATTGCTTGCTTAGTCTGCAGGATAATCACATGCGGGGGATCCGTCCCCCAGCTGAAGGCGATAAACTACTTGGCGTTGATCGCGGAGCCTCAAAAGCAGGTCTGGACAAGACAAACTGCGAAAGGGTGGCGTCGAAAGCCCATCGTCGCGTTGGGCTCGAACAAAAATCTAGCCAGACTTGCAGCAGGACTGTCGCCTCCGCAAAGGTACCTTGAAGTAGACTTGAAAGGACAGCAGGGTCACACAATATTGCAAGCAGTCAAAATCCTCGAATGGGGCGTCAACCCCAAGGCAGTCAGCACGAGCACACCGGCATGGATATACGGACTAGAACCGAGAGACGGGGTCGAGTAGACTAGCACGGGACGATGGAAGGCAGAAAGAAAAGAGGAATCAAGGACTGTAAGACCTGAGACCATGCGATACGGATAAGCTTCAAAGTCGCACAGAAAGATCGCGAATCGAATCATGAGACTCTTGACGTACATAGGTCCATGCGTTTGCGCACGCGAATGAGGATACCTGCATGAAAGGCCCTTGGATGCATGCAGTCATGATACGTAACAACACATCTAGGCCATGTTGTGTTGGGATCAGGTCGGGTCCTGAACCCGACTCAAAAAGAAAGTCCAGCCCAGCCCACTGCAGTTAGCCAGCTGCATCCATCTAGATCCAAGCTTAACTTCACGATCGCTTGATCTGATCCGAGAGTCAACTTCAAACGTCAGTTGCTGTAATTAGCGAGGCTGATGTTCCAGAGACAAAAGTGTTTAGAAGATCCACCAGAGTGAGTAAAGGTTATGGGATTTTGGGTTTGAGCATAAAAGAGCGGTGTAGGCTCAAAGGCCCGAACAAGTGAGGTCAAAGACAAGAAGAGACAAGTTCAGGACAAGACAGGTAATGGACCAATGTTGTGGATCTCCATCGGGCAATAGAACAGGGCCACTAGCTAGCAAGTGGCTTGGAAACAAAGACAACTCACTAATAATTGTCGGTAGGTAATGAGACAATTGGAAACTGATTAAATTCCAGAGCAATGTCGAATTGCGAAATGCGAGGTTGGGAAATCAGGCGGGTCTATCTCAATTCTGGCCGGCGACATATTGAACATCAACGGGCGCAGTGAGAATTTGTCGCAGGATCAGTCAAGTTGATGTCCCTTGCTTCACCGGCCGCCCACCTGCCGTAGTGTACCGACCCGTGAGCGATATTCCCCTGCCTATGGAGTCGTCACATGGGTGTGGTCGGAATGGGCGGGCGCGGGGCTCATAGTGAAAGTCTCCCAAAGAAGAGTCATCGCTTGTCGTCAACATCCAGTTGGTGTACTGTCTGAGAGTACGAACCAGCACATGCGGGTTAGGCCCAGGGTGCAGTGTGGTAGGTATCCTTTGGGACCATGTTACTATGGTGGATAGGTCTGTCGTCAACCTGCGCCGTGCCTTGCATTTGGTGGCATGATTGGAGAGCGGGCCAAATACTAGTATGAGGGCTCAGACAGTAGTCCAGGAACGATCAAGGTACCGTACGTCTCAAGAGATGGTTTATTTCGACGGAACGATATTGTCGTTCTCTAGGCGAATTAGCACTTTGACAACCAAATAATTGATAGTGTTGAAAGAAGCGGTTGTTTCCTAGCAACCAACAGCCTGGAAACGACTAAAAGGCGGTAAGTACATCTGTGGCTCATCCATTCCAGTTCACAAATGTCTCGGACGAACCTTTATGTATCAGTGCTATTTTGGGTGAATTCCATCGAGAAAATTGTGCCTGGAAATCGGAATTGTGTGCAAATTCCCTTGAAGGCTTGGGGCCCCGACGACGCTGGCCAAGCTTACACGATCAACCAGTCGCACGATTGAGTTGAAGAAAAGACCCTCAATGTTGATCACCTACGCCAAGTGGAGCTGTCATGGCGAGGAGGCGCAAACGGCGGCTGCTTTAGAGGCGGCTGGTTGCGTTGTTTTAGCGTATGCAAGTCAATTGTCGCATCTCTATCGTAATCCCTGGCGCATCTGTGAGAGGAGAACGGCGTTTGGCGGGAGGAGAGACGGGACGGAGGCTTGTGGGAGTGCACGAGTTGCCCGATTCAACTTGCCAGGTACCCGAAAATGCCATGGCCAGGAGGGAAACCCAGTCACGATATGGCGTCTGATCGAGGGTAACGAAGAAAGAGGCTGGAAGTCTAATAGTCACCGCCAATTGACTGACTGGATTGCCACCAATAATTCGGGTACCAATAGAAGCGTGGAACAAGCAATGATGTTCCATGGCTTTGTCGGTTACCCAACACTGGAGTGCTTGGCATCGTCAAGATCCCAATTCGTGATATTAATTCTTGAACAAAGAAACAGTCGATGGATTTGCATTAACGATAGCGTTGCAGGCCTGCATGGTTTAAGCCAATCGTGAAGATGAAGAGCAAGATCATCGGAGGTGTCGATAACAAGGGAACCCTGGATCATGCAAGTCAGTGGATTGCAGGAAAAGTAGTAAGGAGGTGAAGAAGGTGTGATTAATAACAGGACGAGTCTCGCAGTAGATTGCGTACAAAGGTGATTTGTTTTTATCTTCGCTATACTGAAAGAAGCGTCTCAACTGTTCATCTTTTTCTGGCCAGCTGCATCCCACTTTCCAGGGATTTCTTATCGATAGAGGGTCACAGGACGCTTTGATGACGGGAAGGAGGGGGGACGTGCATGATGGAAGGGGGGATAGACAGAGGGGGTGGGGTAGTTACCGTTCATGGCGGAGGGGTTCAATCTGGGAGTCAAGACGGAGTACGGAGGGGTACTTGCCTCTCTTGACCAAGAAGGTACAGTACCTTCTTTTAGCGGCTCCATTATTGAAGAGAGAGCAGCATTAGCTTCGCTCCAATGTTGACAGCTCACAAGCACCACCGTTTTGAAAAGCAACGCAGCACAAGACAAACGGAAATGGCCGGCTCGGAAAAGAAGAACCCTCCCAAGACTGGAGAAGTCTTTCTCAAGGATGCACCCTTCATTGACCGGACCATCTGGTATGGAGGCATGGAGGGTTATGGTAAGGCAAGGTACAGTACACGTCAACCAGCCACCTCAAACTCTAGAAAGCTTCTCTGAAAGTCAATTTCAACCGGCCGCCTCCGATCTTTGGAAGACGCTACAGATGAAGAGCTGTCTCTTGAGGACATCGTCAGTGTATTTTATGAACGATGGTTTGCGGTATCAGTAGAAAGCCATGCGTGATGCAAGTGTCTGTATGGTATCCTGTACTTACCACATACCACAGATCACCATTCATCGTGGACGACTAGAACCTTTCCATTTGCACATCACCTGGGCAGTTTGTGAGCCCCGAAACAAAAATGCATTCCTCCCAAGCTGCAAGCGTTGCGTCCACCTACAACTTGCAGAAACACAGACGCGAGCTGCGTTACTCTCTCCACACGCCTCGGCTTTATGCTGTGCGCCTCTTTCAACGGACGGCTGGGGCACCCTGACTGGCTTGGACTTGAGATTTTCCTCTGTGACTTTTGGCTTGGCAATATTCTCCCGGCCATGTTTAACCTTGATGCCATATGTCTGTCACGACACTGTGTATCAAAGCTCCCCGGACAGGCACGAGAGTACAATTCACATAGTTTGGTACGGGTTGAAAGTGCCTGACTTTGACCACGATCCACTTAGTTTACTTCATCTACAACCACACACCGCCGTGAAACACAGACTACTACATGCAATCAGAAGTTTTGGGGCATGCAAAAGTAGCCCGTAGGTATCACTCGACCTGCATAACGCACCTCTCTCCTTCACCACTATGGGGAGAGACTCGGAACAATTAGCATTTACTAAAACAACAAAGACTGCTATCATGGAAGCTTCAATGCGTCATAAAATGTCAGCATTGGGTCGAGTCTGACCTATGTACGGCACCTTCGGAATCAATAGTTAGCCTCAAGCAGCGAACTACCAGAGCCTGTCAAAACGACCCTGAAACCTGACCACTACCCGTGGTAAATCCATCTGTATTCTTTGCGAGGTTTCACGTCATTGCTTACGCCCAACGGTGCCAACACGTTGGGTCTTTGAGCTCTTGTCCGAAGCCCTTGTTGTCATTCCATCTCAAGCCACGTCTGGTTTCAGACCGCAACATTGGAAGCGAATAGCGATGCAGCGGAGACATTTCAATATGTTTTTTTTTTGTTGGTGAGAACGTGACAGAAAGGCTGCACTCTACGTTGATGTAGCTTACGTTTCCCCACACTCTGTACTCTTTTCATCGTCGACCTGAATCTCAAAGCCCACGGGCACCGACCTGCAGGATCCAGGCACAATCATGCCTTTCAACCTATCATCAATCGTGCAAATAGAGCAAAACACTGGGCATTAGGGATGCGGCGAGGGGTATGTATTGGATCAGAATGCATGGACAGCCTGGCCACCTAGATGACCTGTCCGGGACGCCGTCTAGTAACCAAGATATAATCTTATACGGTCTGATATCGGCGATGTGTTAAAGCGAACATGATATGATATGCCGCAAGCGTGTCCATAGCAACCAGGAACAAGATTGTCAAACTATCCCTACAAATTGATTAGAAACCGGAACCGTATTATTCTCGGTACGGTAAGTAGGAACAAGAATGGGAACTTGCAAGGTGAACGCCAAGGCCCCATCACGGCCCCTTGCGGCCGGTCAGGGACGGCTTCGCTTCGAGTCAAGCACAGGTTTTTGGTTCACCATGCAGCTGGCGCGAGGTTTATTTTTACCATCGCACAGCGGCAGATTGAGGGTCCCTAGTGAGTCAAACTATCAAAGCGCCGCCTACAACCTTCGCTGACATGGCTCCCTAGACCCACCCAAGGCTAAGAAACCAACCCCTCGCATGTATGCTGGCCCTAATTCGGTTGGCGATGTCCCAGGATTTCAACCAAGGTATGAACAGAGGCTGGTCCGGCCGCGAGCTACGACCAGCAGGTTATTCTCGTTTCAATGATGCGATCTACATGGCCTGGGATGATAGAACAGACAGATGCTCGCTGCATACGGTATCTCACTGGAGTCGTTCGGAACCCTCATGTTCACATCACCCTTGGTCGGGCTGTCGACCGTCAGCTTGCTTTACCACTAGCTTGCAGCTTGTTGGTTGATCGAGCTGCAACGCTTGCAGGGTTATGCCTAGCATGGGTCATATCAGGTACATGCTGGCGCTATGTACCTGGCCCGCCCCCTGCTCAACAGTGCAGGTGACCTGTACCTGACGTCTCTGACTGGCATGAGTTGTTGTTCTGTGTGCCCTCAAACAGTGGAATTATTCAGCAAGGTGTTGTGCGACTCCAATCACTCTGCACATGTTGTTTGAAGCCAGTGCTGGATATTGGACCCGCGCGCCTGGGTACGACAGGTACCCAGGTTTGTTCTTACTTGCGCAATTCCAGACACACCCATCTCACCTAACAGTCACCGCTCAAAATACGGAGACCTCTATCTGTGACAAGCATCGACTCATCCTGCTACACGCTCCCCACCAAAGCCGGCGGTGCCCTGCCCTGTAAGGATTTCCCACGAGACAAGTCACAAGTCGAGCTGTGATCGGTCGCAAACTGGCAAAGCGGAGACGCAGAAGGTCGTTGGCGCCGTGTGAACCGAGTCCAGAGCTCCTCGCCCAGCGAAACTCAAGATTGATGGCATCCAGTGCCAGGCTCGATTTACAGCCAGCTGGAGCCCTAGAGAATTAGGTTCTTGTCGGTCTTTCCACCTGCGGTGATCCGGGTCGATGAGCATGACAAGAGCAGGGACAGCTGTGTGAAGTGGCTGGCCCCTAGATTGATTGGTCGGACAACACGACTAACAAAGACTCCGACCTAGTGTAAGGAAAACAAGAAGAGAGAGTTGGGCGACTCGACTCGATCCATGCCTCCATGCATCCATCCCGGATCCGGACTCCACAGACACAATCGATTTGGGGTGGAAAAGCAACCATAGACATACATCATCGCCACGCTTACCCCTGCGGCCCTTCCACTTTTCCCCTCTGTGCCCCTGTCTCGACTTACCAGTTGCAACTGTCAACCTTTTTTTTTTCTTTTGCGTCACGCACGTTGGGTTTTATGTTGTCACTACTGTACCTTTTACTTACATACAGTTTCAACACTTGCTTTTTAGTAACTTGTTGACGAGTTCAAACTGAAACTACCAAGCGTGGTGCTGAAGATACAGAGAGACTCACAAGTCTGACCGATTGTATCACTTTGGCAGCTATCATCCATCCAAACAATATTAATTCACCTTATTCTGGTCCGTGTCGCTTTATGGATCTAGGCCCTGGCCTTGGCTCGCTTGCATCACCACTACGCACGCCTCCCTCCCCCGCCGGCATTTCGCACGCTCTGAGGCGGGCCTTAGCACGTCGTGGGTACTGTACTGTAGGAGTCTGAGAACGCCTCTGTTCATCCTCTTACAACTCTCACACTCCCTCTTTCTGCATCCTCGTTGTCTCTCCTCTTAACCCCTTACATATCTTCCCATCCCTCGTCCATCCGGGATTAACGTCCAGCATTGACCTGTTCCGCCCTGTGTGTGCGTGTCTTGTTACTTTCTGGCGGCATATTACTTTTTATCTCCATCTCCCCCCAAAATTCTTAGGAGCCTACCTTTGTCCTGTCCACCGGGGTTGCCTGCGCCTGGCCGTCATAATTCGAACCGCACCCTTTGCTGAGTTCTTCCGATTGTCTTGCATTCCCCAGCCTCATAAGATTATTGGCGCATACGAGTGCAAATAACGCAGTCCCGACAGCACTATATAGCCGTGGATAACGATTACCCGACCGTCTTCTCATCGTACCTGTGCGACCAGGACGTCGCACCCCTACGGGCATCTTTCTTGCCTGCTCCCGAAAGATAACTCTGCGGAACGGCAAAAGCGTCACTGGTATCTGTAGTATTGCAGCCAAATATCGATTTTGACTTTTTGTCGCAATGGCGGCTGCTTTTCGACCAGTGAATTCACCGCTGGCCATGACAGTTTCCCGAGAAGACGTCATGGGTCCCTCGTCTGCAACTCCTCGACCCAACACAGCTCCTCAATCACACTCATCAAGACCCGCCGAAGATGGTGCAACCCCTACGAGAGCTACATTTAACATGGCCAGTCAGAAGCCTCTTCCGTCGAGTCCATTTCCACAGGGAATCCAGGTACCCGAACAACCACTCAAACCAAAGATGCCTCGACGTCACGACTCGCGGCACTCAAACAAATCAGGCGATTCTGGGGACGTAGATATGGATGATTCCGATGAAGAGACTGGTACTGTCGACGACGGAGCTGGATCTGACGATGAGAGTGTCGGCGCAGATGGGCCACGCTCTAGTAAGAAGAAGAAGTCGCAGCGCTTCTATTGTACAGACTACCCGCCTTGCAATCTGAGCTTTACACGCAGCGAGCACCTGGCCAGGCACATTAGGTCAGTAAATATTTCGATTTGTACGGTCTCGGTGGTGCTGACTGTTTACTTTAGAAAACATACGGGTGAACGGCCCTTCCAATGTCACTGCTCACGCCGCTTTTCGAGACTCGACAATTTGAGACAACACGCACAGACGGTTCACGTTAACGAGAATATTCCAATGGATTCATTAGCAGCAACGGGCTCCCGATTTCAACGGCAAATGCGCCCAGACCGGGTAAGGCAAGCTGGCAACCGAGCAAGAGCATCAACAGGTGGCAGTGCGGGAGGCCCTCAGCGAGGGCATTCTAAGTCGCTATCGACATCGAGTATTACTAGTGTTAGCTCAGTCGGCTCTGCTTATAGTGCCCAAGACGTCAGACGGCGACCACCACCATTGGTCATGGCTGATCCTCGCTCCCGGCTATCGTTCGAATCGTACAGGAGTTCTATGGACGGCGGACTGCCGCAATACCGAGCCGTTTCACCGAGCGAATATGGAACACCTACTTCGTCTACCTTCTCGACGGGACAGAGCAGCCCTCGATGGGGACCTGGCGTTTCATCCCCAGCTACCTCACACTCACGATCTCACAGCATGTATACCACGGGCTCCCGCACACCGGGCCGCCGCTTAAGCGTTCCGTCAGGAAACAATCCATTCCAATCTCCTGGTGCACTAGGAAGGCCTATAATGTTTGGACCCAACCCTGGCCCTGTCAACGCTTCGAATGTGGGTGCTCCCCCGCCAACTAGTAACGGCATCCCTTCATCCCCTACTGCCGCGACTTCTCAGTGGCCTCGCAGAGAGTCGTTATCTGAAAGCGATTGGCGCCGAAGAACCTGGCATCCAGACAGCCGCAACATTAATGGAAACCCGAGTCAGCTAAGCTCCGTTGTGAATCAGTCCTCAGTCCGTCCGAACCCGCCACCACCGATTGCGAACCCCTCCAACTCTCAGTCTTCATTCCGTCTACCCGGAATTGAGTCTTTCGATCCCCTGCCACCTCGTCCTCCTACTCCATCTAGGAGACAGCCTTCGCCAATGATGGTCGATGCGGAATCCCACGTGCGCGCTTCCTATCAACCACATCTCCCCGAGACCCCGATAGACGAGAGACGGAATCTCAACATGTACGACGCTAGTATCCAGCGTGGCCTCAATCGCCTTGATATCAATCACAATACGCCACCTCGTGACAGTGCTGGTTCATGGGCCTCGGAAGCGAACAAGGCGGTTCAAGCCCAGGCAGAGCATGTGCGACTCAATCCTCCTATGGTTCGCTTCGAGGAGCGCCCACCAGTATACCAGGGGCCTAAGCCTACATCCGCGCCGCGATCTCTGCACCATCACACCATGTCGGCGCCTTCCATTACAACATCCAGGGAAAACAAACGGCGGGGCTGGTATCATGGACCCGTGCCTGTTCAGAGAGATGGCAGAATGCCACAGGAGCAGCAGGATCCGCGATTGGCCCATGTTGACAGAATGGTGCATCCTAACTTCACCGGTTTCAGTGGATTCCCTGTAAAAGAAGCCCCGCCTCATCACCAATATCAACATCCGCAGCAACAGATGGCTTCTCAGTCTCAGCAACCACCCCAGCAACATCAGTACCAGCAGGTTCAGCACCCACAACATCCGCAGCATCCGCAGCAACAGCAACAGCAGCAGCAACAGCAACAGCAACAAGGACGACCGGGAAGCAACGGCTCCCTGGGACGGCTGGAGGCTTTGGTTGCTGTTGCAACAAGCGAAGGTTCGACCGCCAAAGCGTACTGAGTTGGAGGCTGTCCCCGTAGCAGTCACTTACCTACATCTCTTCAATCCGTACCTGTCGTTTCGAGACGACGATGACTTTTATGACTTTACGACCTATTTCCTTGATTTCAGTGCAACTTGACTTTATACCCGGAAGCGGAAACGAAGCACGTTACGGGCATGAATTAGTTAAATGATACACGACCATGATCCCTTTGGTTATACGACGAACCCCTCTCTTTGGAACCGACACCTTTCCTTTGGACACGACGACAACAGTACATCAGCTTTCCAGGCAGATTCGAGAGACGACCTCTTCCTGATCAGGGCAACTTGTTTGAATCTCGCGATCTTGTAGGGCAAATTGGTTTTGTTTGATGGGTTCCTACGACAATCGTTCTTTTCTATGAGTTTTGATTAAGGGTTTCTCGACTCATTTCTCCATCAAACCTGGCATGGTCTGCACTCGAAGAACAACGACTTTACTGGTTCTTACCCTGGCGATAACGGCAGACTTAGCTTTGTTGAGTACAGCTGCACAACAAGTTGGACTCGATTCAGTCCGAGGGTGTTGCAAGACGTTATGGAGACGTTTTTCACTAGCGGGATAGGAGGATGGGCTTGAATTTGATACCCTATGACTACAGCGTTTCTATTGGCGTTTATCAAGATGATTGGCTTAGACTTGTTTCTCAGGATTATCACGACTTTTCCTTGTTATGGAGTAGTTGGTTTGGCAATGGAGTCTCGGCTCTGTTTACAGATTGATGAAGAGGAGGCCCAGTTTTTGATAGTTATGATGATGTCTCATAGTTATGATAGTGTTGCCCAGGCGTGAAACTGGGTTGTAATGAAAGCTGAATTACGACTTGTATGTTTGACCATGGCGACTGAGATACCCTCCAATGGGTTCATGTCAATCGCTGCCATAAACTGGTATGTCGATCAGTTACCAAAATCTGATGACTGTGGTGGTGCGGGTTATACCGAGTTTGTTTCGGCGATGACCAATCTTTCTGATCTAGATTCGCGAAAGGGGGACTGACTGTTGTTCATATACTTGAAAGAGCAAGTCGAGGACCACGATCGTCAATGCCATCGACATTGGACCCAGCATCTGTATAGGTACCTACCTACAGTGCCTAAGGTAGGTAATCTATCCTTCTGGGCAGACGACGACAGATTTGAGACATAAATGTCGAACCCCGCAATTTGTATGGCGATAAAGTGGTTCTTGACAATCGAGTCTTAGATTCTCGAGGTCATATTCGCTTAACAAAAAGCTCCGGGCCTGGGCCGGGCTGGGGGTTAGAGTGACGTCGTCGATACATCATATACAGGCAAAATGTCGTCGGGTTTATCAATACCATGACGGATCACACAGCGAATGATGCTGAATTTGACTACTGTGAGTGAAATGCCAGTAGCTGATCGCTGCTAGTGTAACATTAAACCCATCGCATAATTCGCACCTCATAATCCTGCACTGTCTTCGCCAATTCTTTCTCTCAAGAACAATAAAGATGGAAGATAGCGCAGCTTCTGGCCGACTACGTCCACTACTACCAGGTCCGACTCGTGATGATCCTCCTAGCTCAAGACCGCCCTTTAAACTGAACATCCCCAAACGAACTTCTGTTAAGACAGCCTGCCAAGCTTGTAGGCAGCGAAAGGCAAAGGTATACGCTAACATACCCATCATCAGCTGTGCAATCTCACTGACTGGGTTTTGATAGTGCGATGGGCAGAGACCGAAATGCTCGGCTTGTAAGGCTGGTGGGCGCGACTGTCAGTATGCGAGCCACCCTTTCGAAGCAGAGGCCTTGGCCTTGAAGAGAAAGCATGACGAACTACAGGAGCGTGTGACCAATCACGAGAGTCTGTACTCATCTCTCAGGACTAAGGAACAACACGAGACAGATGAGATTCTGCGGAGGATACGCGCTGGCCAAGATATCAGGACCGTCACCGAAGACATGCCAGTAAGGAATCTGACCAAGCAGAACAATAACTCCACGGTATCGAACCAGCAGAAGAACCCTCTACTACGACACGACAGTGCCAATACTTCCAACAGCGCCACTACATCCGGAAGCGCAAGTTCGCCAACTTTCTCTGCTGCTCGTGCCAGCTTTTCTGGAACACAGCAGCCCAGACTCACGGCCCCGTAAGTAGAAGATGAAGCTGCACATTGCCTATAGTCGTATGCAGAATATCTAAAACCGTTTAGAACTGATCATCCCGGCTATATCTTTGAGGAGGCCTGGCGAGATACCCAACGAAGAGCTTCCGAAGACTTGTTTACCGACCTGCCAGGATATACACTGCCGCTTTCAGAATGGACAAACGCCTACCACGACGATAAGCTTCTAAGTCACTTGATGCTCCTGTTCTGGACATGGGATACAGTGTGTAACCGCATCATCGATAGAACGATATTCGAGGAAGACCTTAAGAGCCTCGATCCCACGACACTGGGCGCCCCTTCAGAACTCCGTTTCTGCTCGCCATTTCTTGTCAATGCTGTTTTAGCCGTTAGCTGCGTATGTAGGCGATACGTGATCAACTTCGTGGCCTGATCCCTGACTAACCGTGAGATTGCAGCTGTACTCTACCAACTCTGCGACAGTCAGCATACCAGGCGAGCTTAGCACGAGAGGTCGTATTTTCGCCCAAGAAGCTATAAGATGCTTGAAGCTCGAAGATACACGTCCTTCGCTACCGGTTACACAGGGCATGGCGCTTATGTATGTCTATGAAGGTGCTTTAGGCGATGGAGAAACAGCACTTGAGTTTCATACTCTAATGCAGCAGCGGTATAAGGCGCTTCAACTTGATGATATCCAGCGCTCGACGGATACGGCCATTGCGGGCTCGAGACAGCGTGCCGAAGCCCACGCTCTGTCTTGGATTCAGTGGGGGTTCTATATCTGGGATTGGTAAGTCGTACACTCGCTGAGGGAGTCAACCAATCTGACACATATGATTAGGAAGCCAATGCATGGACTATGTCGTCGTCTTGTGATAAAGCGACCCAGGCGCGAAAAGACATGGCAAGAAGATGGGGCACCGCTTAACAGAAAGGAGAACCCCGAGTATTGGTGGTTTCCATATCCCTTGTCTGTAGCACCTCAACGGTCACTGAAGCGCGAGATCTTTGACGCCGAATGCACTTTCACCGAGCTCACCGAGCAAGTACTCGACTTCATCATCCCTATGGAACAAGGCGTTCCACCCTCTTTCAACGCTGGACGAGCGCTCGAGCTCTACTCTGCATTAATGGAGTGGAAATTCTCGCTACCAGAACCCTTGAGAGCCGAGAATGCGGTTCTTCCTGCTGCTATTCTCTTGCAGTAAGTATCCTACTGAAGTCGAAATCTCTGGCTTTGGTACTAATCTTCACTCAGTCTCAGCGCGGATCTCGTAGCCGTAAGCATTCTACAACCCTTCGACAGCGTCTCCAAAACAACTTTCGGCCCCTTCAACCCACGCTCCATGACCTACGCCCATGCCACAAACGCCATGTCAACAATCTGGCACTTCCGTGCTCTCTACACTCTTCGCAACGAACACTGGCTCATCCAAGCCAGTTCTGTTTGCGCCTTCCGCGTCCTTTTCGCCATCGAAGAAAGCCCAATCCAGCTCGAAACATTCATCAAAGCATGCCGCGCTCTTCTCGAACTCAGCGAAGCTTTTCCCATTGCAGAAAAAGTTCTGTACTCCATCGAGTCAGTTGTCAAAGAGAAGGGAGTAAACCTGCCTTCGTATGCGAAGGAGTATATGCCCCATGGAGCGGGGGAAGGAGTTGCGGAGTTGACGGATATCAAGGTTAGAGACCATACAGTTATAGCTGAGAAAGCCTCTGAGGCGACTGAGGATCGGTTTACATTGACGGGGTTACTTTCGGCGTTGGCACCCAATGAAACAGCGGTGGATTAGATCTATACACATCACGCATACATGAAAGGATAGAGTGTTTTGTTTTCTTGGGACTGCTTGAGTTAGATAAATCACCGCGGCGACGCGCAGGAACTGTGCTATAGATAGACGAAAGGCCAGTTGAACTTGGTAACAACTTTGGAAACCACATCTGGCGACATTACAATACAGAGAGTGGTTGATTGACCTGTGTAGACAGAGATGTGTGACAATATTCTGAAGGTCGTCTCTTTGTCAAGAATAGTGAGACGGTTTGCGTGCTCAAAGAATATCAAGGACATATATATGCGAAGCGTCAAATTCACTAAAACCTTATCGCTGATTTCGTCTGGGAACATCTTGTAGTCAACAACTCTATAAATCGGCTTTCAGCTCATTATTATTGACATATGCAATAGCTATCATGAATACTCCAAGAAGAATATCCTTTAGTAGCACATCATCGACATTCGCTCTCTTGTTTTCCGTATCCTGCTTGTCCTCCGTACGAGCCATCCCGTACGCCTCGTCACCCATCTATCATACCATATCATCATCTTGTCCAGAAACGCCTGCAAAAAATTATTCCCACCTCGTGCTTGCCAGTCATTACATCTCCTGCTGCGCGGGAACGTGTCCCTCGACAGCGCTCAGCGCGCCGAGGTTGACTTCACCGAGGCGCTCGCCCTTATCCTGGACACCTGCCAGGAGAGCAACACACTCAATCACGTCCTCTGGTTCCAGAAGATGAGACTTGGCCAGCGTGACCTTTGTACTAGCGCCAACGGTGACTGTGAAGACGTGGTTGGCGTCAAGGACAGGGCCCGAAGCGGCGTTAAGGCTGCGGAACATGTCCTCGTCGGTGAAATCATCGCCCATGCACAGCGCAAACTCAAGGTGGCCAGTGCCGGCGTTGTCATCTGCGGTGCCAGGGGTGTGGTACATAGTAATGAGGCGCTTCGCGATCTCTCCCTTGTTGATGAAGGTAGGGCGGACTTCGATGTTCGCCTTGCCGGGCATCACCTCCACATCCCACTTGGAAGCGACAGTCGACTCAAGCTCCTTATGGCATTCTCGCGACATGTGTAAGCCTTGCTCGGGATCGGCCAATCGGTAGTGCCATGTCAAGGCGCATCGCTTTCGCTCGATGAAAGAACCTATATCACGTCAGTATATGCTTAGTAATTAAATAATCGGGAAACAAACCTTGAACTCTATCGGTGTACTTCTCAAACACTTGCATCACCTCAGCTTGCCATCCCATGTCGAACTTCTCCGCCAGGTTCTCCCACTCATCTGAGCCAGGGTGCTTCATAAAGCTACCGTGCTCGGCTGAAAATCCAAGACGGGTATTGTTGCCAAGGTGTTGCTTCAAGAATTCCTGGTCTCGTCCCGAAATGATCCAGACCGCATTCTTAGGATCAGCAGCCAACAGGTCGAGTGTGTGGATGAGGCGCTCCGATGGCACGGCAGCACTGGGCTCGCGCACAATAGGTGTCAGGGTACCGTCGTAGTCGAACATGAATAGACGCTTATTGGCGGAGCGGTATTGTGTGAGAAGAAGAGCACGGTCGAGGAGGGGTGTAGAGTTTGCTGAGCTGGTGTCGCCGAGAACATTATAGACCTTGCGAATGAACTTAGTGATCCAGGACTGAACATTGTGCTCGGTAACGTGGCGGTAAAGGCGGGACTGCATCTCCAAGCGCTTGTCCTCAGACATGGTAAGAGCAGTATTGATCTTCTCAGCAACACCGCTAAGATCCCATGGGTTGATGTGAATGGCGTCGCTCAAACTACTAGCGGTACCGCTGAACTCGGAGAGAATGAGAGGAGCGTTGCCCTCTTTCTGGCATATGATGTACTCCAAACTGGTGGTGTTCATACCGTCACGAACAGAGGTGATGAGACCAATATCACTGGCGCGAAGGAGGGCGAAGTACTCGTTCTGGCTTAGATACTGGGGGTAGTGCTGGACAGGAGAGAAGCCCAGACTACCGTACATACCGTTGATGCGCATGACGAGCTCGTTGACGTGGGTCGCAACCTTTGTGTCGTCCTCCATATCCTCCTTCTCTGCCTCGACGCTGGTGGGTGAGGTGACCTGAATCAGGACCACTTTCTCGCGCCACTCTGGGTACATCTCGAGGAAGCGCTCAAAAGCCTGCAGTTTTTGGGCGACACCCCTGACACTGTCAAGACGGTCACGGCCGACAATGATTTTCTTGCCATGGTAGAGTTGGCGCAGGGCATTGCACTTTTCCGTTACAGCATCAGTCCAAGCAAAGTTCTCGACCTTGGTAGCATCAATACCAATAGGGAACACTCCAACTTGGACACGAGTTCCATAAGCATCGATTCCAAGAGTGTCAGATGGAAAGCCAAGAATTCGAGTACAGCAGCTCAGGAAGTGGCGAGAATAGCTGTAAGATTGGAATCCAATCAGGTTGGAGCCCAAAACACCCTCAAGAACCTCCTTACGACGGGGCAAGCAGCGGAGGAACTCGCTACTGGGGAAGGGCGAATGCAGGAAGAATGAGATGTACATGTTAGGCACTCTCTGTCGCAGCATGCTAGGAAGCAACATGAGGAAGTAATCGTGAATGATCACAATGTCGCCGGGCTTGTAAATCTCGATGATCTTGTTTGCAAACTTCTGGTTCATGCGGTAGTAGTCGGCCCACTGGACGCGCTCGCGTCTGCCGTCGGTCGGCTCATGTTGCTTGTAGTGAAGAAGCGTGTAAAGATCGTGCTCAGCATATCGTCGCCAGCGGGCCTGGTCCTTGAGAAGGATACCCTCAGAGGTGGCCTCAGACTCATCGGAGAGCCAGACTGGGTAGGTTCGGATAGTCTTGTTGTGGGACAAACGGTACTCGAGGCGGTCCTGGTCCTCGCGAGGAACCCAGAGACCGTCAATTGGGGGAGGAGTCGGTAGGCGCGTGTTACCATCAATGGGAACAGGTGCGGAGAGGGCGTTGAGAGAAGTGGCACCCAAGGTGTTTGGGGCGGGCGTGCCGGGTGAAGTAGCGACGTCATCGGTAGGAGCGTCAATCTCGCCGGTCCACGCGACGACAGTGTGATTCCATGGTGTAGCGTCGGAAGAGAGGTATGCGAAGGAATCAAAGAGAGCGGATTGACCGCGACGAGATTTCAAGTCCTAGAAAGAAAGACAAATAATTTAGCTGGGGTTCAATTTTCATGTGACAGAACGAATAGGGCGCGAGGGGAAGCGGCAGGGAGCTCAAGCTTTGGTTGGAGAAGAGGGGAAGCGAATGCAAGCTAAAGAGCCGACCCCAGTCCAGCGAGTTGATACGAGATGAGGATCCATGGATGTCTTGGGGCAAGCGAAAGTGAAGCGGAATAGTCTACATACCCAATCACCGCCTTTTCGATAGACAAAGGAGTGCGGTGTGTTGAAGGTGGCCGAGATAATGTTACCGCTGAGAGCCAAGTCGGGGTTGGCAGCTCGAATCTCGGACAAGGACTCGCGACGGCGCAAGGTAGGCTCGCCGCCAGTGTTATCGGTGTTGGAAGCCATTTCGCTGATAATGATGTGATATGAGAGTAAGAGCTCGGTATAGGAAAGTCGTAGAACGAGGAGGGCTGTCAGCTGGCGTCTCCTTTAAGATTGTATTGTCGAAGGAAGGGGATCGCCGTCTCTCTCGCGCGGAGGGAGTTTGTTGTAGGTAATGCGCGCAGGTCTTCCGTGATCAAGGTGATGTGGAAAGTGAGGATGAAGAGGAGAAGAATGCTGAAGCTTAGCTATGTAAGCTGCGCAGTGAGTAAAGAATGGTTGAGGGAGAGTTGTGGAAGAGGAAGAAGAGAGGTTGTCGGAGGGATGGAGCGGGACAGAAGAGAGAGGAACGTAGAGAAGGGGAGAGAACAGAAGTTTGATAAGGCAGATAACAGTAACGGTGACGTTAGATGGTGGTTTTCCACAGTTCACTCACTCAAACTAACTTGACTTAAGTTAACCTGAGAGGAGAGCCTGGTTAGTCTCAAATCGGTCCGGGCAGTTTCGGCGATTCATCGTCGTGTGTTGCTGAGACGAGGCCAGAACCAGAACCTCCCACTTGATGGTGGGGCACCCATGATGAAGGTCCAAAGTCCAAGGTCCAAGGTGCCTTGGAAGTGCGTCAGTCAGTATTCACACCTGGTAGACTAACTGTTATGGGTCTCAACAAGTCCAATCAATATTCACGACATGATTTGACTGCCTGTGAATGATTCTGATACAGATGAATATCATAGCTTGAACCAACTTCAAATTTTGAGAGTAACACAGATTATTACACTCACATGATCTCTTTTGTTTAAACTTTAGCATCACCTATCAAATCCTCAGCACACTTCTAGCTCACGGGACGGAGCAAAGTTGCTAAAGGCCCGACAACTGCCAAGATCCATCGACTTGAGCTGCCAACTTGAGAGAGCCCAAAAAGTCGATGCCGATCAGGTACAGACGGACATTCAATGGCCGATCCAGAACCGGGTACCTAGTAGTTTTAAACACGCACAGCACCGTTACAGCAAACGTACATCATCTTCAACATCCATTGGGACCTCTTCAACACCGCCAGATTCGGCATCACGGGACGACTTGGCGTAGGTGCATCTCACCACTTTATTCCCTCTCAGTCGAGACTTTTGTGATCAGCTATACTTTCTCTGCATCAGATCATAATGGTGAGGTGGCAAGATTTATATCTCTGGGGCCCTGCATGGTTTATTCCCATGTGACCGTGCCCATGAAATTGGGGAGAGGACAAAAATGGCGGGGGAGGGGCATAGTGAGATTTATTCGGCCGACATTGGCGTTGGTTGCTGATTGAGTTTCTCCAGGACGCGGAGAAGTCGTAGGGGAAACTTACTCAGCTATTAGGGCTGACCAAGTATGTTTATGAAACCATTATTCAGCCATGGTGTCCTTTACTCGATGTCAGAGGTTGGAACTCTCCTAGCTGAATCATTGAGCATTTGGAGACTGGTGTTTCGTTATTCTGTCAATGGCGTCGAGCTAGGCGTTGCAATGGCATCAGTTATTGCTAGAGTACCCTGACGGCTAAAAGTTAAATCAGACGACATAAGAGTCTTGGGAAGGTGTAGAATATTGTCCTTGAAATTATCAACCTCCAATGTCCCAGAGTCTTGGATAACAAATCTTCAAGATCGACCAACTCTATTCATCATCGACAGTTCCACTTTCATGATCGATAAGATGCAATGCTGTTCTCACAGTCGCAATCTAGTATCCACCATAATGCTGTACCAAGAATAAACAAGCACCACGGCACGGCACAGGCACCAGCTAAAGATAGTCCAATCCAGTACATTAACGTAAAAGAATGGAAGCGAGTCAACGGTCAACACACCCCAATGAGTTGTTCAAAAGACGGTGAGTCGAGACTCTGTCTTGAACGGACATGCACTCCCGAGATGCTACCTTGCAGAATAGTGTACGTGAATGTCATGTCTTTGAAGATCTTGTTTGATGTTTAACAAAATAGGATATAAAACAACGCGTTGCCCAATTTTATGTCCAAGCTTCTGGGTTTCTGATGTTTCTTTGCTGAAATATGACGCTGCATTTACAGCATCCCACTTCCACTAAAACTAAAAGGTGGTGCGCATTTCCTCCAACATTAGCCGGTTCGCTGGTGCCAGTCCGCTCCAACAAACCCGCATCCGGGGCTAACCCCCCGGGAGTTATAACACCCCTCCCCCGCCGTTTTATTCACACAGGGTAATCCAGTCGCTGGAAAGAAAATACACACGCGCCATTCACGGGCCAGGCCATTGACTTTTCATCCATCCATATCATGCCTTTTTCGTTGCATTCTTTGTATGAACCATCCACCGCCAAACGTGGCCGCACGTTCCCGGCAGTTAATGTCCTCTATCCGGACGTTTCTACCGAACTTGTATTTCTTCGAGAGTGTCCGATGCACATGGGTGACCTCTCTGGAAAAGTGTGGTTGGTTACCCTTCCTGCATGATGTCTGTACAATCTTCGATGGTGGCTTGCATCAACCACGGGCCTGTGAGCCATTTTACAAAGACCATCAATCTTTTTGGCTCTTCCTTCTTTTCCCACCTTCTACCAGGTTCTACAGCTGCCTGATACCAAAAGAGATATCCACATTGTCTTGTTTATAGACACGCAATCTCCTCGCAAGGTCCATGCGATCCTATCATGGAGTTTCCGAATATGGCATGTCTGAGACTTTTCTCGCTGTCTCACTCTTCCGACTTGTTCATCCTACTCGCCTTAGCCGATCGTGTGGTGTATCAACGACCTGCCATTGGAGGTTGACAAGAGTTTCTAAGAGGTTCGAGACTGTCTGGAACGTCCCGAAGATTCGAAATCCCGGCCCGGCAACCCCGTTACAAGTGCCTGATACTGACATGCGCAGAAAAGAAACAACACATTAGGCATTCCTGATCTGAATATTTGCCCAAATTGTTCAATATGCCTCTTTCTTTATTCTGCCTCTTTTTCATATCATGATCCTCTTCAGCTCCAAGCTTTGGATCAACCCCTCTGTGGGGATCCCAAAGCTCAATGACTACCGTCATCCCGCTACGGAAGCCCTATCACGATCCAATCATGTGCCTCATATTAATATCGAATGGAGCCTCTAGTTTGAATCGTCCAGGAACCTTGATGTGACGAATGGTCCAGACTCAACAATCGTGATCTGTCAATCGTGGGACCCATTGCTGTCTCCATAGAGGACCAAAAGCTCCAGCCGCATGACGCAACCTTGAGAGAAATTCTAGGACAATCACTTGAAGGGGATCCATTGAAGCTGTATTTTTGGACTTGAAGTTCAAAACATTTTAACTGCCCCGCGTACAAGATGGATGCACGTGAAAGTCAACCCATAAATCTGGTGCCAATATTTGCGATAGGCTTACAACGTGAAAACACCGCAAATGACGACAAAGTGCTCGCTCCATGAGAGTGAAGATCGAGAAATAAGTGGAAAGAGTTGCAAAATATTCACATTCTCATACTAATCCTCTATCGTGAAGAAATATTTGAAAAGACTTCCTTAACCCCAAATACCCCATGCCCACCGCCCAAATAGGTCATTATCATGAACGCCAGATATATGTTGTTGAGAGATGATTGTCCTCATACTTGAGCTTCAGCTCCAAGCATAGTCAAGATACAGACCATCACTGGTCCTCAGCTGGAGCACCCATCCCAGAGAAGGGACACACTCCTCCACCCGACGCACCATTAGGATGCGGGATTCTTGATGGAGGCGCTTGCTCTGAAGTTTCATCATCAGAACTGGAACCGCCAGCATCGCCAATGATACGCTTTCCGTGTAGATAACCTTCGCTCTCGATCTCGATATCAGAGTCTCCAACCTCGAACTCGGAACCGTCCTTGACGTGCCATTTGGCCATGAGATCGTTCTGGATCCAGATGACCTTGTTCAAAGCCTTTACGAGGGCTGTCTTGCGCTGGATATGTAGACGAGGATGCGAGAGGATAGCTTCTGTCATGATATCTTGAATGAAGCCAAGGCAGACGCCGAGATGCACGTATTCGATGTGGAGAGGGTGCTTGCGACCAAGACCGACGTGCATCATTCTGCTCATGTTAGTCAGTGCTCCTTTTATCGGGAGAGGAAGTGACATACCCAACTTTGTCGAGATACTCCCAAAACTCCATCTTGCTAGGGTCCGAGCACAGCTTCATAAGGTAAGCGCGCAGAAACATCTTTCTGTGCAGAATCTGGGGACTGTTCTCGTCTGGTATCTCATCGAGGGGACCTTCGAAGGAGGTACTGCGTGTGGTGAAAGCACGGGCGGTGATATCGTATTGGAGGAGTTTCTTGTAGACGATGTTGACGACGGCGGGAATAAGAGCCTTGACGTATTTTGCGCCAGTGATGAGAGCCTCGATATCGCCTGGAGACGTATCGGGTTAGTTTAACTGCTGCTAGGATATTCATGGGCGGCACGTACGGCTTGAGAAGTCGAGGAAGGAGTGAAGGTATTGAACGCGAGCTTCGAGGTTGGTGTAGAGATCCTCGCGATCGATGTGCTTCATAGGTCGTGAATTCATCTTGGCTGTGGTATCTTGTTCTGTGTAGTTGAAGTTTGGTTGTGTCAAGCTACTGTTGAGCTGTTCGCAATGGTATCTGCGATTCTGGGATGATGATCCTCCTCAGGTCAAGTCGCTGGTCGAAACTGTTGTTATTCTTTGGGGCAAAGCCGAGGTCAAGGGAGTTAAGAAACTTCAGGTTTATCGCGTGATTCAAGATAATATTCGAAGCTCGATGAGTTCAGATAAAAGGTCAATAAGCAGATCAAGTATACATGTAAGTCAAGAAACGAAGTGACAACCCGGCCACGGTATTTATTCACTTTCCCCTTGTACCCCCCAGTCCCTTGTCCATGACAACTTGTTCATATTTCCCTCTCATCATACGCATTCTCATGACATGAGAGGCCTTTCCCCGAGTCTCGCCTTGGTCCGCTGCGTTGTGTATTGGTAGCTGAAGTGAGCGATCACGCCAGGTCGATAAATCAGCCCATCGACTGATGGTGGGGCCTTTCCAGGGTCCGTGATGTCGTTGGGGAGGGAGTTGTCAGCCGGACGCACCCGAGAAGAGATGAGATGAAGAATCACTGTTTCTAATACTATGGCCTTGACCAATGAATAGGATATAATAGTAAATGGTGGTGTATAGGTTATCATGGTTTATGTCTAGCATGAATGCCAGCAAACATTGTCGTCTCTAGTTCGACAGCTACAAGTGGATATCCTGGGATCGGTAACGGCGGTTTGCGGGGATGATCATTGGTGACCCTGGTTTACAAAAGGAAATCCGTCTACTGTGATTGGTGCATCCTTTCTTTTCATCCTTCGGTTGCAGACGGCGGATTGCGACACTCATTCTGAAGCATGAGTACTATGCAAGACAATCCCATCTTCTAGAAAATCGTTCGAGATCTACGCGATGAGACTGTTTCAGGATTAAGTCGTATCCCGTGTGTATTGATCGTGAGCCAGGGAGCAGAACCCTTGATGCTCCGGTAAAGACAAATAACTACGAAGCATGTTTATTCAATGTACAACGGTACTTGATCAATCCTGTAATGACTGGTCTCTGGGTTTGGGTAAAATAGGTAGTCTCCTAATCCATCACTTTTTATTCAACCAGAGCAATATTACCCTTCTCCAAATTTGCATTCGTCTATCTAGGATTTGTTCTACCGAGAACATGATCTTTCCATTCATCCAATACCACCGTTCAACGTGGCACAACAAACATGATTGTGAGATCAGAGTTGCAGACGATGAAATTAAACAAGTATAGAGTATTTAGCATCGCACATAATTAGTGAGTATCTGAACTTCAGACATTTTTATGCTATCAACTCGGACTAAAGTATGGCTTTAGGGTAAGCCATTTCGTGACCGAGGCCTGAGGCACACCGGTAGCCGAAAATTACCCACAACCCCCAAAACAATTCCCAATTCCTCTTCGGCTCAACCTCCTCCAACAACCGGGCTTCCGCCGACAATCAGCCATCGCGAAAGGCCGTGACCATTCAGATCCGATCCAGACCAGTCCACTCCGGCGCCGTCTTCAAGGGTCCCGCTCCGCTTACTCCAGTTCCGCCCACCGAGTTGAGCTCCGAGCTCCGCCGCCGCCTTTACAGGCCCAGGCCCGGCGCAGTCTGATTTGACTGCTTTCTCCAACATGTCGGATTCACCTCCACCATCGCCATCCTCGCACGCGACGGCTCATGCATACGCAAGCAATGGGCTTGAAATGCTGCAGGCTGCCAGCGATGCCGCCCATGCTATCATCAACAGTCCCCAGGGCTTGCAGCATGCCGCCCTAGCTGCCGCTGAGGTTGTCGGCCATCAGCAACAGCAGCATCAACCTATGGATCAATCGCCACAAGAAGGCCTCCCTCACGCGTCCGATTTGTCGACACAGCTTATGCCTGGAAATGGAGCTGTTCTGCGTGATCCTACCATCAACCCCAAGCTGACTCGCCTACGACGTGCATGTGATATGTGCAGCATGCGCAAGGTCAAGTGCGACGATAGTAACATTCCCTGCCGACCTTGTCGAGAGCTTGGTGTAGACTGTACCTTTAATCGAGAGACGAAGCGTCGAGGACCACCCAACAAGCACGCCGAGGCTGCGAAAGCTGCTAAGCGTACACGGGCGGATATTCCAGCTGCAGCGGCGGCGGCAGCAGTGTTTGAGTCATTGTCTCCTTCACCTCAGACAGCGGCTAAGACGCTGATGAACATCTCAACTGAGGGTGTTCTCGATGCCGAGTCCATTGCGCCTATGCCAGTCTTGGAACTCCTCGTTGATGACTTCTTCACCTATATTCATCCACTTGCGCCCTTCCCCCATGAGCCGACGTTCCGCCAGTCGTTTGCAAACCGCGAGGATCGCACCAAGCCCGAGTTTCTTGGTCTACTCGCGAGTATGATCTGTTCCCTTGTTGCGTCCTTTCCCCGCAGTGCGAGAGAACACCTCAAGGCACAGCACAGCACCCACCTATTTCCACGAGCTATCGTCATGGTTGAAAAATGCCGTGAGATTGCTTTGTTAACACGTGGGAGCAAATGGCAGCTCAAACAACCCAAAACCCTTGATGACGCAGCGACCAGCTATTTCTTGGGACTAGCTTCGGGATATACTCACCAGTGGAACGCCTCTGGCCAGTTCATGGCTGAGACCCTGACCCTCCTTCGCGAGCTGGGTTTCAATCGGCCTAAGCATCCTGGTGATCTGCCAACCTTTGGTAACGACAACTGCTCACCAGATCCTCTTCCATTCAACCATGTCAAGGATCAGATCGGAAAACGCATCTTCTACTGCCTACTGCTCGGCATTCGGTATGTATATAGTACAATATATCATGAGCTCCATCTAACATCTTCAGGTCCTTCGCGCAGCTTGGTGCATCATCTGCGGACATGGTCATTGCTCCATCTACACCCAGTCTTCCCTACCCTGCTTATCCCGAAAACGTTGACGACATTTGCGTTCTTGCCAATGAAGTCATCCACCAACAAGACGGCAGTGTTACTCTGCTGACTGGATTCCGCTTCGCGATCGATATTTACACTACCATGAACGGTATTGTTAGTCTCGAACTCGCTTATGGCATGAGCACCCTGCCTTGGGCGGATCAGCGAATTCTTCTTCGCGATGGTTTACTTGCAGCCAAGAGTATCACAGATAACCTACCACCCGAGCTTCAACTTGGCGACCACGGCGTCGAGGCCAACCCACTAGCCAGCTTCGACGATTCTGGCATGCAATATGCGCCTCCTGCTTGGCCTAACAGCCAGCCAGCCCATGACCTGCGCAATGTGATCAAGAACCAACCCGCCCGACGTCGCCATCTGCAGTATGAGATCCAAAAAGCCAACATCTTTGTCTCACAGCTTGCCACTCGTTCTTATTTCGTGGAATTGTACTTCGACCTCCGCGATGTTCACCTACAGGAGCAGCAGCAAGATACCAACCCCATCGAGGGCCAATCAGAGGAAGAAAAGGCGGCCCAGGATGCCGATGAGAAGGAGATTCATGATTTCATGTCAGCAGAACGTGAATTGATTGTGCAGAACCTGCTCACAGTTCTGGGATCTATCTCGCAGCGAAACATGGAACCCAACGGCGGATCCCTCATCAACAAAATTCGCCAAGTAGCGTCGACACTCCTCAATGACGCACCAGAGCGAAAGGGGCCTTTCGCAGTCAAATCGGAAGAAGCATTGTCACAGTTAATCAACATTCTAGTGAAGCTTGAGAAGACAGGTGCTGGCAGCGGAGGAGGCATGGACGCACAGGATCTATCACAGATGACATCGCAGGATGAGGAAGAGGAACTGCGACACTGGGCGGATCTTCGCGATTATCAGCTACGATTCGCAGCTAATGGAGGTTTCGCCGGAAACCTATAAATGAAGAGCCGGACGGAGCGTGGAGTTTGTGGCATGTTGGACGATAATGATATGAGATCAGTATCGAGCATGATGAAAAAGAATTGATGGTAATGAGAAGCAGTGGTTCTGTATGATACCAAGAGATTGGCGCGGCGCTTGTCACTTATAGGTGCAGGACGAAAAGTCTCATAGATTGTAATTCTAGGAAGGTCTCCATTTTGCAAAAGCTAGAGGTCTAATAAAGATGCCGGGAGCCCGCGCAAGCTATTCAGTCCCATGATGTATCCTTTCCCATACTTCAGTTGTGAACTATTGACCAAGCGCTTTGCCCAGTCTTTGGCGCCAGGTTGTGATATCATGGCTTGGCGGCTCCACCACTTGTAGGATGAACAGCGACCGCGCGTACGTGCTCCCCTCGCCCTCCGCAGCACCATATCGGTATTCAACTATCTTCTCAGATGGGAATATGACTGTTCACATTCTCCCTCTGCTTTCGATAATACCTCATCTCATAAATCGACCACGCAAAAAGAACATAGCTGACGAGCCTGCATCTCGGTTAGCAACACTTCACCCATAGGAATAGCCTATACGTACGCTAGTATCACCAGCATAGCAATCATTATTGCCTCTGAGGTCCTACCCCAGACAACGTAGTTCTGAATGTGGTAGATGAGAATCGAAAAGCATGCCGTAGCGCCGAGCGCAATGATGAGCTCTACAGCTGCGTTGACGACACCAGGGACATGGGACATTGAGTGCGTTGCGCGGCGCGCAGAGATGTTCATCACGACGGCCCATAGAAGCGCAACACATGCCTATGAGGCGTCAGTTTGCAGCTGAAGATGAGAGAATGGGATAGAGAGCATACAACTGGAAGACTGGCCCATAACCGCCAGGAGCATTCGTGCCCGATAGGCGCATTGTTGGGACACGTCGACGATCTAATGGACCACCAGATACTGAGAATAATGATGACCACTGGGATGACAATGTTGAATGATCGCGCTGTCGTAACAGCCCAGTTTTGGCGAGGAGTGTGTCGGTAGACATGTTGCTGAGGTGGGTAACCTGGCGCGTATGTAGGCGGCGCATTGTATTGGTACTGAGGAGGATATTGTGGTTGTTGCTGATGAGGCGGATATTGCTGATATCCATATTGCTGTTGATTGCCGTAATATTCTTGATGCCCAGCCATTTTTAAGAGATTTGTGTTTTGATATGTCCGAGTTGGCCTGGAAGGCGGATGGAGAGATAATATTAAAGTTGCACGAGTGACGTTGCAGATTAACAGGGTCGGGCGTCAGGTGTTGATTGCTTGGATGGATCGGCTACCGGCACCTCTGAGTTAATGCACTTGCGACTGGGCTGGGCTGTTACGTGGGGGTGGAGTGACGGGAACTTTAAAAGTTTAAATACGAGATGCGAATAATATTGACCAACAAATGTGAGACCAACACCCATCACATTTGTCTATATATATTATTATCTATGATTAAGTGATGCCTCGAGAAGAGCAAGAAATCCTAATGCGAAATTTTGATCACGAGGGCCAAGCCAAGCCAGCCAAGCAATACTTTGCCGCCGTCCCTTTCTTCAATCCCGTCTCCTCCAATCAGACCCTTGTCTATTCTCAAGCGCCCATTCATCGTAGGCTTGGGGTCTCTCGGCATCCCTCCTCCACAACAGATACTTCTTGGAGATAAAGGGGAGACGTTTGGTAACTTGGTAGTTTGCAAACTGACTCTTGGGATTGTCAAACACTTGGTCAAGTTCTTCAAGAGTGAGCTGTTTTGTCTCTTCAACAAAGAAGAAAATGAGAACAAAGGCGACAATGTTGAGACCGGCAAAAAAGCCCAGTGTTCCGGCCATCTTGAAAACCACGTTGATACGGGGCAAGAGGATAGTCAAGAGGCCCGCGAAAAACAGGTTGATAGAGATTGCGATCGATGCCCCCTAGAAGTAGTCCAATGTTAGTAACTTCTTCTTCTCCTAAAGATATTGGTACGGCATACCGCTTCTCGGTTCTTTAGAGGGAAGCTACAAATGTCAGTGATTATAAAACAAAATACGAAGCATCTGTGACAAACCTCTCAGAAGCTAGAGTGAACGGGATTGGTCCCAAGCCTGGACTATAAACAGCAGCAAACACTACAGAATGTCAGCCTGCCGCTTTACCACATGTAGGATGTTGCCTACGGTATATAAAAATGATGCCAGCAATAGAAGCTGGTGTGTTTGCTTTTGGGTCTCCGGCAGGATCCTGTGGCCCTATAGCATATGCCACTGCAGCTGCCATAAGGAAGAGACTCATCAAAGGTAGAGTCGACAATAGCCAACGACGTCGCCCGATGATGTCGATGGACCTGTCGTATGTTTAGCGGCATGGAATGATCAACCATTGCAGGAAGGTACTGACCTCATGGCTAACAATCCAAAGAAGAAGTTGACACAACCTAGCTTGGTCAGTAGTTGTTCGCATCGAGTGGCGGCAAGATACATACCAAAGCCAAAACTGTAGCCCATACTTGTTTTGACACCGTAGTTGCTAAAGATCCCATCTGAGAGACTGTCAATAATGGCCGAAGAGAATCAGAGTCTGTGGCTTACTGGAGTAGAATGCGAAAACGTTGACTTCAAACACTTGTCAGCTTCCTCAATGAGGGCCAAAACGAGATCTTACTTCCACAAAGCTGCTGTGCAAGAGCAACTGTACTGCTGCTCCATAAGGCATTTCTGAGTCGTCGACTTGTGAACAAAGGCCTGAACTGATCCGCTGAGAGCTGCAATACGACAAGGATGAGGGATGAATATGTCAGTCCGGAGTTTGGTGATTTGTTGTTGCTAGAAGCATCTGCATTTGATCTGAAATTGTGCTCGGGGTGTCCAGTGTTTCTATTACGGCTCTTGTGCAGTTCCGTTCGAAGGACGTGGCCTTCCTCATTTCGAGTGGACCACCATATGAGGAAGAGATCACGAGTGGCCTGGAGCTATGAAGACGTTAAAAACAGAAGGGGAAATGGCTATACGACTGAAATTACTCTTGTTTTTCGAACTTGCAGCAGAATGTCGAATGCGCGACTGAGGTTATAATTGGGCGTACCAGGTCGCATATAGAATCGAGGGCTCTCGTAGCAATAGCAGACAGCAACCAGTAGTAATAGAGACGGAACTGCAGGCGCTGCAGCTATCCACTGTAATGCGTGGTATCTACCATCGTGTATGTTGAGCTGTGTGTTTGGGTCCCCTTCCAAAGTGGTGGTTCCAGCAGCAATTATGAAGTTGACGACAAATCCAATCATGATACCACATGCGACCCTAAAAACACATGACATCAGCTATGGGGAACCCGCATTGGCGAAGAGAGAAACTTACCAAAGCTGCCATGCGAGTATCGTTGAGCCTCTCCAGTAGCCAACAGCTGTCTCGGAAGCCAGGATAGGGGCGCTGACTGCCTTGATGCCCATGGCTATTGCATGTCAGTAGTTGTCATATGAAGAACAAGTGCACTACCCACCTACTCCACCAACAACTCTGGCACCAAGGACCTGCTGCCATGTCTTAGCAAAGCCGGAGCCTACTGAACTGGCGATGATGAGTAGAGCTGAGAGGCCTAGAGCTCCTCGTCGTCCGAGGCAATAATTGACAGGAAGCGACAGTGCAGCACCGGGGAATGCAGCAGTGAGAAAGGGTATCGCATTCATGGCACCAAGCTGCCACTCTGCAGTATTCCCAGCCCTTCCTTCTTGACCATGACCGTCCCTGATATCGATGTCGATTGTCTCGACGAAGAGGCTCATAGCATTGATCGAGGACTGAACATGACCCTGGAGGAATGCAGCGAGTGATACAGTACAGATGATGCTGAGCATGCCACGTTGGCTGAAGAGCTTTTCTCGCTCTTCTACGAGACTATCCTTCTCATGTTGTTCGAGATTAACCACGGGGTTTAGGTTCGTGATCTGTCTGCTAGACAGTCGGTAGTAGTAGTTTGCATGTTTCCCGACTTCAGCAGCTCGTTGAACTTGACTACGTTCGAGAAACGGAAGCTCGCTGCACAGAGTATCGATCGCCTGTCGTAGAACAGGCTCTGACACGCCAGCTGGGCAGTGTTAGTCGAAGAAGCATAAAACAAGAAATGCTTCGATGATTCCACAGGCTGTACCTACCCAGTGAAGTACTGAATTCGTCACGCTCGTGAATTTGCCTCCGAAGGAATTCCTCGAGTCTCTTTCCGAAACCGGGGCTTTGTGTCGTTCGATCGTCACTTGCAGACATGTTTTTGATGGAAGGTGCGACTGCGACATGTCGTTGAGACTTGATTTATCGAGAAGGAGCGTTTCTGACTTCAAGAAATGAGAGAGATCAGGGAGACGGAAGTCCTCGGAGCCTCGTTGCTACTCTGATTGCAACTTCAGGACTTCTGCATAATGGCTGAAACAACCAACATGGTCCCGGGCAAGGACTCTGCAGGGCAAACAAGGCAGAGTCATGAAGTTCTGTGCAACATACTGCTGTTGGCGAACCACAGTCAGCACTGCGAACCATAACTAGGTAGGTATACGTATCACAAAACCATCACGACGAAATTACAGAAGTACTACAAAAAACCAGCGGGTCAAATTGCCGCTCTGGGAAGAACCCCATGGGGAAGTTTATTTCAACCCCAATAAATGTTTTGCAAATCATGTTATTGATCCGACCCCTGTACGGCTGAACACCGAGTCCCTGTTCATGTGGCGAAACACAGGGGTAGCTTACTGCAGGAAGATGCACAGTACTGCCTTGGCCCCTCAATGACAACGTTGCTTCTGAAGAAGAGAGGTCGCCTTAGTCGCCTTAACTGCAAAGGACGAGTAGTGTACAAAGACTCGAGAGCCTGACCTCCAGCTTACGACAACGACTATTCTGCAAACGACTTTGAAGGAATTGAGGAGTGGCTACTCAGTTCGACTCTCATATTAGAAAGAGGTTGGTCGGATTGTTCGAACCAAGGACCGAACACTCTGTTGGTAAGTTGATTTACTCACCAGCCCGATGTTGGCCGCGAAAATCATCTGACGTGGGTGTGTTACAGGTTAGAGACATCGGCCTGGACTCACAGCCTGATTTCTCATATGCGGGGGCAGTGCATGTCGAGGCCAGCACACGCGACATTACTCTGATACATTGTTTCTATTCAAGCGTGGACATCTAGACTTTCGTCTGACAAGCTCACTTACAAGTAACAAGCAGGATTGTCATGACCCTTATGCCTCCAACATGGCAGAGCCTGCCTCGGCCGTCCTGAGTTTTGTTGTCGCCGGACTTGCAACCTGGAAAAGAATCGAAAGGATCATCAACTCGGCAAAGAATGCGCCACGAAATGTCAAACATTGGAAGGTGGTGGGAGGACTGTTAACCCAATCCCTTACTGTGATGCAGAAGAGGATTGCCCTTCGAGAGGCAGATTTGACCAAGACAGAGGTGAATCTTTTTGAAGCCATCAGAAAGTTTACAAACGACTTCAAAAGTGATCTCTTAACCTTGGAAAAAACAATACAGACACAAAGCAGGAGTAATAGATATTGGAACGCAATCCGACAGCCGTCTGGACCGGATCAAGATCTATTCGAAAGAGTCAGTCGCAATGTTCAGATCTTCCAACTAAGCGCTCAAGCTCTACAATTGTGAGATGCTTCCCATCTGCCCATTTGCGTGTCTCTAACGATTGTGTAAGACTAGACCCGTTGCATGCTGTTCCTAGCCGCGGAGTCAAAGACTTGCTAGAGGGCATCAGCGAAGAGAAACTCAGGGTTAACCCAACCGAACGAGTAAACATCGACGAAGAGCCCGACCTGAGAAGTTGGAGAGAGGCGATTGAAGATGTGGCAGATGCCGCAGTCCAAAGCGAGTTTCCCGACCCCATAGCTGATATCTCAGCAATAGCGGCGCCAAATGCACCTAATAGGGACGAAATACCAAGACGGCTTTCAGGCATCACTGCCAAAGAGTTGAGATACAGATTTGACGCGGCGATCTTGAGAGCGGAACGAATGTACAACGCTGGGATACCGGAACTTGCGAAAAGACAATACGACAAAGCAATGAAATACAAAGGACGAATGGACGAAAGTGCCATGAGCGATGTGGATTTGGTGGGCCTGGAGATATCCTACATCAAAACCCTTAACGCCTGTGAGCCATATGACAAGTCGTGTGAAGCCCTTGCTTTCGAACGGTTGCAAAACCTCAAGAATAAGCTTATCGGACAATCCGGCTCCAATGACGACCTACAACATCGCACTAAACAGAAAGAGGCGGTTGGGTTTCTGTGTATCGACCTGCGCGACCGCAAAGGAGCGATAAAGCTTTTGCGAGAATCGCTCGATGGTTACTTGTCTAAGCCGGACGAGTTTAGGGAGAAGATAAGGCTGATATCGAGGGTGATATGTGAGCAGTATGGGTATGAAGGGAAATGGCATAAGCTCGATGCTTTCAAGAGGTTACTGTCCGAGAATCCGCGGTATGACCCCACTTGGGAACGCAGTACACTTGAAAGAACGATCGCATGGTGCCGTGAACACGGGTTCCAAGCTATGGAGGATAAAGGAAGCCTTTTTATACCCAAGGACAATTTCGCCAACACAACGCCACTCCACAAGGCAGCTACAGACACAAAGGTTCCGCCGGATATTGTTCGTCAGCTCATCCTCGCAGTGGAACATGCGATACAGGATAAGGACGGCGACACGCCTTTACTGGTGGCTGTTCAACACTCCAACAATACAGCACTGCGAGAACTGTTGCGAGTTACTGACTCCGTCCATGTGTGGAATGCCAAAGGACAGACGCCACTACACTTGTGCGAGAACGAGGCGACGTTAAAGTTACTACTCGAAGAGATTCAGAGGCCGATTCCTCGTTCACCACCACAAGAACGAAAACGAAAAGCGAGAGTCAAGCTCATCAATATAGACTCACTCGATGCCTATGGCTCAACAGCTCTGCATCAGGCATGCGACAAAGGAGACTTGGGAATGGCTAGACTGCTGATAGAAGGAGGCGCAAATGTCAATCTAGTCTCCGGACTGAACGAAACACCTCTAATGATCACATGCGCTCCAAGCGGGTCCAAGGGCAAAGGGAAATTGAATAAAGACAGGCAACAGATCTTGGAGATGCTGGTGAATCGCAATGCAAACACGGAATGTAAGGATAGCCAAGGAAAGCCGGCGGTACACCAAAGCCTTAAGAAGAGACTGTACAGCGAGGCGGAGATTGAAGTAATGCTTTCTCCAGACCCAGGTTGGCGCTTCAATAGGAGTCGGGACAAAGGGAGAAACTCACAGTCTTCCGCAGTCACTGGTGCTACTATGTCACCCGTTGAACTGGCGGTAGACACCTCAACGGAGCCATTCGAACTTGAAGCAATCAATGGAGGCGTCTTGACACCGCCTTCTAGCTGTGACGAACCGATTCATTCAGCTTCCTCCTTTTCTGGGCCCCAGGTGGAAGAGATAGAGTGGTCAATGTCGGGTGCACTCCCGGCTGGACCGTCCGAAGCGCCTCAACCATCAGGCCAAAAGTTCTTGGCGAGGGAAAAGGAAGGAATTATACAAAGAATGACGAGAAGAGGAACGAACAGACTAAGACAACGGCATTAGTCAACCCAGTAATCGGTATTGTTCATTTCGGGCGTTGAGAGCAGCGGGAAAGTGTTTGGATAGGCATTTGATGTTGATGATGAATGTGCATACGGTAGTTAGCTGGTATGGGAATAGGCAGAGTAATTTCACACGTTTGTTTAATAATTTGGCACATCATCACAAACAGTGAATGTTAAAGATATCACGTCTTTCGAACATGCCTGAGATAACCTTCGAGCAAAGTGACACCAAACTCCAACCCTTGACTGAGACAGCTTATTCGAGTACCTGGTCGCTATACCTATTCCCGGAGAACATTCTTTGACTTGGGGTGACGGTGCAAATGCTGTGTAGCATTAAATGTTTATTAATACCTGAGACCAGACATGTGTGAACCTGCGTTTGCTCGGCAGGCTGTTGCCAGTGCCAGCCAGTGCCAGTGCCAGTGCCAGTGCGAGGTGACTCCTAGCCTATTCAGGTGAATGTCAGTGAGAGTAATAATGCCAGTGCCGCGCAGCAACCAATAAAGGTGTGCCTGAGGCGTCTGCTACTCTGCCTGCCTAAATAAATATTTTCTCATCGCGTCTCCAGGAAATCTCTTCTTTCCTTCTTACATAGGCAGCACGAAACCTCCCCCACGAACTACCACTTACCGGCGGCCACGGTCCCGGTCAATATCACTGACGAGGGGGGCTGCCGGGATTCCTGTTGGGTTCGTCCCAACGGCATGCCTAAAAGGTTTTCATACAAATCCATTATCAGGTCTGTTCCGTTATGCGTATCGGATACACTCTGTTCCAATGGTCAAGGAACTCAAGGTGGCCAGTGGCTGCAGTGTGGTCCTTGAAATCCCCCCCCTTCCGCGGGTCCTCCTCCGCTGCGATGCTGGAGTCGAGTAGCGCGTTCCTTTGTGGAGTGAAATATCTCAAGGCAAATGGATACCACCTGATAACCGACTCTGGGAGTTGGGAGGTGGTCGAGTGATGGCACCAAGTGCCTCTACGTCGAAGGCCGTTGACTGATACTCTTGGGGGTCCACTTCATAGTGGCCAAGGTCCTACGGCACAGAGCCACCGAAGGCGTTGCCGTACGGATCTTGAAGGAAATCCACTGCGACCTTAGGGTGATCGTTGCGAGGCAGTCTTGTTTCAACTAGATGCTTTCAGTTTCGAGAACCACCTTCGGGCTGGTCCAGTGGTCAAGGTTTCATATCAATCTGGCTGTAAAGCAGTTGTTATGAATATCTTGGAAAGACCCTCAGGGCGACGCATACAGTATTTATACTGCTGTTGAACCTTGAGGGCGCTCCAACAAGTTTCGGAAACGGAGCGAGTTGGGGAAGGGCGATGAAATCGGACTCCTATAACCTCCACGCGGTGTCGCCCGGGGACCTGGTCTTTTTGTAAAGGCTGCAGGCAATATAGGAGATGTGCGACGCAAAGTCGTTGTCTTACCACCGACAGATACGTATCCCCATATCGCAGTTACAGTAAGCATATGACTGACAAACTAGTTACCCACAGCAAATAGTTCAACGCACGAGCTTTGAGATAGTATATCAGTGGCCAACTCCGAATGAGTCCCCTAACTCCGAAGCCAAGATCATCGATACGCCCGTTCAGTGCCCTTGACAAAGTGCAGAGGAACCAAGCCACGTTGGCGAGGTCCAGAAAAGCTACTAGCTATGCGCGACTCTTCTCCCAGTAGTTGAGATACCGCACCCGAGCGTAGCGAGGTGTCGATCAAATGAGAAATGGTCTTGAGCGATCTATCGGGTATCCATCTGTTTGCATCCTCAGCATGAAGTTGCTCTACGGGGTTGGCTACAGGACAGGATCTACTTTGATTAGGTGTTGGTTGTGTTGGTAGTAGTATTTGAAGGCACAGCCGGGGCAGTGTTCTCACTCTCTTCATAGCTAGACAGTAACCGATAAAACGTTCACCACTTTTGCCATTGGGCTCATCTCTTTCATTTCTAAGTTTGCGAGCAATACTATCCAAGTCCCAAACCATGTCGCGGAGTTGTATCTCGTCTCTCCTGTATAGCTCATGTACATGCGAGCAAGTTTTGACCCTCTGCTTCAACTTCATCAATTAATCCCTCCACACCAGGATGCCTTTAGCATAAAGACCAGTGATGATACCGACGCCCCTGTCAGCATCCTTGACAACAGTCGAGCTGGAAGGATACTCCGTATCAACATAGAGATTCTTTAGACCCTCGCTTTCACTCCACTCAGCAGTCCAAGACACCGCCTCCAACGTTTCGCAGAGCTTCCTAGCCGTTGCATCCGCGCGTTCATACTCGTCAGGCTCGTTACATATACGTCGCAAGTGCGTGAACTTGACCAAGGAAGGCATATGCCCATGACCCGCAATCATCAATTTGTCGCCGGATCCAGAAAGGTTATCCGGGAGAAAAGGCAATTTGATCATGGAATTAAACTCCAATGTGGTGGGATTGGGCGTTTTGAAGAGGTAAACGGCTGCCCGGGAGGAAGACGCCACAGCGACGGTTGAACTGTTCAGGATCTCGATGCCGTTTGCGAAGGGAACCCAAGCGACAACTTTGGCTTGGACCTGCGATTCTTTGAGAGATACGTGGACGACCGTGCCGCTGGGAGTGCCGAGGTATGTCTCGAGGTTAGGAATCAGGATTGATTGTTTCTTGGTAATGTAGTGGTCGTTGCTAACATAAAACTCATGGCCGTTGATGAGTGCAATTGAGTTGGGTCCGTGAATGAGTGGATGCTCAATTGTTTGCATGTACCGAGCCGTCAACGATTCGATGTCAAACTTGAACATTTCGATCCGTGATCCCGCCTGGGCGTGGTTTGTCACGAAGAGATTGGACGTCTGTTGGTCAAAGGCCAGTCCTAGGGTGTGGAAGTCGTTGGCGTGAGGGAACCCGGTGAGGGCAATTGGCTTGAGGGACTCCCCATCGGGGCTTCCAACATTCTCATAGTCATAGGCCCAAAGTCCTCCGTTCTCACTAACGTTGCCGGCAAAGACACCCTTCAATTGTTAGTAACCGCTTGTCACGGAAGGTTCGGTACGCACCATGACAGTATTCCAGCGTTCCCGCCCAGCATCACATGCAAGAATTGCCAAATGATGGCTCTCAATAAGCAAAACATCTTCGCAGCTCCTGATACGATCCTTAAATTTGATTTCGTGACGGCCAATGTTGTTGATCTTAGAAACACGTGCCGGCGTGTTCTGATAGAACGTCTTCAACAAGTTGATTCTCTCAGAGACGAAAGAAGCTAACAGCCCCAGGGCTAAAATTGTCTGGACTCAATGGTAAGCTTCATAGGAGAGATTCGGTGCACATTTCCTTACAAGAATCGATTTCAGAGCCATGTTTAGATGCAATTGAAGAGGGGAAGTTGAGGTCGAGGTTACGGTTGCACAGTTGTTGGGAAGGCATTGTGGAGATCGCCGCTTATGCAGGCCGGGCTGATTACATACTCAATGCACAAACAATGGATTCCGAAGGCCGAGTCCTCAATAAAACAAGCACGATAAGATTGAGAGATTAGCAGAATTATCTAACAATTATCAGGGTCTTAGGCAGCCATGGAAACATGGAAATCTACAAAGTCAAAGCTCGACTGATCAGACCCGGGTCAGAACCTTCAATACATTGCCCATCATTCCTGAATCAAACTATCTACTGCCTGTGATGGGGAAAGACGACCCGAGTATTGATTCAAGAGTCATATGAGATGATGGTAATTTCTGAGGACCTGCCTATATTGAACACAGTTTGATAGAGCAAGAAAGTTTGCGAAACTTCGTGACCAATAGAGCAAAGTCAATCTTGAAATCCAACAGCCGAAAACTGCACCCTACAAACTTAAAAGACTACATATACTGTCTTAACAGTGTTTGACCAGTTCCTTAAAGGCAACTGCTGCGGAAGTTAATCGTTGCGAAGTAGGAAGCTTAATCCTCTTCCTTCCGTGACTATTCGCACAGGGGAACTTGACGGCATTCGTGAAGAATACGCCAGCCTCCGCTGAGGAAGTGTGATCATCGGGCCTTTGAAGTCACGAAATCGGCCTAGATAATTACCCATGGCTTCATAACCTAGTTCGGGGACGTGCGAACACTTGTTTGAACAATCCTCTTGTCTGTATATAGTTGGTCAGTGAAGTCCTGTATGAGCATAGAGACTTGGACTTCTGTGACTTGTGTACTGATATTGAGTACTAGTACCGTCCTTCCTAGATTATTCCTACGGGCACAATCCACAAAGCAGGTACGCAGGGGCACCTTCATCGTAGATCATTCTTATGAGCATACTTTCGAAAGTTAGGCATCTAATGGTACTTTCGCACATTGTTGAGAGCTGCGAGCATTATTTGGAAAACTCTTCGAAGCATATTCTGCAATAGACTTTCTTGGAGGCAGAAATGAAATCACCTAGAAGGGTATAAAATGACCAATGTCCCCTCACTGTTCTCTAGTTCCTTCTTCCCACTCACAATATCGCACATCTACGCTCAGTCGCTATTGCTTGGTTACTCATACCTACCTACACATAGCATCCTGTCTATACTGTAACACCCACAGTATTTACATCTCTACACTTCTCACTCCGTCTATACTGTATCAACACAACAGTATCAACTTCTCTACAGTCTGTACTCAGCACTCAACACTTGACAATCTATTCATACTGCAACATCACAACAGTATCAACATCTTCAAGATGTCATTCACGGGCACCCTTCCCGTTTCTAACCCATACACTATTCCCTTCACCGAACCCACCCGGGCCGGTCACGTTGCTGCTCCAGATAGTCCTCCGTCTTCCACCATCTATGTGAAGCCAACAAGACTCACCCTAACCAGTCCTGGGATCAAGAAGCGAAAGCAAAAGACTCGCACCTCCTCCAGCCGGAACCATCGCAGCCCCAGTCTGGATCGTCGCAGCCCTAGCCCTGATCGTCGCATACCTGGGGTGAACCTGCATCTCTTCCTCGATACGTTGAGCAAGACGGAGATGGACGAATTCACAGAATCCCTGTACAAGAGGATGGATGAGCTCAAGAAGACAGGTCATTCTGATATTAAGCCTCTTGGTATACCAGTCAGCTGCTTTTCCTCGCCTTTCTCAAAGGATCCCTCTGAGGAGGAACCTGATCTGGACCGACATCACAACGAGATCAGTCATGAAGACCTGGACGGATATATGGAAGTGCTCCAGAACAGGCTGGAAAGACTGAGACTTCGAGAGCGTGTCAAGAAGTTCATGATTTCTGCCATCTTTGAGGACAAGATCGGCCCCCATCTGAGAGAGGAGTCTTGATCGAACTTTATACGACCGCATGTATAGCCAACCACCATCGACAAATGCAATCGATGCAACAACCCAAAAACAGAAAAAGAAAAAAAAAAAAAAAAAAAAAAAAA